CTACATACTGCATAGCAAAGCATATCAAGGGTGGGTCTATCAGTGGCTACTTCGTCACATACACAAGCCCCTGCTCTAGGTGTCCTGAAACCTCTGACTGCTAGAAGCTGGGACGAGCTGACTGGATCACTCTCTGGGAAGCAGCTGGCATCGGCCCCTCTGGGAAGACTGGAAACTGGACAAGATGGACCACTGGTCTAACTGTGGCTGTTCTTATGTTACGCTACTTCAAAAGGGGTTCTGAAATACTTAAAAAGCAATTCCGGGAGCGTTTGGGGCCAGTTGCTAACTGACACAATGTAAATAAAAGTTTAGAGCCCTGGCCTAAGCAGCAGAGGGTTGACTTGCACCTGAATGTTGCTTCCAAGCAAAGCTCTGGGAAAGCAGAATCAGGCCCACACTAACTTTTTGCAACTCAGAGAAAATTGTATCAGTGATAAAACAAGGACACTCTTCATTGGCTGCAGTACTTCATCCCAGACTGAGCTAATCCACTCCCAGAGGCATTTTACTGTTAAAAACCAAAGTCAATCCTCTGAGTCAAGCCACAACTAATGGACAAATGTATTAGACTGGAAACGAGGAACTTAATATTCCGTTTCTTAATCAGATTTGCAGCTTTCCATTCTCTTGGGAGACTAAGCTGGAGCCTTTCACTGCCCTGAGAAAGATAAATCTGTTGTCCAATGTCAAAACTAGCAAGAAGCAAAACATTTGTTTCCTGACTTCCATTCAGCACAGTGTGCTGAGTTAGGATCACTGTGGTGTGGACCTGGAGGGCAGATAACACTTAGTCTCAGGAACCAAACAAAACAGCTATCATCACACATCATGAGCCAGAACAACAGTCCGGGCACGCTGAGTTTTGAATTTCACGTGAAAGCCACAAAACACTCTTATTTTAACATCTTGTATTCATTACCTGCCAGAAGCCAAAACATTCGGTGAGTGCACAGTTCCAATTCTAGCACACAGAGTTACTGTGATTTAGTTTTAACAAATGATCTGACCCTGTGTAACAACTGACAAACAACTTGCACACATTGAACGTTTCAGCTGCTCCCAGCACTTGACGAAGACGGGTCACTATTACCCTGATTCTAGAGCTAGGGAAACTGAGGTTGTGTGATGCATCTAAAACTTTACAACATACACAGGAGTTCAACACAGGACAGAGTCAGGGGGCGTTCTAGGGCACATCCGTCTCCGCTGCTTCTCTTACCCCCCTCTCATTGCTTAGCTAAGGCAATGCCGCCTTCCAGCTAGATCCACAGAACAGACGCATCTCTCGTGCGCAGCCGCATCATCGGAAGGGGTGCATTTAGAGTTACAGTGGTGCTGGAATTACGAGAAGGTAGGTGCCCAGGAGGTTGAAAGACTGTACTCAAAGAGTAGTTACCCAAGGTTTGCTGTCAAGCTATGGGCATCCCACACTCGTCGATATTTTCGGTAATGACTTGGAGTGGAAAATATGCTTCTAAAATTTGCAAGCAGCACCAAGCTGGAAGGGGTTACGAGCACTTTGGAGGACAGGGTTAGAATTCAAAATGACCTTGAGAAATTGGAGAATTGGTCTGAAATCAACAAAATGAAATTCAATAAAGACAAGTGCATGGTAATTAAAAAGGGGGGGGGAGGAAATAAAATGCAAACTCCCCCATGGGGAATGCTGGGGGAGGTAGCAGTACTGATCCCAAGAAGCTGGATTATAGTGGGTCAACCCGGTGATGCAGTTGTGACAAAAGCGAGTATCTGGGAGTGCACTAACAGGAGTCTCACATGTAAAACACAGAGGTAACTGTCCCGCTTTACACAGCACTAGTGAGGCCTCAGCTGTAGCTCTGTGTCCAATTCTGGGCCCCACACATTAGGAAAGATGGGGACAAATTGGAGAGAGTCCAGAGGAGAGCAACAAAAGTGATCTCTGAAAACCGGACCTCTGAGGAAAGGTTAAACTGGGCAGAGTTAGTCTTGAGAAAAGAAAACACAAAGTGGGGCGGGAGGGGGTGCTGATAACAGTCTTCGAATACGTTAAGGGTGGTTATAAAGAGGATGGTGATCAATTGCTCGCCATGGCTGCTGAAGGCAAGACAAGTAGGAACAGGCTGAACCCAGCAAGGGAGCCCGAGGTTAGATATTGGGAAAAGGGGAGTGAAGCTCTGGACCAGGCTTCCAAGGGGGTCTGTGGACTCCCCAGCAGCACTGGTGGTTTTTAAGAACAGGTTGGACAAACACCTGCCAAGGAGGGTCCAGGTTTGCTTGGTCCTGCCTTGCTGCAGGGGGCTGGCCTCAAGGACCTCGCAAGGTCCCGTCCAGCCCCACCTTTCTGTGGTGCTATAGACCCCTCGCCACCGAAGCGCAGTCACAGACCCAGTTGGGATGGGACGTCAAAAAGAAGGAGGCAGAATTCAGATCGTTTGAGAGGCCCAAACGAGTCCAAGCCAGCAGCAGCACCAATCACGTGCAGCACACAATGCATTAAAATAGCAGCCTTCCCCTTTGTGGCTCCAGCTATGGGGATCCACGCTGCCCATCCCCCATGCCCAGGGTGCGTGCCTCGTTCATGAGAATCACTAACTAAGCTGAATTCAGACACTTGGTTGGTCACTCCTATGGCTAAGATTCCTGATTCAAGGGCTCGGCTGTTGCTAAATATAAAACCACCTTTTGGACAGCACCTGGGCCCATGGGGTCCTGCTCCACGGCCCAGTAATACAGACAATTAGCAGCAATCAGCACAATGAGCTGAGCCTTATTCAAACTCCCATCTGCAATCGCAATCCAGCATGCACATTGCACTAAGTGTTGATGTTTCCGAAGCTTAGGCTGCCACCTACTGACCATATTAATTCAGGCTGTCCAACAATTAAAATAATCACAATTAATCACAAGATTAAAAAAATAGTCACGATTAATTGCAGTTTTAATCATACAGTTAAACAACAACAGAATATCAATTTAAATTTATTATAAATATTTTTGGATGTGTTTTTCTACATTTTCAAATATATTGATTTCCATTACAACACAGACTACAAAGCGTACAGTGTTCACTGTGTATTATTGTTTTTTATTACAAATATTTGCACTGTAAACATGATAAAGAAACAGTATTTTTCAATTCCCCTCATACAAGTACTGTAGTGCGATCTCTATATTTGTAAATTTCACTTTCACGATAGATTTTTTTTTTTTTAAAACATATCTGCACTTAAAAAACAAAACATAAAACTTTAGAGGCTACAAATCGAAGCATGAAGGGGCATACCTGGCACGTAACTGCCTTGCAATGCTGGCTACACCAGTGCCAGACAAACGCCTGTTCTCACTTTCAGGAGAATTGTAAATAAGAAGCAGGCAGCATTATCTCCCGTAACTGTAAACAAACGCGTTTGTCTTAGTGATTGGCTGAACAAGGAGGAGGACTGAGTGGACTTGTATGAGGAGAATTGAAAAATAATCTGTCTTTTTTATGGTGCAAATATTTTTAAAAAATCAGTTAATTTGTTTTGCGTTAACCACATGCATTAGCTGCAATTCATTGACAGCCCTAATATTAATGGAAGGACAGTTTGGCATGAAGGACAGTTCCACAGCGCTCTTTATTTCAGGGTCTCAAAGCAATTCACAACTCCCCATGAGGTAGGGATCACCCCCACTTTGCAAACAGAGGCTCAGAAAACTTAGGAGACTTACCCCAGGTCATGTGGGAATCTGTAGCAGCGCCGCAAATAAAATCCAGATCTCCTAGATCCCACTCCTGCATTTTAACCACAAGCACATTCTTCCCAACGTTCTCATTGTACCATCTCTAATTTGTCCCTGCAAGAAAAACAGAGAACAGGTCAGGTGTATTCCTGAGTTGGTCTGTTCCAGAGACTTATGACTCTGACCCACATCACCCACCCTTAGCACTGCAAACAAAAATCTGACTCAATACTGCAGTTGTGGGATGGAGCAATTTTGGTCCTGCCTGAGCAGAGCAATGAGGCCTTTTCACTTTGGGATCTGACTTCGCATTAAAACAAACCAAACCAAAACTCACTAGCAGCGTTCGTTCTGGGAACGGGTTTAAAAAACTCACCCTCCAGCCAGGCAACGCGACAGAGCCTGCCTGTAGCAGAGAAGAGTGATAAACCAAGGCACTGAAGCCCATTAACAGGTGCTGATGGGGCCACAACATGTGCTGAAGGGTAAAGTAAGGTGAGGGATAAAGAATGAAACCTGGCAAGCTCAGCCACACTAACCTTGTATTTCCCCCACACTCTGAGGATGCCTGTGTGCTCCTGAAAGCAGCAGGAGTGACCGAACTGGCAAGCGAAGGACCCGCAAAGCAGCAGCGGTGCCGGTGTCCCTCCTAACACAGCTCACCTTGGACATGGAGGAACCGAGTGCTGCAAGGCCAAACTTACTTCCGTCTCCCGGCTGACATGGAGGGGAGGCACCGGCGCTGAGCATGGCATTTGGGATGTGGACATCTGGCAGCCCACTCTCCGTACAGCCACCATAAATGCCAGTCACTAGCCGCCTGCACTTGAACAAAGAGCTGAAGTGACCCTGACCCCAAGACACAGCCGGTTTAGCCCCACAAATGCCAAGCAATTCTTACCTTACAGATTTGCCATGGGAAGTCAGCCGCTCCTGCCTGCATCAAAGCAGGCCTCCTCCAAAACAATGCAATGACTGCCCCAACTGAAGAGCAAAAACCTCATTCGCTGCATGGAAAAACCCCAAACGGGGGGGGGGAACTAGTAACCACTTTGCACAGGTTTTGAAACTCCCATTTCTATTTAATACACATTTATTTCGCTCTCTCGGAGAATAACTACCCACTCCTGGAGTTTTCGCCCCCTTGACATTTCCGAAGGATGCATGCAGGCTGCCAGTCTAGCTTGCCTGAATGGCTACGTATTCCTTTGACGGCGTGATGTTCTACACAACCCCTCCAGATACCCTAAAGTAAGTTATTAGCCAGACTTCCTGCTGAGTAGCTCCAATGACATAAAACCAGCAAACCCCCTCACCGCTCAGAACAGATCAGGAAGTTTATTGGCTTAAATACTTGCTACATACGATATACAGCAGTGTTCAGGTCATCTGGGTAAGTAACAATTACAGGCGCAAGGTGCTGGAATTCCACATTGGAGCCTTCAGCCGCATTCCACATTTCATGGACAAAGCAGACAGACAGACAATCTCACCCCCACCGATACACACACGTGGCAGCAGTCTTAGAGTGGTGTGGAGTATCAGAATGGGCTCACAAAGCCACGCAGGGCGTGAAACACAGCACTGTCGGCAGCAGGCCTTGGGCTGCCCCCCCACAGCATGGAGGCCAGAGTAATTTCAAACATATTTTCCTACTAAAACCAAGAAAAACACAACATTTGGGAAGTACAGAGAACTGGAAGGAAGAGAGGGGGAGCCAAAGTTTTAATTCTTTCCGTAAGTAAAACTGATGCACGGGGGATGATTTGGGGGGTGGTGGGATTCCAGGATTCCTTCACGTAAAAAGCTTCACTCAACACAAGTGCTTGAAATGGCAGAGCAGGGTGAGCTGCAGGAGACCGCCCAGCGGAACTGTAGAGTATGAACCATGCCCAGTGGGATGCTCACTGCTCTCTGCACAGCTAGGGATGATCTGTTACACGAACTGGCTACAAAGGCTTTCGTTCCTAAGAATTCCAACTCCCAAAGCTGTTCCTGGGGCGGGAGGTCACATACAAGTTTCTTCCTGGATCAACCCATGCCCCTTGTCCAGACCTATAAAGAACGGTGATTGGCTCAGTCCTACATCCCAGCCCTTCCCCGCCTTCACTGCGTTTGTAAAAAGAAGCCATATTAGAAAACAAAGCACGATATTTCATTTGTCTCAGACTGCAAAGAGGGAGCAGTTTGGCTGCAGCCACATTACCATTCCCAGCTTTGAACCTCACCGGAAAACAGCCCCCCAAAGCTCCCAGAGATCACACCAAAGGGTAATCAGACTGCCATGGTTTGAGTATCAAAAAATTAAGTTGCTCATTCCTTATTCTGGGGGGGGGGCGGGCAGGGGGGAGAGGAGTCTGGAAAGTCTGACTGTCCTGAGAAATCCTCACTCTCATCAATACGTAATAGAGATGCTGGTCTGTAAATACGTCCCTCACATCATGGCAGAGACCTTCTTACATTCACAGAATTTAAAGACACTTACGGGCCCTGCTGCTAAGAGAGAAACTTCATTAAAAAAGGCAACCAAACCTTCACCAGTGCCCAGAGGTCACTACTTGCAAGTTGTTTCACCTTGGCGATGGTTGGAGACGGTTTTTAAGGACAGGTTTTCATGCCGCAGCCCGGACACTGCTTTTAACAAGTAAAACTAAAATTTAGAAACAAGTTGTGAGGCGATATGGGGGAGGGGACGGACAAAGAGGAGAGGAACCTTGGAGATAGTGTAGTGCCAAGAGTATAAACGATACATCCTAATCATTGGTGACAATAGAGATTCCAGGTGCTTTAGGTGACTATAAGACTCCGTGCCTCAAGAACTCCAGTTCTGGGGCTGTGGAGGTGAAAGCCTTTTAACCCTGCAATGTCCCCCCAGGTGCCAGCCCCCCCTCACAATGGTCAAGGTTTCCTCATTGTATCGGCTTCAGTTCCCACCGCCCTCATGGACTCTGTTCTGCCAATAGCCTGGCTGTGCTTCCTGGAGAAATACTGTATGGCCAGCAGTTCTGAGCACAGCGAATCTCTGCTGCTTTCTCACACGTTAAAGCCGTCTGCCGGGAGCACTCGGAGGGAGGCACAGAGCAGCACTCAAAGGGGAATTCAGGCATCCTTCGCACCTCTCTAAACCTGCCCTGGGTTTTCCTGGAATCCAGGCTCCCAGACAGAACACAGTAACCAGCGCTGTAAATACTGTGTACTCAGCCTTATCAAACAAGGTGCTAAAATACAAAGATTACATGGCACAACCCTCCAGCGACTCCAAACTATTCACATCCTCCAGGCAGTCTGGATCAGCCACAGGGCTGGCTTAGATGATATTTCCATGAAACCCCTTGGGGGGTGGGTGGGGGACAGAGGGAGGAATGGATTCAAGTGAGCCAGACTCAGTAATGAGCCCACTCCCGGTCAGACAGAGGCCGCAGGTGGGTTTGAAAGGCTGCCTCTGTTCCCAGCTCTCGAGAGCTCTTTGGTGGGCTTGGCTCACAACCTGCTCGGTGTGAGAAACGCTGGTGGCCACACAGCCAAATGGGAACCTCTGAAGGGAAGCGGAGCAGCTACAGGTTATGACAGATTTTCTGGAGCAGCAGCACCGACCAGAGGGAATTCCCATTACAGCGGTTTGCCTTGTACCCAGGCCGCTGGCTAGTTCCAGTTTTTTCCTCACTCGTTAGCTCTTTCCTTACCCCGTCACCTTCTCCTTAGCGTTTACTCAGGGAGTTGATGGGGTCGGGTTGAAAGGGAGGGAGAAAGATTGCAACGGATAAAATTAATCGGCCCCTCTCTCTCCAAGCCTGACCTGCAGTCATAGGGTCACAGAGCTGGCTTCCAGGCACTCTTCGTTCTAACCCATGAGAGGACACCTCGCTGTAGCCTGACTGAAATGGCCCTGAAGCCTCCTGGACTCTCAGAAAATGCATCCTCCCCCCGTAACATCCAGCCCAAGACACGTGCCGGCTGAAAATCCACCTGAGAACGGGTCGCTTACGTGGGGAAGCGTCGCAGGGGTTGCTCCGCAGAGGGTTCGTTCCAGGCACTGGCATAGCCTCCTCCGAGGCGCCGGGACCGTGAAGCCTGGAGACTCAATGCTGTCTCGGCGACCACTCCCCACGAAGACTCAGCTGGCCTTTTCGAACTTAGAAACACCCTGCAGGACAAATCCCAAACCTCTCCTGCAGGGTGCACGCAGAGCACTGGGTAGTTTCTCCTACGCTTAGTGAGTGTTAAGAACGCTGGAGAGCACTCGCTGCCCACCCCCCTTCGTCCCCAAGCCCCCAGCTGTGAAAGATTCACCCTCTGCATGGGCGCAGAATCACATAAGCAGCCTGCCCTGGTTTGGATGAAGCTCAGACTTTCAGTGGCTCAGGTCACTTCATCGACAGAGCCTCCCCAACACTCCAGCCAATGCAGAGCCAGACACAGCTGCTAACCATCTACTGAAAATGAGGACAGACTATTCAAATCACTAAGAAGGAAAAATATCCATTTTATAGATACACTTATCAAACCACACCTGGACGTGTTCCCCACAATACAGTGGCTGCAAAGAACCCTGCTGTATGTTCCACTACGGTCCCTAACAAGTGCTTGCCCCAGGACTAATAGCCATAGGCGATGGCAGAGAGAGAATAAAGGTGAATTGGAGACACAAACTGAAATATCTAACTAAAGCCCCAGCTCAACATTTGAATATTTCAGAGACGTCTCTGGGTTGGATTTCAAAGCAAGAAGCCATGGCTTTAAATTCCATGCAGCAAATTCCAGCTGATATTAAAAGCTGCGTATGAGGAGCCAGGGCAGATCAGACGATGTGAAGTAGCTCCTAGGGTTGCTGAAGTCTTCAGAGAGAAGATGACACATCCTGAGTGCATGCACAGAGGTTACACAGTCCCTCTCTCTGCACAAAATGCTCAGGTCTGAGTCAAGTTAGTTCCTCTAGAGAGCGTTTTCTTAAAAGGAAGGGAAATGGAGTTTGCTCCGAAGATCAGCTGCATGGGAGACACACCGAGGGCATCAGCGGGTCTGGACCACAGACTTTCCTCTCCTCAATAGTCTATGGGCTCAGCCGGCTTGCAGCTCGTGGCCTTATAACTGGCTCACTCCAAAGAAAGAACGTCCCCCGGGGCCTGGGACTCATACGTCCGTCTCTATCCGCAGCCGCTCCATGCGGCGGACATTGCTCTCCACAGCATTGCGGTTGGTGATGTGCTGAGCGCACGACTGGGGAAACCAGCCTCTCTCGCCGTCTCGCAGCCTCTCGCCCAAGTACCAGCCTAAGAGAGGGAGTGAAGCTCTCAGTTAGATGGGAAAAGAGAACACCTAGATGGTGAACACAAACAGTCTGCTCCAAATCCCCCACTCCAGGGCACCAGCCAGTCATGAACTGCCCAAGGCCTGGAAGAAGCTGCCCTGGCTTGACCCACACTTCCAGGCTCCCAGCTCCATGGCAGGGACCCTGGGGTAGCCCACACGTAGAGATCCCTCGAGTTTTGGACCCTGGACACCCCAGCTGTCCAAGAGAGCCCTGCCTGGGAGCACACGACAGAGCATCCAACCCAAAATGAAACTCTTTCATCAGAAAGTTTCTGACCAGCTCTAGTCATGACTGCAAATGACACAGCGGGCTATGGGTTCACGTGGACATCTGGCTGCTGCTCCAGACAGCTCCTATACAGTCCTGGCATATTCACTGGGTAACTCGGCAGCGTCTGCCATCCCCGGCCCTCAAAGCACTTCCCACAACACCTCCACGAGGTGGAGCCATTCATCCCATGGGATTCACGTGGTGAAGGGATGGGACTTCCCCAACGTCAAATGGCATTCCGGCAGCATCAGGATCTGAGCCCAGGGAAACCCGCTCCAAAAAGTAAGAGGTACCTTTTCAGAGCACAGGTTAGGCTCCCGTCTCCCCCTAGATCACACTCCCTTCCCAGAGCCAAGAACAGCACTCAGGAGTCCTGGCTCCAAGTCCCCTGCTCTAGCTTCCAGACCACTCTTCCTCCTCTGCCTGTTACCTCAGTCTCGCCAAATCACTTACCATCCTCTTCGTCGAGGACCAAGACGACATCCGCCTGCTGCAGGAAAATCTCATCCGTCTGTTTAGCCAAGTAGGCCCTGATTATCTCCACCTGTCTCAGCTCTAGTTGAAGGAGAGAGAGAGAGAGAGAGAGAGAATGCGGAGACTGAATGAAACGCAAAGCGCAGAGGGACTGGACAAAATGCCGGATGATGCTATGGCTCAACTGGACCCTGCAGCCAAACACTCAGAGCTCCAGTCACAGGTAGACGGGAGAGGGCTGGTCACAGAGCGGACAGGCCCTGCTGCATCACTGCCAGCTCCTAAGGGACGGGAGGCCCAAAGCACAAGACAGACAGCCTTTGCTCGCGCAAGGAGAGCTGTAAAACGGTACCGAGATGCAGGTGCAGATGAGCAAGTCCAGAGCAGATTCAGGTTCCAGTGACGGCCCCACAACCACTCAAGCTAAGCACTCAGGCACCAACTTCAAGGTGCTGCTCACCCACCCACATCTCTGCTCTCGTTCCTCCTGTACCCTGCCCCACGGGCTCCCCAACCCAGTCTCCACTTCACAACCTCCCTTGCACTGTTCCCTAGCCCTTGGGGCAGCCTAATGCTCTGCTCCAATCCCACCGTACACCCACACCTGCAAGAAGTGCCTTCTACTCCTCTCTGCACCTGTGCTCAGCCCCCTCTCTCTGTCCAGAGCTGGGCTCGTCTGGGCGCGGCTGCAAGCTCTCAGGGCAGCCTGCACGTCTCCCTGCGAGCCGGGGGGGGAGTCCCCTGCTCACCCACATGCGCTAGCTCTCAGCGAGCTAGGAGAGGGTAAATCAGCACTGTAGCTGCAGTGGCAGGAGCGGCATGGCTGAGCCGCACCGAGTACAAACTTGCTGGTGGCAGGAGAGTAAATACTCAGCATGGCTCAGCTAGCAGAGCTCGACGGCGCCATTGGGACTCACGCGAGCTCGGCAAGGGCCGGTGCGCACACAGGTACGTAAGCAGGGGAAATCGTACCACTAGCTTATAGCATGGATAGAGCCTAAAAGCTGACACTGCACTACAGATAAATGAGTACAGGCCTATTAATATTTGTGACAGTGCTCACAGCAGATGCAGGCAGAATTTTGGGGATGAGCCCTGTGGAACTTGATGGTTTTGACCCCAAACCAGGCAAAATGTGGCAAGTTTGGGTTTTAGGGTCATTTGATCACAAATCTCAAAGCAAAGCAACACAGCGGCAGGAGGTGGCACAAACCAAATGAGTGGAACAAAAACGTACCCATTTCCAGTGGCTCTAGTCCCACCCTTTGCTCTTACTGGCAAAGCTTTGGACACGACTTCTCTATGATTTGAGCTGGTGAAGACTTTGTTACCCAGGCTGTTCAGAGCTATGGGTCTTTGGGAAGGTGATTCACAATGCTGCCAGATCTCACAATTTTATCACAAGTGTCGCAATACCTAGGGGGTGGGAGATGGGAAGCCGGCTCTGAAAGCCCCAGCTTCTGGAGTCATGTGATTAGCAGAGAGTCTCAGTTTTCATTTAAAAAAGTTATTAGCCCTTGTGGTCATGGAGAAAAGCCTGAAAACAGGATCTGAGTTAATACTAAAAACTCAGAAACCAGGAAGTGGTGAACCCCCCTGTCCAGCATTTATAAATATTTTTAAAATCCCATGATTTTTAATCCAGTCTCATGATTTGCTTAGGGCCCTGACATAAATTTTCAACACTTGGGGCTGGCAATGCTAGATTCATAATCAAATCAACTGCAACCATTTGAATTACGTGCTGCAGAGACCATGCACACAGCTGGTGGGGCTAAACAGAAGTTGGAGAAAGAAGGTTTTTTTTTATTTGATCAGCTTTGAGCTTTTCATTTGGCAGATAATTCCCGCCCCCCCCCCCCTTTCCATTTCTGAAGAGCTTGGAATTAACACGACATTTTTGTTCACTTCCTGGTGTATTCCCAGACAAGAAAGGATTTTGGAGTCACAGGACCATGTGAGTTAGCAGCTGCTGAGGCAGAGCCAGCAGAGGGAGCAAAAGTCTCCCTTTCTCTTATTCTATTCGGAAGAGCATTCCTCCTCCAAGGAGAACCATTTCCTTCCCCTTATTTAGCATCCCGCCCACTTTTATAAGGAGCTCACAAGCCAATGACAGAATCGTAAAGGGACAGATTAGAGTTAACTGCGGCTCTTGAGTAAAAGGTCTGATATCTTCATGGGAGGCAAATGCTGGTAGCAGGAGAACATGCAACAGATTAGAATGGGTCTCTGAACAGGAGAATTAGACTCTTTCATATTTAATACATGCACGTCCACAGCACAAGCGAATCCCTTGGAGTCACAAACTTTCCAATCAGAGACTTTGACCTTTGGAAGGAGATAGTCCTTAACCAGGGAGAGTCGTACAATAATTAACAGACAGTGTGCAATCTACAGACGTTAAAAATAAACCTTAATGACTGAGGGCTGGTTATTAATAAAGTTTTACCACCTTTACTAGCCACTTCATCTGTTTTGTTTTCTCTGTGCATCAGAGCAGTGATCCAGCGAGCCCGGTCACTCCTGTCAAGAGTTAAAGACCTTGTTATGTGCAGGTAACAAGCGTGGAAATACCTTGCATTAGAACCAAAAGGTTCTGCCAGGCTGTAGAGAAGACAGAAATACTGGTCTCCTGCACATGGTAAATTCCAGCAACCCTCTCCCAAAAGAGCGAAGCATCTGAAAGATGCTATTTTAAACAAATAATTTAATCTCTATGAAGCGGGTCTGGACTTTATTCTCTGCAGGATGGCACGGAGAGATGCAGCTTTGAAGCAGAAGTAGTGTAAGAGGTTGCTGAGTATCTACAGGACTGCGTCACGCATTAATGAAAAGATGAGGTGAGACAATAAAGTGGTGGAGGTGGCTGAAATATACCCCCAGGGTCAGAGGCAAGAGTTTGGGGATTCCCAAAAGAACCGTCGCTTCTTGTGAAACAGGATCGAGTCTAACGGATGAAGGCTGATCTCGTCAGGATAATGGAACCATGTGCCATTTTGACCTAACAGCAGCAGGAAGTGAAAGAGAAAGACAAGCCTCCATAAGAGAGAACAGGGTTTAGCAGCAGCCAATGGAAGTTACTTAGGGCCCGAGGGGAAAGGGAAAGGTAGGTCGATAAGGATAAAAGAGAAAGCAAAAAGGAGGCAGCAGCTGATGGTCTAGAGATTCCAAAGCAGGAAGGGGGAAGCAAGGCTGGAGACCTTGGGAAAGGAACTTCTCTGCACAGCTCAACAATTTGCAGAAGACAAACAGGGAAGAGTTAAGGCAAAAAACTTATTTCTGTGCTATGGGAGAGGAGGGGTTTTGGTGGCCTTTCTAAGGTATTTATTCATGTGCTATATGATTAAACATGTTCTCCCCTCCCCACCCCATCTTGAAAAGATTTAATAAAATGCTGTTTCTCTCTCAAAAAAACCCCAACAACAAAAAAAAAACCCACACCCCACCCACAATCCAGGAAAAAAATAAATCCCACAGCCCCTCTGCATGTTTAGGAAGGAAGCCCACAGAGCAACACTCACAGAGACTCCGCCGACAGCACAATCGTCTCCTCCTTCCCTTCGCTGTTCCTCTTCATGATCACTCGAAACGAGTGGCCGCTACACGGGCCACGGGCTGCACCACTTGACCCCGGCTTCCCAGGGGGAGACGAGGGACTGTCAAGGGCTTTCAATTTTCTCCACCATTATCTGATCCAGCTTGGCATAGTCCATAACTGCGTAGCTCTCCTCACTAGAGGCAACAAAGCGCAGCGGGGTTAGAACCTCCCAGTGCTGGGCATGCTGCTCGCTTCCAGAGCCAGGAACTCGGTCTTGAAAGCAGCTTCCCTGAAGGTTGACCAGAGCCCAGCAAATGCCAAGACACACACAAAGCTTAGTAGTGCCATCAGGCCTTTTCTTAGCTCATTAACTCCCGCCTCCCATCAAGGCCAAGTGGTTGGGCTCTCCTATAGACTTCTGCTGGCACAGCAGGGGCTGATGAAGTGGGATACGGGACCAACGTAGCTGTGCTGGCAGAAGCCTCAAGGGCAGATGCCATCACGCCAGCAAAGCTGCTGCTACCGGTCCTCTATCCGACCTTGGCTACTGGCTGCGGTTGGACCTCAAAACATAAGAACGGCCACACTTGCTCAGACCAAAGGTCCATCTAGCCCAGTTTCCTGTCTTCCAACAGTGGCCAGTGCCAGACGCTTCAGAGAGAATGAACAGAGCAGGGAAATCAGTGAATGACCCATCCCCTGTCGGCCATTTCCAGTGCCTGGCATGTATTGCATTCCTGACCATCTTGGCTAATAGCCATTGATGGACCTGTCCTCCATGCAGCTATCTAATTCTTTTTTGAACCCTGTTATATTTTTGGCCTTCACAACATCCCCGGCAACGAGTTCCATAGGTTGACTGCGTGTTGCATGAAGAAATTCTTCCTTTTGTTTCTTTTAAACCTGCTGACTATTCATTTCATTGGGTGACTCTTGTGTTATGTGAAGGGGTAAATAACACTTCCTTATTCACTTTCTCCACCCCAGTCATGATATCACAGACCTCTATCTTAATCTCTCCTCACGTGGAAGCTGTTCCATCCCCCTCACCATTTCTGTACCTTTTCCAATTCTAATATCTTTTATGAGACAGGGTGACAAGAACTGCACAAAGTATTCAAGTTGTGGGTGTACAATGGATTTATACAGAGGCAATATGATATTTTTGGTCTTATTATCTCTCCCTTTCCTAAGGCTTCCTAACATTCTGTTGGCTTTTTGTGACTGGCACGGAGCAGATGTTTTCAGAGAACTAGCCCTATGTGTTGAGAAGCAGCGTGATCCAGGGGACAGGGCACTAGCCTGCTGGATGACCTGGGCCAACTCATTTCTCTCTCTGCCTTGTTTAGGCTGTAATCTCTTTGCTGCAGGGGCTGTCTGGATCAGGCCCTTGACACGTGACTAACACACAGACCATCACAATCCACCATGTCCTAGAGCCAATAGCAGAGTGTTTGAGACAGGGGCTGGTTTGATTTTGGCTCTTGGCAACCCAGAGTTCAGTTGCCAACTGAACATTTAATCATGACTTCTTTTTCTGGGATGGTGAATTTCTCAAGCCACCATGGGAACTGGTGCAGCATTCGAGGGCATATAGTCCATAATACGCTGAGAGAGCCACGGAAACGGGCAGAATTGCAGAGAGATCCCCACCCAGAGAGAGAATTCGCATTTCATCTCCTCAGCATGTGCACGTTAGAGCAGCAGTTCACTCTAACTCCTCTAGCAGTAGACCGTAGTGAGTTATTTCCATATAAATCCAATCCTCACCTGCCCACAGCAGCAACAGGATTCCAAATGGAAACAGACAAAAGTGACCCCAAAAGACTTTAAAGGCTGGCAAACACGAGAGACAGAAACATCCAGAAGGCAGAGAATTTAATCAGATCTCTGTGCCAACTGGGGGAGTGAGAGGAAACCAAGGAGTCAAATTATAGAAAACTGTTTAAGAAGCAACCTTGCAGGGCTAATATTCCTCTTTATGTGGTGCCAGCTTGGCACAAATGGCACCAGAACGAACCAGAGGGAAGGTGCTTACCTTTGGTGAAATGAGCTTTGCAAGGTTATGTAGATAGCTAGATAAACACAGCCTTGCAAAGAGCTCTCCTGGAAGTGCCATTTTTTGGTCAGGCAAACCAAATATTAAAGTCTACCCCCATCTTCTTTTAGACTGTACGGTCTTTGGGGAAAGGACTATCTTGTTCTTTGTGCCTGTAAAGCTCCTAGCAGAATGGGGCCCTGATCCATGACCAGGGCTTCCAGGTGCTGCTGTATTATAAATATCACATGAGACCAAGTCAATGTTGTGCCCAGGTGGGTAAGTTTTCATACTAGCTTTGCAGGGCTGCGATTTGGTGGTCATGTTTTTACTTTAAATTCCAAAGGCTGGCTATTGTCTTCCTTGTCCTCTCTCATTCTTGATATTGTGTGCTCTGCTTAAATTTTGAGGGAGAGGTGTTTTTTTTGTTTTGTTTCAAGATCATCACCACCTCTCCTCAATTGGGCCTCTGAGAGCAGGCGGTGGATGCCAGCTCCATCACGCTGGTTTCACTGCCCATTGTTAGTGCTCCCGAATAGCTGGGAGCAATAGGTTCCAGCAAAAGGGCCATCACAATGGGGTTAATTTGTGTACCTAAATTGCTCCTATTTGATGACTTGTAAGCAAAGGATTTGGTCAAAGATCCAAAGTTTTAAACATTCCGTTAAAGGGAGAGCTTCATAGCTGCAGGCTAAGGAGCGTCTTGGACAAAAGGCTTGGTGCCCCCCTCCTCCTCTTTGGTGAGCTCACTAATAAAAGGGCAGGGATGACTGCTGTCCTGTAACGAATGCATTTCTTGCCCTTTTTAGCCTCTAACATTGATCAGAGAGGTTCAAGTGACAGCACTGGAGGGTAGAGCCACTTCATACCCAGCGAGACAGGAACAAGTTTCTACCCACCTCACCCCTAACCCATAACCTGTGGAGAGACATCACTGGGGTTTTTGGTTCGGAGCCAAACTGGAAAATCCAGGGGGAAAATATTCAGTTGCATTGGACCGGAAATATTTTTTTTTTATTTGCTTGGTCTCAGGCCAAGCTAAACATTTTGTTCAACCTGAAATGATTCTGCCCCCCTCTCCCCCCCACCCCCCACTTCTTTGTTTTGCATCGTCTTCAGGTGCTTTTCCACCTGTGTGTGTGTGTGTGTGTGTGTGTGTGTGTGTGTGTGTGTGTTTTTAAAATGAGCTGGTGTGAAGTGAGACATCGAAGTATTTTGAGCTGGCTGAAACAAACCATTTAGACTTGCCTCAAAAAACCTGTCCCACTCCATTCGCTCTAGGCCCCAATCCCGCAGGAAGCATCTCAGCAAGAGGGGGACGTGACCCGTTCAGTCCCTGGCTTCTCTGCCGAGGTTCTCAACAGTAGCACCTAGGGAGCGCCAGCTGGAAGGGGGTTGTTTTGGTTTGTTTTTTTGAAATAAGGACGCCTGTCGTGTTGGGGCTGGAGGAAGGGCACCAGCTTGCTTAACGACACAGGTGTCAAACCACAGTCAGATGGTCAACTGCGCTCACGATGGAATGGATTCAAACCGGTGATGGGCGTGAATGCTCCACCTCTCTCTGTCGACTAGGGCTCTAGCTTTGCAAATACACAGACAGACATTCATGAGATCATGCATCCGATGAAGTGAGCTGTAGCTTACGAAAGCTTATGCTCAAATAAATTTGTTAGTCTCTAAAGTGCCACAAGTCCTCCTTTTCTATTCATGAGACAGTAATTTACCACTAGGTAATGCACCCTCAGTACTACTGACTGCTTCAGATGAGGCAATTGATAAAGTCTCTTCTTATGAGCTCAACAAGAAGAGACCATAAATATTCTCCCTTACCTTTTCTTCTTGGTTACAATCAGGACGTCATTAAACACAAAAAGGTAGCAGTTAGCCCGGCCAAAACTTTTGCGGAAGATACCAGCATCTTCTGAATGGGAAAGGGAGATCTCCCCTCTTTTCAGCAGCCAGCGGGAAGCTGAAATCAGTGGGAAAGGCTGCAACAAGAAACGTAGTCAATTTTGGGACACAATAGCAACAGTAAAAGAAGAGTCTGAAGTGATCAAAGGTCCCCGATTGCATTGTCAATGGAGAACTACGTAGCCATTCTAAGGCCAGATGTTGAGAGCTGGGCTCTTTGAAAAAAAAATCTGGACTTAACTTGGGCACTGGGCAATTCTGAAAATCTGGCCTTTAGTGAGCTAGTATTGAAGGAGTTCCCTGGTAGAACAAGAGACAGCTATTTTAGCTGCATGAAACCATCCCCAGACCGCGTAGAGTGACAACAGTGACTTCATTTCTCTTGCTCCTCCCACCAGTGGGATTGGCCTCAAAAGAAATTCTTTTAAATGCATAGCAGTTCTTAAAGTAATTAGTCCCACCCTTCTGTTCTGATCTCCCGACTGGTAGTGTGTACGGAGTGCCACCAGGTTGACAGCGCCCTCGGCAAAAAGCCCAGAGATCCAATATTGCGTGTTAACAGTTTGCATCTTCAATTTTAAATGGTAGTAAAAGATACAGCTGGATAAACAGCTTTTGAGCGAGAGACTGTTCACTCAAACCAACCAAAGTTCTTGTTTTAAATGACAGCAACAATATAAAACTCTTAAGAGACAGACGGATTTTCAATGCGAGCTAGGTGCCTAACTCGCTCTGGCATTTTAGTAATGTTCACTAGGTGCCTAAATACCTTTGCCAATCTGGCTGCAAGTATTGAAAAAGCTACCATCACTGCAAAGCATAAGAAGAGAAGCCCAGGGCACATTTCCAGCAAAGAGGACTCCTCACCTTGATCTTTCCAAACTCCAGGTGTTTCTGAAGTGTGTACATCTGCTCGGTCCTCTCCATCGTGTGGGCTCCCTCATTGCATTTCTTAACTAGCTAGAAGCAGAAAGACAGAATTATCCCAAAACTTAGCTTGCGTTCTCTTTCTACACAGTGGACATAATTGGACAGCCTGGAGTTCTTCACTGCCACTAAACTGAGGCATGAAGTGAGGCAGGAGGGTTGGAGATATGCACCAGAGATGTAAAAGTTTGGAAGAAGAATTGGTTTGCTACTTTAAAGCACCCTCTTTTCCACCGGAGCCGTGACAGGCTTGCAATGCTGGGCCATTTTTGCCTGCTCTCGCCAAGATTTTCCAGCCTTTACTTCCTCTCTTGCTGGAAAGCAAAATAAATGCAGTTCCCTCCCCTGCCTTTCGCCACGCAACTCCTGGCAACACTGCCTAGGACTCAACTGATTTAAGGGTGACAACAGGCAGCGGCCACCCTTCCTACTCCTCCCTTCATGGCCCAAACATGCCTGATCAAAGGGGATCCTAGAAATCTGTTCGCCATGGAAAAATGCGGAATATGCGATTTTAAAGAGAATCTTTAATATCTGCATTTTGTGAAAAAATAAAAACATATATTAAATTAACTAAATTTTACAGAGAGGAACAGTGTCACTTATTCAATGCACGTAATCTCCCCCTCTTGTGGTTGATTTCTGAATGCACTTTAAATTTACATAGCTAAACATACTCCAATAAACTGCTTCCAGCCTATAGAGGTTACTCAACGGTGTACAGGGGTTCATGTCCAATTTCATTTCAGCCTCCAGATGAGAGTAACTAAAGTTATGAAAAGATGCCAAAAACTTTAAAAATCACCCCTGAAGACTGTGTCACTGAGTTTGGCAAGGACAAATTTCACATTGATGGTAATGTACCATTCTGTACTGTATGCAGCAAGGCTGTACATTACATTCAAAGGCAGACATAAGAACGGCCATACTGGGTCAGACCAAAGGTCCATCAAGCCCAGTATCCTGTCTCTGACAGTGGCCAATGCCATGTGCCCCAGAGGGAGTGAACCTAACAGGTAATGATCAAGTGATCTCTCAATTGTGGAACACATGGAAAGTGCTAAACAAACTGAATGAAAAACGAAAACAAGAGGCTGAAACAGCAGGGCCATCGACAGCAGTAAACACACACTACACTGGGACTGGATCATTCTATTAATTTTATTTTATAATAATGACTAATGGCACTGGTAGGCTTAGAATTTGCTTAAAATTGTAAATATATATCAATAAAACATTGTGCTCAACTGATATCTATAGATATTGTGGCAAGGGAAACTGAAGTTCAGTGTTTCATTTTAATTGCGGGAAAACAGATTTTTTTATTGGAGAATTTTGGTTATATCACGGAAAACTAGGATCCTTGCTGATTAGCTGGCCTTTCATCTCTGTTCTGGACAGCTAGCAGCTACAGGTGCTTGACTGATCACTCCTTTGCTCCCAAGCCTAAAGCCTATATGATTCGGCAACACTAGGACAGTTTCAGTGGAGTCAAACTCTGCGCTTTCCCTCTCCACTCACTATTCCCTCCTCTCCTCGGCCGGACTGCCATCTGACTTCAGGATCTCTTAGAGCATCCTCTCAAGTGCTACCAGATCCTTCTGAATCAGGGACCTTGGGCTGTTCTGGAGCAAGGCAGTCTGCTTTTCCTTGCTTCTCGTCTCAGACACAGCCGTGAAGCGCTCCACCTCCCTTCAAAGCCATCCTGGGAGGCACTGGGTGGAAGGTCCCGTTTTAGTAGCTGTCTGAGGGAGACTGCTTTACAGACCACAGGGAATGTGAGACGAGTTGTTAATTACAGCGGAGAGCATGGCCCCTCGACAGTATGCAGCTTCAGACTACAGTGCTAGCGGCATCTCTTCCACTGACAGCTTCCCTTCAGTGCAGTTAAACGATGCACATGTACCCCCCCACCCCTACCACTGCTCACAGAGGCCAGAATACAGCAGCCTCTTAGTGTGGGGGAAGAGGCTACTTTAACACTAATGGCAGGAATGATCACAATCCTGTGTTTGGGCAGGGGGGGAAGAGGTGGCTAATTCTTTGATTTATAATGTTGAAGTACTGTCAGAGGGGATCAGATGCCTCAAGATGCGTAGAGCAGCAAAAGGGTAAAGGCAACTGTAACTCATGTGGCTGACTCGGGAAGTCCTCGCAGCCCCAAGGATCAGGTCTCCTGTGTATCACGTAAGCACGGCAGGTCTTCTTGCAGCGAGGCAAAGCACCTGCAGTTTACTACTGGACAATACGTACAGCTTCTTCCTTCCTTCCTTCCAAGGCTGCAGATGCCTCACCTTGCTGATGGCTTTCAGGGCTTGGGTGGCAGCTTCGTAGGCTGTGCTGTCCACGCTGGTTTTCTGACAAACCGTCTAGAAGGTGGAGAGAACATTAGAGAATCCTTCCAAAACAAACGTCAGTTTAAACGGCTTTGCTCTATTCCCCCACAGGTTCTAGGATGTGGCAAACCCAGGGTCCTCTCCCGGGTGGGAGCTCATAACTAGCACCTGCAAGCGAGGGAGGGAAGGATGCATGCAACTCTGAGGGAATTATAAACAAAACCAGGAGAAGCAATCATTTTGCTACTTGGAGGCATCTTTTCCACTTGGCCTCTTGGTGTTTCTTGTAGATGCAACATAGGGGCCGTAAAGAAAACAAGGATATTAACATGTTCTCATCCCTTTGCAGAAACTAGCTGTGTTGAGCAAAGCTAAACTGGCTCTCCCCTCCCCCGCCCGACCCACCCCATTTGAGGGTTGCTGGATTCAGGGATTGCACAGAGGGGATGAATCTTTCAAAGACTGCTCTCTCCCGAACTTCCTCGTGCACATCGCTGCTAGCCCAACCAGGGGAGCTCCAGGCTTTCCCTACTGCATGACCTAGATGCCACACCCCTGGTGCTTTTTTGGGCATTGAACAGAGTCTCAGTTTTGCAGACCATTTCCTGCCCTAGGCCTTTGCATCTCCTCCCTCGGGGCAAGGCAGTGGCATTAGACTGTGAAAAAAGTAATTGAGGAACCAGGGCAGAGCGACAGGGATGAGAGACATCATAAGCCACACAGGGTCCTTCCATAGCAGACTGTGCATTGAAGGAAGTAGGGAATAGGGCCAACCAGCATTCTGGGCTGGAGTTCAAGTTCTGGACAAAGATTCCGGTCAGTTTCCGAACCGAACCTTCCTTGCATAGCTATAACATCAGCCAAAGACCGCCAGGACGCAGGTCTCAAGTACTCTGCTGTGCTAGATTCATGCCAGGGAACAGTAAGATCAACGCACTCGGTCCCTTTGAAAGGTGCCAGGGAATTCCACTTGCTGGTTCTTACTTACGTCCATAAGCAGGGGCAGGCGTGTTACTCTTTGCATGGGGAGGATGAGGAAGGAGCTCATGGGCAGGCCACCACACTCTGGCTTCCTCTCAATTTGTTTCAAGGCCTCTTTAAACGTAGCATTCGTGTTTCTAAAATGGGACACAAGGATCCTCCATTAGGCTTGGGCTTTCCAGACCCTTCATGTGCTAGAGAAGCTAATGGCCCAGGCATGACGTGGGTTCTCCAGGGTTTCTAACAGTTGGTTACAGCACCCAGGGAGATGTTAACAATTGGGACATATGCTTGGTTCAGATAATGCCTGTATTAATCCCCTTGGAGCTTAAGAAAAGGCACTGGAAACACTCAGTCCTCCCCACGGGTGATTATATCAGTACTGACATTGCAATGGACGACATGACCTTGGCATGAGCCGGAGAAAGCCTGACTGTTTGGAAAACACAGACATCCCAGCGAGAGATCCTCGCTTCCAGGCTGGGGTCAGAGCCCCTCCACAGCCACGAGTCTCCAGATCCAGGAAGGGAACGGATCCACCCCGAAAGCACTTCCTCTCTGGAAGTTGATAATTTGTGAGTGGCGAGGACATTCTTGGATGCCCTTCCACCCCCCTCATTACACCACCTCTGCTCACACAGAACAAACAATCCCAAACAATCATGCTATTGCTAGCTGAAGGTAGGTCCCACAGTCACTGTCCCAACTAGTAGAGGATCATCCCCACATCTAGCCTTGAACAGCGAGCACACTGCAGCCTGGGGACAGGCACGAATTCCTTGAAAAAGGAGACATCCGAGTTACAGGAGAATTTGCTGTGGGTAACTCACTGGCGGGAGTGCAAAACTCATGGAAAGTCGCCACGCGTGGCTCAGCCTGGATTACTACTGGCTAGTTACAGACCCCAAAGCCCTGCTGTGCAGCAATAACTCACAGAAGCTTCTGTAGCGTCCTTTGCTGGTAGACTTCGTTGGAGCAGTAGACGACGTAAGGGTTGAAGCGGTTTGACACGTGATTCTCCAGGATGTCGCTGATGTTGGGGATCAGTATATTTTCCTGGTGCCGCTTCTCCAAGTCCTCAAAAAAACTGCCAAGAACACACACACACAAGGCAATTGGTGGGGTCACAGGAAGCAGACTATGTGTCTGCGTACAGGGATGCTCTCTTACCAAGTTCCCTTACCAAGATCTGCCGGCTCGCCAATTCTTTTGTCTCATAGAACTTCTTACTCATCCCTGGATTCATCTTGCCTCTCCCCATACCAATGGCTTTCCATTCAATGGACTTCGCTCCCTTATTTAATGTCCTGTGTTCTAGAGACTTTTTCCTATCAGTGTTATCAGCTCTTCCTCCAGTGCACCTCCTCCTCACAGTTCAGCTCAGGAAGAAAAAAAAAAAAAAAAAACTAACTAGGCTACAATATCTGGTCCAAAAGCCAAGGCCACTTCTGATTAAGTGGGTGATTCACAAACACCTGGTAGAACAGGAGGAGCTTGGCCCACGTGGCTGTGACTACCCTGCATGAGGCTGCAGAGACTAGCAAGGGCTTGTCTACATGAAGAAACTGCCCAAAATAGCTACTGTAGAATAGCTTCCCACGTGGATGCTTTGCTCCAGAATAGAAGTCCCTTTTTTTCTTAGAGTTAGTGTGCTTCCAAAGCAGAGTAATTATCCTGAAACAAAGTGACTCCTATTCCGGAACAGAGGGTCCACAGAGGGAGCTATTCCAGCATCGCTATTCTGGAATCATTTATCTCATAACAGCTATTCCGGTCACTTACCCTGTGCAGACAAGCCCAAATTCTACCACGGCAGAGACAAGTCTGCTCCCCCCAATGGCTGTGTTCCCACCTGCTGACCAGCAAACTCAGCCAACATGCAATTCGCGGTAGTGGGTGTTCCTGGGAGAGTCTCCATGCCATTAGATTCTCGGCAAGCTGCCGAAGTGTCCTCGGGGAGGGTGTAACATTTGGGCAGACCAAGCTATAAACATCCAGAGAGGACTATGGCTCTTCTCCCATGCTATCAGAGAGACACCCTGCCTCAGACATCATGCCCCAGCCAGCCTGCAGCACCAGGACTGATTTCTCCATCTACCTGTGTACTATTTTAAGGCAGATCTGCTACCATGACAGCCAGAAAGCTCGGATTAAGACATAGGAGGAAATCTACTAGGGAACCAAGATTGACTCTTTCCTTAGAAGGGACTTTAAAAACAAAAAGCCAGCCACTGCCGGCAGAGCTGTTAGAAGCTGCCTGCAGGGAGGCAGGGAGCTATGCATGTGGTGAGGCCAGCAGGACAGTGTAACTCTAAACCTCCTTTCTATGTTTCAGCCCCAGGGAGGTGCAGCTCCTGGGTGTCAAGCCCACAGGGTCACTTCCCAGAACAAGCAGGTGTCACATGGGGATGTGTGTGCAATCACGGGGGATTTTATATGGGCCTAAAGGAAATAGCAGAATGCTGGGGAGGAGCATGCAGCGTGCTAAGCTGCAATTATCCTGTTCCCTGCTGAGTTTGCCTCTCCCGAACATACCTCACCCCACCACAGGGCGCAGAGAGGGGAAGCTTCCCCAAGTGAGAATCCAGAACTCCTGGCCCAGGAGAGAAGGGAAATCTCAGAGGCCCCTGAAGCACAGAGCCAGCTCAGCACAGCCACGTGGCCTGCCAGCCAGTAGCACGTGAACAGGGAGAGGTGATAAGAGGGGCTTAAGCCTCAGCATCTGAAATTTCCTCCCAGGAATAGTTCATGGTCCTAAATATCAGAACTCACTTCACAAGGGACATTCCCTAGACACGCTCAGACAGACAGACTCCACAGGAACACACATGCACGGTTCAACAGAGAGACAGGCTCGCAGCCCCAGCATCTGGAATTGAATCTGAAACTCCCCCAAGTTCAGGTGTGGGGTTTGGGTTCGAGCCTCTAGAGGCATTATGCACACACTGCCCCAATCTTAGAAAGGGATAAGCCATCACCCCCGGCGCTAATGGAACGTAACTGGGATTCAATGCCTCACAAGGGCCATTCTTGCTCACATGGTCACCAGGTTCGGGTCTGACGCTTGGCCACCCAGGACAGGGGGGCCCTGGCAGGTCTCAGTCTATTCTGATGTATGCACACACATGTGTTAATTCAGATCTCCAGAGACCCAGGAGCTCCATATAATGAGCTCTCACTACAGGGCTCATAGCAGAGAGGGGAGGCTTTGCAATAGGTCTTAAAAGAAAGAGCCCCAAGCCAAGAGCACCTGGGCCATGCATCACATTACAGTCAGTCAGCACGGACCTCGGGGGAGGAGAGAGCCAGCAAAAAGCTTCCATACGCACACAGAGGGCTTTTGGAAAAAAGTTAGGTTCTAACTGACAGAATGATGGATTTCCCTCTGCCCTGGGAGACCCAGCTCGGAGCAGGATGGTCGGCTCTGAGCTTTGCAAACGCCTAGAATTGCTCAGCAGCTGGAGGCAGATCCACTGCTCAAGGAGAACGAGGGCTCTGTTCTCTCAGCACTGCAGACCCGAGGCCAGGCGAGCTAGTGCAGCATACGAGAGACAAGAAATCCCTCCTGGCCCATACGCACTGAGGGAAGGGACCTCCCTGAAAGCAAGGTTGGGGGTGGGGGGAGGAGGCGGCACAGATTAGCCCGTCCGCCCGCTGAATAATTATGTTTAGCTTTTATGACTTTGTTTTAACTGGTTATTGCTCAGGAAGGTGAAGCAACGATTTTTTAAATCAGTGACAGCGATATTGCTTATGATACAGGTCCTCTCCCCTCCCAAGTGCCAAAGGAATCAGCCCCCCCTCCCCCCGCTTCTTTCACTGAAGGGGACCCCAAGGCACACAGTGGTTAAGTGACTCACCTAATGTTCCAGAGTTGGGATTAGTACTCCAGAGTTCCTGGTTCTCAGTCCTGTGCATATCCCTCCCCGCCCCGCCCCCAACAGATTCTTCATGTCAGTTGTTTGAGGAGTAATTTTATTGCTCCCTCCCTGCCAAAACCCTCTCCAGGCCAGTTCCGGCCCTGCTCTCTCACAGAGCAAGCTGTAAGTCAGACATTCACAGAGCACCCATCTGCTACAGGTTGCAAGTCCCTGGAACGCCCCCAACACAAGCTCCCAGGCCTTGTCGAGTCTTTGGCCCGTGCTTGCCTTTGTTCATTTTTCACACAGCCCAGCTCGCTGACAGCCAACAAGCTTTAGGTTCAGCGCAAGGCCAGAAAGGTTCATCCCCTCCTCAAGAGCAGAGGCCAAGCCGGCATTGGCGGGTTAGGGATGCAGCCATTTCGCTTTCGGCAGCCTCTCAATGAGCTGAGGCAGAACAAGTAGTGGCTTGTTGGAAGGCTCCCAGGCAGCCTCTGCTCTACCAGCCACTGTCATGTCTAAACTTGCCCAGGGCTTTGCCATGAGATGCACCTATGCCTGCGTCACTGGGCCAGAGAGACGAAGGGAGAAGACACCCCACACAATTTACTTTTACAACTTATAACAAGGCTCTTCTAGGGCACAAGGATGAGAATTTGAAACCAGTCCAGGGAGCCCAGTGGAGTCTACGCAGGTTTGAGTGCAGCTTTAATCAACAGGACCTCCCTACCCAAGGACGTGAACTTCACCAGACAACCCGGCACTGCAGAGCAGCAGCACCAGGAGGCCTTGGGCTGCCTAGTTCGAGGAAGGGCCTGTGTGCTCGTCCCTGTCTGCACAGAGAACACAACCCTGTAGACACTAGCCACATGGACATACTCACGATGCTAGCTCCCTGGTATGCCAGTCAGGTGGGCTCAGCACCGTGGCACAGGAGCTTAGCAGGGGGGAAGGGGAGGCAGGAGGGTAAATGGTACGTTTGCTAACAACAGATTACACACAGACCTATGGCGGCGCCCCCCCCAGTTGTTCCTTCAACAAAATGAATCATATTTAAATAGGGAGGGCAGCCAACCATGGGACACAGGGAATTCCCGATCACTCAGGGTCTTTAACTCAAGACTCGATGCTTTTCTAAAGCATAAGCTGCAGCTAAGCAGAAGTTATGAGCTGGATGCAGGAATCACAGCGTGAGGGTCTCCGGCCTGGGCTACGTAGGTGAGACTGGATGAACACAATGGCCCCCTCTGGTCTTAACATCTGTGAAAAGTCCTGGTGCCAATTCAGCTATTTCTTGGAGGATGGGGCAGATTCTGGTCCCTGCACCCCCCACCAACAGGGACCCCAGGTCTGTCTTGGCCAGGGAGCCTCCCCTCTCTCTTACCCATACAGTGCACGAGCTGCCGCCGCCAGGAGTTGAGTTCTTAGACTCCCTGGCGCTCCAGTGTACAGGTGAGCCAGGTTGTAACATCACTAGGCCCAGCTGCCCTCCATCTGTACAGAGGGGCAGCCAGGCCAAGGTTCAGTGGTGCTGGGACCAAGCAGTCAGAGCAACACTCTAGACCGATCCAGCGGCAGCTGTACTGATTTAGGACAGGACCACTGCTTAAAAGTGGTTGGGGTCAGGCCCCCACAGGGCCTATGGAACTTTAAGCAACTGCAAAAACCGGGGGTGTGCGCGCTCCCCTCTTCCCCTCCCCAGCACCCCGATAGGCACCACTACTGGGTAGATTTTCCCCATGCGCTCGCCTCCAAGATTTACCTTTTGCTGATGCTCAGGATCTCGCCGATGTTGGAGAAGAGGTGATGGTGCTCAGTCTGGGTCATTGTCTCCTTCAGCTCTTCGGATTTCATGAAGTGACACACCAGGATACCCAGGCTGTGCAGGTAGGAGTATTCAGAGGTGATAATCTCAAAGATCGCCTGATCAATGGGGTACCGGGGGGAAAAAAAACAACAACATACCCATGAGGACTGAAACATCTGAGCAGCAATCATTCCCATAGACAACGTGACCGAGTGAAGCAACAGGATGGTGCAACAACTACACACACACTGGACTGTAAGAGGCTAGAGAAACTTGACACCGTGGCAGCGTCATTCCACGGAGAGGCCGGAAGACCTCAGCCATTGATTGAAACATAGCAATGGTCACCACCAGCAGTAGGTTCACTAATGCACCCAGTAGTGCACCCGAGAAGGCTCTCCTAGGACAAGGCTCCCGTTAACCTAACCCCAGCTGACTGACGGAGCCCTCACGTATGCAGAACAGCTTCTCTCACCTCTTGCCTTTTGCGTTCCTCTGGCGTTATTCTTTCTAGGATGCCTGCTTCCTGCACCTGAACGACAGAGAAAAATCACGCTGAGCGTGAAGGGCAGTGCTGCTCCCAGCACCAAATACGGAGTCCCACACGCAGGCCGGGAAAGCCATCACACATGGTGCACCATTGCCCCAGGCATCCGGCAGGGGCTCTCCCCAGCCTCCTGCATTCTGTGGTCTAAGGATGTAAGAGCCGACATAGCAGGTCAGACACCCAACCTGGCACTTTGCCTCCAGCAGCAAACAACGGATGATTCAAAGGAGGATTAAAATCATTCCCAATGCATGTGGTCAATGGTGAAAAACTGTATCCTGGGACAGATTCTTCCTGACCCTTGCAAATAATCGGATTGCATCGGGAGCATGAGATACAGCTACCCCAACCTTGCAGGGTGCTATGGTAGAGTAGAACCTCTTGGTTTGAGAGTTATCAGGTCACTATTTCCACAACACCCTCGGCCAAAGCAAACCACTGAAGCAGGTACTAGCAGTTGCTAAACTGGCCTGCCGGAGAGCTGTCAGGTGTTAAACTTCATTACTGGGTCTTACAAGTGACTCTCTTGGAGGCATCTCTTGAGAAGTCTAATAATTGTAATGGGATGGGAACAGGCGGTGAATAACCAAACCATGAAAACAGACTTGCAGCCTGGGAGGCAATGACCCTTGGAGGTCATATTCTAGTCCAGGCGAACAATGAATCATGATTTTCATAAAGATTTATACTCTCCTATAGCAGCCTTTACTATTATTGGGAAGTGTAAAAGGCATTTGTTTTTCTCCTGATGTGACCCCTCTATCAAACAGAAATATCAAATAAATGAGTTTAGGAAGCTTTTGGGACGGACGGATACACGCACATTGGATGCTGATGTCTATCTGGAATGAGAGCCCATGGACCTGGGCTGATAACCAATTAGACACTAATATGGATCTCATCTGCTTTGGCAAGGAAAGTGAAAGGGATTTTCCTTTACTAAACCCTTTGACCCGTGATCAGCTCCTTCTCTGTGAAGGTTTATGAACATTTACCTTTCCTCCTGCCAGCCACACCCTGAGGCAGCCGCCCCGTCCTACAGCTGGGTGTACTCAGACACTTGCCCATGTTGACAGAGCAAGCCAGTGACAGTCAGGAACACTGACTCTCAAGCCCCCAGCCTCGTGGTGTTAAAACCCCATTTAATTTGGTTGGGGGTGGGGAAAGCAGCCACTACTCCTGTGGGTGACATCCATTTCCTGGCTTAGCAAGATTTACACAGGCTCAAACCCAGCTCTGAGCCAAATTTTAAAAAAAGTGCTCATAAAACCTCCCCAGCCCCTAGGGAGATTCGCCTGCAGTGAGCTCCAAGTCTGGTTCAAAGAGAGAAAACAGCAACCTTCAACCCAGATACATCTGCTCCTCTGTGCAACGGATCAAGCTCCTTTCTGCACATTAGTACAAGCCCACACCATTTACGCAGCCCTGCTCGCCCCAGCCCCACCGGCAGCAGGGGCCCACACCGTGGGATACTGAAATAGAAGGAAAACCAGAGTCCAGGACTAGAAATCCCTCTGGTAGTTTGCCTGGAGTGAGCGGGAGCAGCAGCAGCGGGCTCTCTCTGGCACGCCACAGGGAGCATTCGAGGACAGGACAAAGTGGCAGAGTGTGAGGCAGGGCTCCTGCTCCCTACCTCAGGTAGCTGGCTCCAGGTCACCTGGGCGGGGCGATAGCTTTTCACCACGATGGTGGCAGGAGCAGAATGCTCCTCCACATTGGAGTCCTCCTCCAGCAAGTCATCGTCTGACTCATGGTTGATGGAGTTCAGCCCTCTCTCACGGATCTCCTGATAGAGCCGGGGCTCTGGAGGGAGGACACGAGCCAGGAAATTACACACGGACTCTGAGAAATAGCTCCCCTTCCACCCAGAGCCCACCTCCCCCACAGCCCTTTCCACATGGGAGGGGAGGGGAGAGACCACAGGGACCCCGCATTTGACAGCCTCTGGAAGGTCCCCAGGAGCAGGGTCTCCTCAGCTGGGGCAGGATCCGTGGCCAGGCTGGGATGTGGCACAGGGGCAAGGGAGAGTGCCGGGGAGAGGGATGAGATGAGAGCGCTGAATGTAACATGGCAAGGTCAGGGGGCCTCTCTGGCAAATCGGGAGCCTCAAGACACTTAGAGAAAACATACAAAGGGAGAGTTTTTACAGAGGAGACATTTACAGGCCCTACAACTGCTCTGTGCAGAGCTGGAGCTGAGGGGAAATCCAGGCAGGGACACACTGCAGCAGACAGGTCCTGCTCCCCGGAAACAGGGTCAGGAGCACAAGCAGCAGCTGGGGTCTCAGCTCCTCGTAAACATACCAGAGAGAGAGAGCACACCACAGAAGCAGTTAATCCTCGCATCACCTTCAGCAGGAAGGGGGCATTGTTGTGGAGTCCATTTTACAGGTAGGGAAATCAAGGCAGAGGGGGCCAGTAGCTTGTCCTGGGCCAGAGGCGGATAATGTCAAACATGGCAATAGCGCTCAGGAGTGCCTGGCTGCATGGTGTGGGCTCAGGGCAAGCTTCTTTCAGAATAATGCTCAGGACCACTGGACACAAGCTCAATGCCATCTCAGACGAGATTCTGCACCAAGTAATTCAATTATTTCCAGAGTGCCACTGTGATTCCTAGCGCTCCGCTGAATAAAGAAAGGCAGGTTCCCTGCCCAGGCCAGCTTGCAGTCTAGGTCAACGGTTAAAGGCAAGAGCAGAGGAAGGGGATGAGGTGGACAAGCAGGACGACAGTCAGATGATGCAGTCACACAGGAGGCTGGTGCACACACCTTGGTTGTTACATTCCCCCAATCCCTCAAGCGTGAAAGTTCATTGATTTGATTCGATCAGTGCTTGGGTCAACCCTTCCTGCTTTGAACCCAGGAGCAGCGAGCCCCATCTGCTGGACAGGCTTGTTTGCATGGCTCATTCCCACAGGGAATGCTCAGACCACGACCCTGGCTGTTCTCTCAGGCCCTCTTGGATCAGCATCTCCCCATGGCTGTGATGGCAGGAGGCACCTCTCAGCTGGGAGACACTCACTTACCCTCCCTGACGCCCAGCTGCAGGAGCAGTGCCATGGGAGAGAAGGGTGATGCCAGCAACATCAAGGACTTTGGGAACAGTGGGAGTGAAAAACAACTCACCATCCTTAAAGGAGCCCCCGTGTCTCTGCATCCGCTTCCTCCCGAGTGTTCTCTGCAAGAGTGACAGGAAAGAGAGTCAATAAGAGACATGGGTAGACAAAGTCAAACCTCATCTTGACAGCTCTGGAATAACAAGCCATTGCTGGAGTCTGATTTCTTTCGGTTCATTTTACAGGGAGCAGGAGATGCTCTTTGGACAGCCCTGGGTCTGCCCTTTATCCATCAACTAAACCAAGTGTCTGTGCAATCTCCGCATACACATGCTGTTTCCCTGCCCCCTCAATGTCCCCAGCCCAGACCTGGAGGGACACACCCCAGGGAGTTCAGTCTTCAGACATTCCACACAAGCTGCCAACTCTGGAGTAGATATGACACCGGTAAGTGTCCAACAGGGAGTAATCCCGCGCTGACAGGGGATGCACTAGTTGAGCAAACAAGTCGGTTCCATCTCTAGACCTCTGCCACACTCCGCTCCTTTCCCCACAGGTCAGGTAATGCTCTTAAGTGGTATCAACTTTTGGCCATTAGCAGAAGTGAACAGCCAGCCTGTTACCAGCCTCGGATGGCTTCCTGACAGAGCAGTTCTCTTTCCCACCCCCTTTGTCCTCACCTGGAGGACTATAAACCTGCAAGAGGAAAATCCCAGTTGGTGACTGGAGGAAACACAAACAAACACTGAACTCTGTAGCAAAGTTAGCCAATTAGGTCGTGTGTGTGGAGAGAAAGGGTGCTTTCTTTAAGTATAGACGTTTCTCATTGCAGAACCCTTTACTTACATAAAGTCCCATCAGGTCACAAGTGGACAGCCATAGAGGGGCATCAATGACAAGGAGGGTCTGAACAATTTTTACTATGGGAAGACACCCAGAAGATGCCTCAACTTACCTACATCACAAGCTAGAAAGAGAAACTCTACTCTGTACCAAAAATAAGGGGCTTGATTCTCCCCTCATGCCAGGGTGTCTCCTTTGCCTTTGGCAGAGTCCCCCTCCCTCAATTCTGATCTCTGGAAATCCAGTCCAGTGGGCCTAAGCGGAGTTATCCAGAATGGGAGCATATAAAAAAAAAGTTAGGGGCCAGCTTCGAAAATATTGGGCTAAGTGACTTACTCAGGGTCACACAGCAAATCAGTGGCAGGGCTGGGGATAGAACCCAGGTGTTCTCTCAATCTCATGGAGTCTGTTTTTTTTTAAATTTAGTTCCTTAAAAAAGTAACCTAGTCAATACCATCCTCGTCTCTCAGGAAAAACATGAATTCCATTGGTCTTGCTTGCAGTTTTGGTTGCTTTTAATAAAAAAAAGCACGTGAGTGACTCAGCTTTCATCTTACGTTACCTAGTTTTGGGTCAGAGCAGCCCTAAAGTTATCTCAGTATTTCTTCTAGCCGGATGCAGCCTCTCTACGTCTTGTCACAGCACGTATACAAACGATACCTTCGGTTAATCCGCGGTAGTGCCCGTTGCATTTGTTTCTGGGATTATGCCACTCTTCTACAAACGCTAGCCCCGAGCCTGGTGCAAGTCTGAGAACTGATCCTGCAAACATGCACAGGGTTCAGCTGGCTCACGTGAGCAGCTTCACTCATTTCTGTGACTGGACTCTGTCTGCACCGCCAACATGCATCAGGCTGCAACTCACCTGTGCTTTCAGGGTATGTCTGTACCATGTGCTGAACGGCCAATTCTATACAGCTATGTAAACTCAGTCCACTCCCCACCAGCTGTTACTTGCACATTTGTGAAAAGCACTTCAAAACAAGCAGCTCCCCCCTGCCACGAGCCTTAGATGCAATTGTGAGCGAACGAAGGAGTCAGGCAGAACATGAGCTGATGTTAAACAGCTGGATCGCGTCCTTCCCAGAGGATTAGTCACCGCATTACATCAGCTAGACATAGCCTGTTCTTGCCCCCCGAGCTCCACAACCTTTCCAAGTGAGTTTAGTTGCTAAAACTTAACCTGGACTGATCTCAAACCCTCCCCTCCACCTCCCAAACCCTAATTCTGAAAGGCACAGCAGTTCTGATGGTGTATTTCATTTAATCTTAAGCAAGTACATACAAGGATCTGTCTGCTGTGGATAGCCGTAGACAGCCCAGAAGATGCACTGGAAGCCTGGGACTTAGTTTATTTATTGTGCTTTGGCCTCTCAACCCCTGCTGGCCATACCTAGGGTTCAAGCTGCAGTAATTAATGGCATCTGCAGGGAGTGGAGTTACAGAAGTTGGATCTGCTAATGGGAGAGAGGGGAGGGGCCAGAAGAGTCTGGACGTTCTATGATAATTTTGCAAATTTCACATGTGTGAAAGCAAGGGGATAGAAATCAGACCGTGACCCTCTCGGCTGTGTTAGACTGTGAAAGAGCATCATGTCTGGACACTGAGCTAAGGCAGAAAGAAGGGCCCTGCAGTCCTTCCAGCACATCTCCTCACTGTGTACAGCTGCTCTTCAAAAGCGTGTCCAAGTCATCAAACACGCAAGCAGGGTGATCACTAGCAACCTACACCCAAGGAAAGCAGAAGGCCACCCAGGTGGCGAGGATCAGCCACTTTTTCCCAGCCAGTATTACACCAGTGACTAACCACCAGCCATGGGTGCACTAGAACCAGGTGAGGGAACAACAGAGCTTCAAAACCTCGATTAACTGGTTTCACAACACAATTCCACATGCATTTGGAAGCCAGCCATTAGGGGAGGTGACTATATATGGCTCAACTAAGAGACACACCGTCCCTGCTGGCTGAGTGACCAGAGACAACACAGTGCTCAGCTGAATTGTACAGGTGAGAACAAAACTCTGGACTGAGCTTTGGCCCCAGGAACACCCAGGCAGCTGCCGCTTCAGCTGATGGAGTCTGGCCAGGAGTGGTGGTAGAAGAGGTAGAGTTTATTATCTCGTGTGTAAGCTCCTTGGGTGGCAGGACCATCTTTTTGTTCTTTGTTTGTACAGCACCTGGCACCATGAGCTCCTGCTCCATGACTAGGGCTCATAGAAGCTAAGGTATTACAACTATTAATAACCTTTTGTTCAGGCAAGGGCAGATCTGGCATACCCCAGGTGACACTCCAGCGGGAGGAGGGACTGGAAGCACACAACAGGGCCTACCTTGGTTCTCCCTGGGCTTCGCGCTGGGTGTGCGTTGGTGTCCTGCGACACGGGCTTTAGGGTGGCGATGTCCTTAGAAGGCTCCTCGGCATTCCCGAGCCCCTTCATGGCAGCCCGGTACGACGTGTTCCGTAGGTTGCGCGTGAGCCCACTAGAATCCAGCTCGATGTCCAGGTCATCCAGGGAAATGCCGGGGGCTGACATCCGCTTGGGGTCGCAGCGAGCTGCCTCTTTACTTGGCATGGCCACGGCGAAGCTCTGGTGGCGGGCAGGGGTCTTGGATTTGGTAGACACGGCCAAGCTTTTGGGGATCAACTGCTGGGTGCCCATCTTCAGCGCGGCTGGGCTCTCTGTGCTGAGGATGACGCGACAGGGCTCGGTGGGGGACGGGGAGCGCTGGGCCGCGAACGAGGCGCTGTCTAGTGCTGCCATGGAGCTGCGTTTCCCAGAGGGAGGGGTCACGCTGGCATCTATCCGCAGCTCTGAATGGAACTTGCGCTCCAGGAGAAGGGCCTTGTCGCCCACGGAGCTGTCAGAATGCCTGTGAGACATGCTGGCGCGGTGGGGAGCCAGAGACCCTGCAGAGAGAACAGAAAGGGCACAAGGCTTAAGGAGCTATCCCCTCTTCCAGGAAGAAGGGTCAATGAAAGAGATCCAGGACCAACACAGAGGGGTCCAGGACTGGATGGGGTTTGTTTGTTCAGTTTTTTTTTTTTTGTTTTTTTAAAAAGAGCCAAACAAACATCCCCTCCGGCATTTGCAGCATTTTGTGTTAGCATAGGAGAGTCTGGAAAATGAAATCTAGAGCACGAGCTAGCCTAGGACTTTTGTGATGGGAGAAATTAAAAAACACCCAGCAAAAATCAATCCATACACAGAACAGCAGACCTGGGGGAAAAAAAAAAACAAAGAAATTACATGATCTCATTTATTATATTTCAACACCACTTTGAAACTCCAACTGAGATTTTGACCTCGTCGTGCTAAGCCTTGCACACACATGCAGTTAGAGACTGTCCCTGCCCCAGACTACAAAAGAAACAAGACAAAAAGTGGAAGGGGCAGACTCAGACAGGTGAAGTGACCTGACCTGCTGGTGGCTGGGAAAGGAACTTAGTCTCCCATGCCTGAGCTGTATGCTGCAAACACCAAGGGAATCTGGAAGCAACAGCGAAGCTAGAGAAGTTTAACAAATGAAAAAAGAAACTGAAGTGAAAGTGACATGGCCTTGCCCAGCACGTAGGCAATCAATGAGTCAAAAATGAACCAAGAGCTGCCTACACTACCTGAGTGCCATCAGACAGGGTCACGCTAACTGACTGTGGCTGAGTTCTACTAGAAGAAATGAAGACCTCTTGCAAACAGTCAGCTGACAGCGTCATGGGCCCAAGCGAAACCTGGAGCTGAGGGGGCTGCAGGACTCACGCAGGTAAGAATGTGAATCCCCACCATGGACCCAAGAAGCCCACAGCAGCTCTGGGGAGTCTTTCAAAAACAAAGACCATAAAGGAGCTGTTTGTTCTCCCATCAAAACATTCTCTGTGAAGAACCCAGAGGGAAAAATCTCAAGTCCCCCTTTCCCCCCTATGTTAGATCCCATTCACCATTATACCCAGTGAGCATCTGAATAAATACAGGCAGTTATTGTCCAGTCCATTGTGTGTTTCCTCTCTCCTCTGCTTAAACACTCCACAGGAGGCAAGTTCCTGGCCCCAAACAGCCCCAGGAGACTGCGGACAAGGAGGGACTTCACTGCACACCATCCTTTACATGTAGGTTCTATCCAGCAGTCTCAGCAGCACCCTGAGTCCCCCACCTTTTAATACTGCATCATTCAAAGGAAAGGAAAGCCTCTGGGGAAGGGACCCTCGTTCCCATCCAGATAGGACAGCAACCAGGAATTCCAGGGCTTGAATTTTGTACCAGGTCTCCCCTTACCTTTTATCTGTGGCTACATCGTATATTAGGTATACTTAAGACACAGAGGTGAAATATAAGTAGTAATTAACGTTGTAACACAGAGCCCCAGGCCTGCAAAACAGTGTAGCCAAATTAGGCCTTAAGATAAATTAGCATAATTAAGTTAGTAATAAACCTACTCAACTTTTGTCTGTGTTTTGTGATATGCTGATGTTCTGAAAATAACCGCTCACCTTGGATAATAACGACTACGAGAGAGCAGCAGCCACCGCAAGATGACCATTGGTAACTGGGGCAAAATTTTATGCGGACAAGGGGACGTAAACATTAACAAGTACAAGGGAAACAAGCTAGCCTATGAAAACAGGGCACTCCAAAAGTAGTGGGGTGTGGAAGTTCAAATAAGGAGAAGGGGTTAAAACCTTCATAAATGTCTGAATGCCAGCAGCATCAGTTAACACATTATAAAAGCCGTATCCTGGCCTGCATGCGTTAGTCGAGGGGGTTGGGAGGGGTGGAGAGGGGGGAGATGCCAGGATGATAATCACTGGTGAGGAAGAGGATGAAGATTGGCTCTTAGGGTTTTTCCATAAGGCTTGGTGGGAGTAATGCAAATATTCTGTATTGGTCTCTCCCCTTTAGCAGGTTGCAGTGTCTGGTTGGCTAATGAAAGCAATTATCATCGAAAGAGCACGATGTGGTCTCTGCTGTGCACCTTGGGATCCCCCTTCTATTGATAATCTCCCTATGGTAGGGCATCTTGGGGGCTGAACTCCAACAGATTAAAGTAGGTGCAAGCCCCCACTTTGGGGTGGGTAAACACAGATAAAGCTACATGCAGGCACAAAACAACAGCACCTGCAATTCATTCATGATTCCCCCCCGCAATCCAATCAGCTAATTCATAGCAGGTGCAAAACTGTGGGCCCAGTCAGAAGAGGTGGTTTGGTTTGACAGACAACACAAGCGAAGGTGCCACTGATCAGGTGGTTGGTACTGAGATAAAGTCAGTCTACGGCCCATGGGGAGGGCAGATAAGGAATATATATACTGTTCCTTTAAGAAATTTTCTTTTCACATGTTTGTACAGCACTTAGCATGAGCCTCCAGGGCACTACTGCAATACAAACACAAATCCGGCCACCACCCATCCCTAAGGTGAGGTAAGGAGAGGACCACACCCTGGCTACAGGGAAAAGAAACAGATTTGGCAACTCTGGCTGGGTTTCAAAGCTTTGCCACTTCCTTTGATTGGCTCTGGGGCTGATGTCAGCAGAGCAAGTTCCAGTTCTTTGCTCCAAGCGGGGAACAGGAAGATGAGTAGGGTGCAACCACCACCTGCTGCACTTGTCCTTTACTTATTGCTCTCTATTCTGCTTCCTGCACACTTGCCCTCTGCTGCCACCCTGGGCTTTCTCTAGAGGAATCCACACCATGATTCAACAGCTGCACTAGAGAGAACGCACCTCAGCTCCCCCAGAGGTTCCAAATGTCTCTAGAGCCATTTGAAAAGCCAGGCACGTGCCCTGTGCAGAGCAGAGAGCATATGTGAGGGTGCAAAGTCCTTACTGACAAGTTTGGGGTGACCCCATTTGCAAGCAGCTGTTACCTCATAGACCCCACTCTGCATATTGCTTTTCTGGGAGAGAAATGCTAACGTGATGTGCAACACAACTGATGCACTTACATCCCTTTTCTCCCCATTACATGATTTCAGAAAAACATGTTCCAAGTTGTCCATACTGAGGTCCCATTGTACCGAGCTCTCACTGAGCCATTCCCCATCAACCACCATCGAACAGGAAACACAGACCAAGACTTGAAACATGTTCTTCTTTATAAGCACTGGCAGAAAGACAAGTCAGCCCGGTCTACAAAAGCCTGTTTGATTGAGAGATGTATCATCCGCATGGACAAAGGATGCATGCCCCGTGCCGGCCAGTGTCCTGCCAAGCATCCTGTCGGGGGGAGAAGAGTAAAACCGCCATGCTCCACCCATTGATACAGGCGGTGCTGCAGAGAAGGGCCCTTTTTAGCAGCAGTGGAAATAAGGCAGCTAACAGAGATGGCAAAATAGGAAACTGGCCAACCTACAGCCATTGCAGTTCTCCCGAGGTGCTCCGGGAAAGAAAGGTGGGTTCTGCTGTTCTGAGCACAGACCTCGGAACCAAGAGCTCCTTAGTTGTAATCCCAAATCTGACACTGAGTCACCATGTTACCTCTGGCAAGTCACTTCACCTCTCAGGGGAAACAGGGACATTTGGGAACAGCAGCACTAAATAGTAAGAAAAATGGGTCCATGCCATGAGGTAGGGTCTGAATTCTGATCCTACCTTGTTTGAGGGATGGGAAAGAGGAAGTTTGACTCTGACCCAATTCCGGGACAAGAGTCAGCTGCAAAATTCAGATTCAAAGCAGCTTCTGAACCTCTGCAAGTCTGGAGGCATTTGGATCCAGCATCTTGGTTTAGCTTTTGTGGGTGACAGATTATCCCACATCTGCTTACAGCCAGGTTCTTACACCTTCCTCTGAAGCATCTGATCAGGCCACTGCCAGAGACGGGATACTTGGCTAAATGGACCACAGACCTGATCTCCTCTGGCCATCCCCATGTTCACCACCTCTAGTATTACTAGTTATCACTTTGATTCTCATGACTCAGAAGCAAGGTCCACGATCTGCTCCTACTGAGGAAGACAAAGGCAAAGCCCAGCAGACCATAGTGAGCTTTCCCTGAGCTGAGCAAGCACGGATTTGGAAGGGCTCTAGAGAGGGTTCATTCCCCACTGTACAACTTCCCACCAGCTCACAGACCGGGTGCTTCGGCATGTGTTTTATAGAACAGTCCCTTAACCCGCTCTCTCCCCTGCTTTGAAATCTACAAGGAACGGACACGGCCCTGTTCGGAACGTTCTCAGCCTGCAGACGCTTACGTACGTGTCTTATTCATGTGACCAGTCCCCTTGAAGTCAGTGGGACACCTCGTGTGCGTGAAGTTAAGCATATGCCTATGTGTTTGCAGGATCATCACACAAGAATGCATTCAGGAGCACCTTAGCACAAGTCCGATTCCACTGACCCACCAGCTACCACTAACCAGATCCATTAGGTGGGCCCTTTTCTTACTCAGTCACTAAGCACTGAAGAAATGAGCCAGGCTCTGCAACCTCATTCAGGGCAAGGGCTCTTCCCAACCTTGCAGGGCTGGTCTACAGGCTTCCCCTCTCCCGCCTGGGACACTCATCCTGAGAACGGCAGTGTGTGCTGTGTGCAGATATTACACAGGCTCAGGGAGGCTGGACACTCAGGAAGGAGGGAGAAACTAGATCCAGCTTCTTCTCAGACTAGCTGAGCTGGTCAGGAAACATGGCTCCAGGGCGGTGGATCTTAATGCCATTTCTACCTGACATTCCCTTCTGTGGAAAATGCAATAAAGAGGGAAAGACTCAAACATGCCTTCTAGTACTGCCGAGCTGACACTGGTGGGGGATCAGGGGTTTTCATTCTGGGCAGCGGCTAGTTCTGAAGTGACTCAGCTCTGCCCTCTGTCAGAGAGAGAGAACCAGGGGTGAGTCTTTGTCTCAAAGATGCTAATCCCAACATACCACATTCAGCTTCCCACTCAGCTAGCTCCACTACACGTGGCATGCCCCCAGAACCTCCAGGTGGATTTGGACACATATGAAAGGCCAATTTCATGGGTTTGTCTTATTTGATGTTTGCATATGTTGTGTCCTGAAGCATGAGATTTGATCACCCTTGTATCAGTAGACACTACAGATATTACCGGTTGCAAAATAACATAACCCTTGTAAAAATCCAATTGCCAATAACCTCCCAGCAGATACAGAAACACCACTCTACTAATCATCAACCGCTATGGTCAGTTTTAACAACAGAGCCAGGAGTTAACCCTGCCACATCCTCCCCTGGGCCCAGCCATTAGCCATTGGATGGGCTATAATCCTTTGCAGCTGGGGAAATTGTTTTATCTGCAATTAGTCCAGACTGTGCCACGTCACACTAGGAATGGAGTGAATACCTGCTGTGAGTTCACAGGTCAATGATATCTGTCCCGGAGACTGCCTCTCCCTGAGCAGTTTGTTCAGTGGAAGGCAGGAAGGGAGAGGCAGGTGCTTTTGCTTGCTTTGCAGTACCCGAGATTGCTGAATTAAGATAGCAACAAACAGAGGAGTGCTTTGCACCTACATAGCCACAACCATTCTGGGTCCACACAGCACCCCATCAACATGAATCAGAGCCTCACACCACACTGCCACTCTGCACTCAACTATTCCCACCAATAAGAAGTCATATTTGACTAATATCTTTTGCTTCAAGGACTTCACAAACTTAAATGTCCTCTATTCAATCTATACACCTGTGGCTGAAACCCCGACACCTCTCAATTGAAAAGCAGCAGCAACAAAACAGAAACTGCAGGGGCCCTTTCAGCTGGCAGCTCATAATCAGCCCAATTACACTTGGGCAAGGACACGGGGGTTGCCCTCCATGCTATTTCACAAAATGGCATGTGATTCTTAACGACCACAGGCCATATACAAGACCTCAGTTTTCCATCTCATCCAGAAGGCTGTGTCCAGCATCACCTGAGTAATTTCACATTACTCTAAGCACTGGCTCAATACTGGCTCTCAAACAGTAGCTCCATCTGATGAATCAACAGCACCAGCTTTAAACTTACCTCTTGCACAAGTCTCATTGTTGCTATCGCAAGTTTAACTTACAGGGGTTTTTGTGGAGCCTAATTCACTACTATTTGCAAGCACTCCAAGATCCTCAAATGGAAGGTACAAAAGCATTCTTACTTTTTGTTGGTTTTTTCCAACCAAGAGTTTGGAGCTGTACAGAACAACAAAGCAGAGACAATCCCTGCCCAAAGAGCTTACAGTTTAAGAGACAAAGATAAAGATTTGCAAGAGAAACTAGTGATTTTGGGTGCCCAGCCTGAGACACTCGAAAGGGACCTAGTCTTCAGAGTGCTCTATGCTTTCTAAAATCCAGACCCCTTTACAGTGCCTTAGCTGGGTATCCAAAATCACTAGTCCCCTTTGAAGCTATTGGCCTGACTGGGGAATTAAGAGGGAATAGTTTAGTGTCTTCTTTATGCCATTATTTCTCAGACCAGGAGAAGGATCACGTAACTATTCGGATCAGTGCTACCCAGGTCACAAAGCTCCTCATACTCTCTTGCCTTGCTATTAATTGTATATAAAAACCCTTTAAAGTGGGTTTTATGTATTTCTTCATTTATTTTGCTTCAATGCTCAGAGCGAGACTCTTTTGAACATGCCCTGACCAGCCACAGAAATTAAATACAGGTATTGTCCAAGAACAATTACACAAGTCTAATAAATGCAATTGAGGCAGGGGAAACTATGTCAGATTCCTCTCCCTGGAACCTGCCCCCCATCAGACAGTCTGTTTGTTTATTTTGTCATTCCAAGAAAGTCCCTGACCTACTTGGTTTCAGCAGCCTTGCTGGCTCCTGGGATTTATTTCCCAATTGGCTGGGCAAAAATTTATTCAGTGTGTATCTTTAGATTTGATTTTGGATGCAAACCCAACAGATAGTTTTCGGTTTCACAGTGCAAGGGGGAAGATGATGGGCAAGAGAGCATTAGCCAGGCACAAGCTCTGCGGAAAAGCTGCACTCCAGTTAGGAGCAGTTTGCTGACTCTCAAGGAGACGTTGAATCTCGTTGTTCCAGCAGCACACTGGATGCCAGGACTCCTAAATTCTACTTGTGAGTGACATTGGGCCTGTTGTTCAAGTGCTCTGTGCCTCTGTTTGCCCACCTGCAAAGTGGGTGTTCTACCCACCACACCTACACTGAGGGCTGTTGTGAGGCTACATGGCTCATTACCTGTATAGTGCTCCTGGGATCCTCCTCTGCTGGAAAGATGCTAACAAAAGAGCCAGGTCTATTACATCCTCACTACAACAAAGAATGGGGTGGGCCCTGCAAGGGCAGCCTCACAGTGGGGACGCTCTGCACTCTCCCCACTGGCAAGGCAGGGTGGAGGCAGCGAAAAGGGAACGTTACAAAACTGATCCCAGCCGGGAGAGCAGGGCCAGACGTTCAGAGGAAGTGTCCCCCACCTGCAGGACAGCCATCAGAACCAGGACTGTCCCATTCTCCAGCGCCTGGTTTGCAGAGCCAGTCTCCACCCCTGGATGGGAGCATTGCCTTCTGGCAGGGCTGGGAACGGGTAAGCGAGATGGGCAGTTCTTTAAAGAAATCAATCACACCCACCAACTCTGGGTTAGCAACGGACCTGGCTCTCACCTCCACTCTGCTTTCAGTTCCCAGTGGTGGCAGAAGTAACCTCGTGGCCTCTGGGGGACTCCCAGCTCTGCAATATGCACCTGTTTAATGGCTTCTGTAGACGTAACTGGGCTCTTCACTCCAGAAGGAATTAGTCTCCAATAGCAGTTTGGACTCACTGCTTGGAGCTCCTTGAGGCCCCAACAGCGTTTCCCTGGCCACACAACATCCCTGAGGGGTGGGGGAGCCTTGCAGTAGCAATCTTAGAGATGGGGCGGTGAGGCACAGAGATGTTGGAGGATTTGCCCAAGTGCACACGCCATGCCAGTGACACAACCCACCAGCTACAAGTTGCAACATTTGTATTAACAACAACCACCAAAAGCACAGAGACACACCTGGGGCTTGTCTACACACAAGCTGGACTGTTTCAACTTTACCAGAGAGTCAGGAGAGCATGGCCACCCAATTATAGCTATTGCCAAACAGGAAAGGGAGCAGAACACCAACAGAACTGCATCCATAACAGAGGTTGGACCAGCATAACTTCTCTAGAAAAAATAAATCTCCCATTCCTAACCACAATAGTTCTACTGGTATAAAAACCCACGTATAGGCCAGGCGTTCCCTTCCATATATGCTGCTGAAATGGCTAGATACCAAATCCCACTGCATCCTGAACAATTAACTGAAGCTCTCTCAAATTAGTCATCACCAGTGGAGCTCAGTAGATGTCCCAGGAAGGGAGTCAAGAGATCAAACTAACACCTTAATCTAGACTCCCATTGCATCTCTCCAGGCTGCAGTTCCCAGAGGTCAAGAAACAGGCCACTCTGAGAATGGGAGATGGTTAAAGCCTTTACTGAGCAGAGTTCTGCAAAAATCTGAGCTGATGCACTCTACAAAAACACAACCATAAAAAACACCCAAAGAGCTTTGCTAAAGATTTTAGCACATGGTTTTCTAGCCATTCCCCCACCCTCTCCCAGTTTTGTGGCTGCAAATAAGGAAGGACGGGCTTCCAAGTTTGATGCAGAGTCTTCACGTGGGGATGCAGTGGTGATATCAAAACATGGTCAAATGGTCAAATCAAAACATGACAGCATGGGAGAACTGCTGGCGATCTTTAGTCATCAGCTACCCCAAATAGCTACACCATCAGGCTGTCATGAAAGCTCACTATCCCAGTTCTCAGTGCCCATGACTCAGGTGTCTCAGAGCAAATACTGGGTATGAAGGTGAAAAGGTGAAGTGAAAAGATCGTAATAATCCCTCGCTCTTATAGAGCACTTTTCATCCACATCTCCCTTTAAAATGCCAGTATTGTTATCTCCATTTTAGAGATGGGGACACTGAGGCACATGGGGACTTGCCTAAGGTCACCCAGCAAACCGGTGGCAGAACCAAGAATCAAATGCAGGTCTCCCGCATCCCAGGGCGATGCACTGTCCGCTGGCAAGGGCGCCCGGGGCCTTTTCCCTCACGGTAGGCACAACAGAGCCACCCTCGCTCCACGGGGTCACAGCCTGGGGGGGCTGCTGGGCCAACTAACAGGGAGTGGGGCTGAGCCGCTGCAAGCCAGGTCACAATGCCACTTGGCTTGGGGGCCCTCTCTCATGGGGGTGCCAAGGCAAACTGCCCCTTCCCCCGCCCTGCCAAGAAGCCGCACCCGGGGGCGGGCAGCAGGGCTCCGTGCCACCCAACCCCGAGACCGCGGGAGGCGGCGGGCGGCTCCTCTCTGCAAAGCATCGCTGGGGCCGGGCTCAGCCGCAGGGGAGCCAGAGGCGCCGGGCGGCCGGAGGTCCCAGCCCCGCAGAGCCCCGCGCCGGCTGGCGGGTCTCGCCCCAAACATCCAGCAGGAGGAAGCCGAGGTGCCGTCCCCGCCCCGGGCCGCCCGCCTCGCCCGGAGCCCGGGCCAGCGGCCAGACCCCGGGGGGGAAGGGGGCGCCCTCGGGGCCCGGGCTGCGGGGGGGGGGGCGGCTCTGCAGAGGCGCCGGGGCAGCACGTGGGGGCGTGCGCGGGGGGGGGGTCCCGTGTTCGCGGCTCGGGACCTGCAGCCGGGCCGGGGAAGGGCACAGGGCGCCCCGCGAGGGAAGCGGCGGAGGAAGCCGGACCCCGCAGAGCGGCGCCCCCCTCTCCTACCTGTGCGGCCGGCGAGCGGGCCCGGAGCGCCCCCCCCGGGCACTCAGCTGCGGCCGGGAGCCTCCAGCGCCGCCCCGCCGCCGGGCAGGTGCGTGTCCCGGGCCCCGCTCCGCCGGCCGCAGACTGAGGCGGCGAGAGGCGCCCGCCCCGCGGAGCCCCACCCCCTGCCCGGCCCGCCCAGGCAGCCACCTGGCCGCAGCCCGGCTGCTCTTTGGGATTGCCCTGGCCAGGGGTCCCGCTGCAGCCGGGGTCCGTCCTAGACCGGGGGGGGGGGCAAACGTCCCGGCCCCAGGGCCACGTCTGGCTCTGGGAATGGGCTGGCGGGCCATGAATGCTCATGCAAGGGGGGGGCTGGGGTGCGGGCTCTGGGGTGAGGCCAGAAATGAGGAGTTCAGGGTGCAGGTGGGGGCTGCAGCTGGGGGTAGGGCTGTGGGGTGGAGTTGGGGGTGCAGGAGGGTGCTTTTCAGAGGGCAGGAGGTGCAGACTCCAGGGGTGGGGTGCAGACTCCAGGCAGCGCTTACCCCGAGCAGTAGGCATGTCCCCTCTCTGGCTCTTATGCGGAGGCCTGGCCAGGCGGCTTTACACACTGCCCTGTCTGCAGGCGAGGGCCCTGTAGCTCCCATTGGTCGTGGTTCCTGGCCAATGGGAGCTGCGGGGGTGACACTTGGGGCGGGGGCAGCATGTGGAGCCCCCTGGCTGTCCCTATGTGTAGGAGACGGAGCGCGGACATGCCACTGCTTCTGGGAGCCACGCAGAGCAGGGCAAGGCCCTGACCCTGCTCCCTGGCTGGAGCTCAAGGGCCGGATTAAAACATCTGCGAACTTGCTGAGAGTGCAATGCAGCCCATCATGCAGATCATTAATGAAGATGTTGAACAAAACTGGCCCCAGGACTGACCCCAGGGGCACTGCGCTTGACAGTGCCTGCTAACTAGCCATCGAGCCATTGATCACTACCCGTTGAGCTGGATGATCTAGCCAGCTTTCTATCCACCTTATAGTCCATTCATAGCCCATACTTTAACTTGCTGGCAAGAATACTGGACCCCTGGGGTGCTACCGAAAGGGAGATGAGCTGGGGATGGAGGCCGAGGGGTTGGCAGAGCTGGAGGCTGGCGAACGTAGCCAGCACTGCTGGACACCAGAGAATCTCAGCTTTAGGTTTGTTTGGGTTTTTTTTTTTTCTCCCCAAAGTAACTCTCTCTCTCTCTCACTCTCACGGTGGCTGAAAAAAGCCAGAAAAGGTGAAGTGAAAAGCCCTGAAAGCTCAGAAACCGGAAGGCAAAGACAGACCCCAAATGTATTACAAAAAAAAAACCTCATGATTTTTAAGCCAATCTTGTGATTTTTGAGTGGCTGGAGTTTACTCTACAGTTTACACTTGGCAGTACTGTATCCATAAAACAAGCCTCTTACACCAGCACTTGCCTTCTCTGTCTACCTCCCCAACAGGGCGGCAGTGTACTGAAGGGGGGCCCTGTCTTGCCCCAAGAACATGCTGAAGAGCAAAGAGCTCACTAAAGAAGTTCAGCAATTTGTTTTTAAAGTATGATTTTGGAAGAAATTCCAGCAAAATCAGGTAAGCCACTTGTGAGTGCGGGGGAGGACACAGCCTTGCCCCTTGTGGACATAAAGGCAGCAGCTCTGCCCTGGGTTGGGCTATTTAAAAATTGGGTCCGTCTTCGGGCTTCAGATGTCAATGGTGTGTGATATTAAATCAAGGTTTGCTCTCCTCGCTAGCAGCTGTCGTGTAGGGTACTCTATGTGCCTGATTCCCAGGGCCCAGCAGTGCCATCATCTGCCCGTGTGCTCATGAGTGTAAATCATTAGCACTGCTAGGAAGGAATGGAGAATTCCCATCTGGGTGCAGTGAGGCCCTGCTTTGCAAGGATCTGAAGGACAAAGCTAGGCACAGGGCAGGGGAGTATCAGGTTCCAGTGAGTTTTGTCTCCAGGCAGAGCAGTGTGGCTATATTCCCGGGCAGAAAGCGGGAGCTGTGTAAGGCTGCCCTCTGCTGTTCCAAGGGTTGTATTGCAGAGATTTCAGGAGACCACAGGTGCTGCATATTTAGGCGGTCAGACCAATTTTATTACAGTGGAACAGATGCTTGGCTTCCCCAGGGCGTGGGATAAAGTTCTTGGTGAACCTACCTGGGGGCCTTGCTCCTTACAGACAGGTTAACCTGAAGCATGGGAGTAGGCCCGTGGACTCCTTGTCTGTGTGTTTGTCTGCTCGGGCTCCTAGTCTGGAGTAAAATAGGACAAATGGCTCATTACAGTCACATGTCTGTGCATGTCCGCACAGGCACATGTGGTATAATACACTCCTCCCCGGGCTGGAGGCATGCCGTTATTTCCAACACTTCACTACGGTGAAATCGCAGCAAGTTGAGTGCACTGGGTTGCCTCCCAGCTAGATTAATGGAGCAGCTGCTTTGCTGGCTAGAACCTTTTGCTGAGAAGAGCTGTATTTGTATATTTCAAGGTAGCCAATATCCTAGTATGAGACCCTAAGAACATGTTAGTGTGGATAAATAAATAGGCAGAAAAGGTTTCTTTGGGGGCCGGTTGGACCCCCAGTGATTTCAATGGGACTCAATGCACATGCAGGGATCTGCACTAGCTAAACCTCATGCAGAATTTGGGCTTATCTGGTACCAGGTAACTGGGGTTCAGGGAACTAGGACTAAGGGGGACAAGTGGTCAGGAACTGATTCCATGAAACATTAATCTGGCGTTAACATTTCCTGCTTGGGATCCCTTGGTGGCCTTGAAGCTAATCTTTAATAATTTCTCATGGCAGTGTCCCACATGCAAACACTTTCCAGAAGGCTGCGCCCGCTATATGTGCCCGCTTTAATTTTAGCACGAGCTAGTCAAGGGGCCCACTGTGTGAGCTAGCAAACCACACACACACTCTCTCTCTCTCTCCTGTTGGATAACTGTGCTCAACTAGGCACAGGGTAGAATGCCTTCCTCCCCACCAGAGATGCTGCAGGAATAGTGCAGCTGCATGCCCGTATGCTCAACATGGGCAGCCCCATGCCCAGCTCTCCCTTCCCCTGCTAGGGCAGGAATAATCTGTAAGGGGGTTTGGATACCGGAAAGTGAATTAACACGCAGGCCGTGCCCAGGAACTTGTCCGTGTAGCGTGCACATTAATCCTACTTGGGACTCCTGACACACAGGATCCAAAGCATCTTCCCTACAAGATTTTTGCAGTGATGTAAGGGAAAGGCCAGGGCTGGGGAAAGAGGGGGCTTTCCATCCCTCTGCATCAGCCCCTCGTTGGCCAGGTAGAGCCAGGTAGTTACAGAGGGCCTGAAGGGTGTGGGGGGGGGCATGGTGAAAAATGAAGTGGGGAGCTGGCAGGGCTCAGTGAGCCTGTCTGGGGAAGGGAGTTGTCAATATTATCAAGTTTTCTGCTACCGTTGGATCCCTCAGTCTCTGTGGTGTGTGCTGAATGACTGTGCTCTCCCTTCTCCATAGTTTGCTGTATTTTATATTTCTGGCTCCTGGTGGATGGCCCAAAATATTTATAAACTGTCATAATGGATCGTGCCTGGGCACCCTCCAGCAGTAGGCTGTACCACGACAGGGACTCTTGCCTCAGTTTCCCCTTTCTTCCACCCAGGAAGGAACAGTTTCTCAGTGTCTGATAAAAGTCCATCTCTGGGCATAATTTATTCCTTCCCACCAGTGCAGCAATTCCTCAAAAGCTTTGTAGTAAAACCATTCTCCATTTCTCACAGCAAACATCTCAAGACACAGCGGGTCTCCATTCCCCTCTCCAGGGACATCACCACCAAATCCCAGGTTTGTCCCCTTCTCCCCTCTGTCCCCCCACCCTTCACTCCAGTCTCTGCCCGGAAGGTTCCCTGCAGTGCTTCACTCCTCCAGGCGTCCCTACCTGTGAGTCCTGCTCCTGCTCAGTAGGATCCACTCTCCCAAGCAGCCCTCTCACTTCCAGGCTCAGCTTCCCCTAAGCAATGTGGATCCTCCACTTTTTCCCAGAGGCCGTTGCCCAAGGCATCTGGTCAGCCGGGGTCCCCAGCTTTGAACAGTTCTCACCAACAGGCCTGTTTCAGCTCCCATTCAAACTCAGCTCTCTCACCACTCTCCCGTAAGCAGCTCCTGTCAGCTCTTCCTGGTTGCTTCTGGTCTCTTCCCTGAGTCTCAGGCAGCTCTCACCCACCCCTGTGGGTCTGATTCCCACAGTCTCCCTCCCTCTCAAGCCAGCTGCCCTCTCTGAGGCCTCCTTTGGGAGTTAACTGACCAGTCACAGGTGCTCAGCCTCATCCTTCTTAAAAGGCCACTGTTGCCCTGGAGCTCTGCCTCTGATCAGGGTCATCTTATAATCGCAGCGAGGGGCAAAGAGAAAATTCTGAGGTTCTGTGGAGTAAATGAAGAATTTACTTCCTTGTCACACAAATGAAGAATTCAGATGCCTTCTCCAGAGCAGAAGGAGAGACTGAAATGTAATGATAAACCGCTCCCTAGTGGCACACAGTGATATAGCTATGGGCTGGCTGGCTGGGACGAATCCCCCGCTTCACATGGAGGCACGTTTTGCACAGCAGCACCCTGGCTTGTGTGCACCCAGCGGAGGCCTTGCCGATGCTGGGAATCGTGGGCTCTTCTTCCAGCCCTAGTCCAGCCACACTAGTGCTGGCCATGGCCCAGTCACTGTTGCAGGTTGGGTATGGTGGGTTTTCTCACCTTGTCGTGATACTCCAGGGCTAGGGCTGTTGCTAGCACTAGTCAGAAGTAGATAATGGGTACACGTGTCTAGTGGGAGTGCACCCTTGAAACCAGCACTGATCTAACTGCAGTTTCACTCTAAGTCCGAGAGAGAACCTTCCAGTCCAGCAGGATCAGGTCCTGTTTCTCCAGGGACGTGCGTCACTAGAGCTTCAAGGTGCCTGCCAGAAATGAAAAACAAGCTTGGAACCGTACTCATTTCCAAGCCTTGGTTCTGCTCCTTTTCCCCCCATACCTTCCTTCTGGGCCATCCGAACAGCACCGTCCCTGTCTATATAACTGTTGTATCGCAAGCCTCTCACTAAACCACACTGACACTGAGGAAGAGCTCTGTGAAGATCGGACGCTTGTTTTTCTCCCAAACAGAAGTTGGTCCAATAAAAGGTACGATCTCACTACCTTGTCTCTTTAATATCCAGGAACGGACACTGCTATAGCAACACTTCAAATGCTAAAACCCAGTTACACTTTCCAAGTGCAGTCATCTGTCACTGGTTTCTCAGCATTTTCTGCGCCTTTCTTCACATCTGAGCTGATCGGCCTGCATTATATAAGAACTGAGCTGCATTTTCACCCCAAACTTGTTCCCAACACTTATCGGGAGCCAGTTTTTGTTCAAAAACTTAAACCTTTAAAAAAACAAACAAACCCCAAATCTCCATGCTTCTCCTTTTGCTGGGAGAAAGAAATCCTGAGATCTGAGGATAAACTCCAGTTCCTACACTGTCGAGATGTGGGACATTTGCATTAGCATTTCCAGCATGGGTCACCTCAGCATACAGGTTTCAGGATCTTTAGAAGTTCCCCCCCATCACTTGTTACTGACATCGATAATCTGGGGGTCTTGGCTCTGCTGTCCGTGGGCACAAGCTGATGTAATAAGGGGCATTTTCTTTGCCTTTGAGGATGGCACTGCGATGGAATTTGATGTGGGCGTTATTGTACCCACAACAATTGAGCTTTTCATTGCAGATCTTTTCCTTCATTATTTTCCTGACCTATTACGTAGCGCCAGTGTTCATATGGGCATCTTCCCTCGCTGGGCTCTCTCCAGGAAATCTTTTTGCAGTGACCTTAACATGATACAGGGAGCTATTAGCAAGGCTGTTGGCAGAAACTTTGTCTTCACTCTGTTTGGTGATGGTGGTTGGGGGCAGGGAGATGGCTGAACAGGGCACATCTGCTCACATTTCTAAGGCTGGCTCTCCAAGCGATCTCTCTACCAGTAGAAGAGCTATGATGCTGACATCCAGAACCATTGTTGCCAAAGGTCAAAGCAAGGAGGAGGCTAGATCAAGCTATCCATGGGGTTAGCGGGATCAAGGTGTTGATTAGAACTTGTGTTGCTTAAAAAAATACTTTTAGAAATAAGCCCAATCCAGATCCCTTGCATTGAAGAGCCTAGAGTGCGGAAATATTCCGATCCAGAACCAAATTTTGCAGCTGGCTCCCTTCTTTGCACTGAGCCAAACCAAAAGCACAGCTCCAACCATCCCAAACTTCAGAAGGGTTTGGCTTACCCTTCAGGCATTGTGGCTCAGCCCAGGCCTAATTATTCCTATATTTAATTTCTGCACTTGAACTAACACAAGAGAAGTTGTTTCCATAGTATTTCCAGTCCAGCCACAAGCAAGAAGGGGCCAGAAAACTCACAAGACAGAGTGCCCCTTTGATGGACTTCAGATAGTTTGAAGAAGTTCTGACACCTTTAGAAATTCTCCCATCACACTAACAGTTGGCAAACGAAAGTATCAATTCCTGGGCTAGGTCAGCGATGGAAAGTAGGTGACAGCTAGCACTCTAGTGAATAAGTGGGACTGTAGATTTAGTGACAATTCCAGCCCACACAGTTATATTCGCATCTTGCGATCCAAGAGTGAAAAGCAGCCCGTGTAGAGACCAGCATGCAGCCCCACTTGGGCCACTTAAGCCCTATTCTGAGAGCCTAAGTGGTACATGGGCTTTGTGCTGGCTCCCTGCATGAGGGAGGCCTAAAGAACCCAGATCCCCATTGTTACCTGTCAGCAATGGTACCAGCTACCAACCGGCACCAGCTGGCCCAGTTGCAGCAGACATGCCAAGGATCAAATGAGTGTAACGTGCTGGTTGTCTCCACAGCAGGGTGTAGGCACCCTGGAGCAGGCAGGTGTGAGAGACGCTGGTGCTTTCACTCCTGCGGATAAGTGGAGGATTGCAGTCCAGCATCTTTCACCAACACTAGATTCACTCAGAAAGGGTAAAAAGAAAATATTATCCTCGTTTCCCAGAGGGAACCTGAAGCATGGGGAGATTAAGGTCCCAACGGAGTAAAGCACTTGTGACCCCAGAGATACTACTCGTGTTTACAGCAAGGGCACATGTTTAACTGCCCCGCTGAATTGCAAGTCTAAGAGACTGGCCTAGAGTCATGCTGGAATTTAACCCAGATCTCTGAATCACAAGACCATCCTTCCTCTAATCTTCCTGACCCTCGCCCTCGCTTTTGGAAGTCACCCCTCATTTGTAGACAAATATACATATAACTGCATACCTGTCTACCATGCTTCCTCCCACCTTTTATCTGCCTTGTCTGATTCGATTGTAAGTTGTTTGGTGTGGGTGCAGCCTCTTACTCTGTGGACATTCAGTGTCTAGCACAGTGGGGCTCTGATCTACGCTGGGCCTTTAGGTACTGTGATAAAAATAATAATAATAATAAAATCCTCCTATGCACTTCAAATATTGATCTCAAATCCCTTGATTGCATCATTTAATTTATTATGTTTTGTATGTTAAAGAAAATAAGGTTATCAACACAGAACTGAGGTACAGCAAGTCAGCAAAACCTGACCCTGCTCAGCAATACTGTATGGATCCACCCCACAGCTGATAACACGCATTTTGCTGGGAACAGATCTTTCCTTGACCTTCATTTTTTCCTCCCCTGTTGATTTTTTTCCCCTCCCTAAAAATGGAGCCTTTTTCTTGCTAGTTTATGGTGAGACTCAAATGCTTTCTGGACGACAAAGTCCACTTGTCAGCAATATTCTCTTAAATGTCTCTGTTCTCTCTCTACAGCCTGCCTGACAATCACTCTATTATTGGAGCTTTCTTATCCAATAGATTTCTTTTTTTTTTACTCCCCTCCAGGGCTAATAAGGAGAGAGGTTGCCAGCCGCCACAGAGATGCCGAGGATTTCAACTCCGAGTTCGGCTGAGACTGAAACCCTTATATGGCAAACTCCGGGAAAGTGCTATTATGTTGTATGCTGGATACTGTCATTTGAGCACTATGAATTACTTTTTGAAGCATGGCCCATTCATCAGTTTTGTAATGCACATTGTTAGTTCAAAGACCCTGCTTTCAAGTCATTTTTGCTCCCAGCGCCCCCGCTGAAACATCTGACCGCCATCTCTAGATATTTCACTAACTCTTTGCTCATCGTGTTGAAGGGAAAATATTTGCCATGTATTTTAATTCCTCCCTCTTATAATGTATGAGACTCACCTGCCACTAAGGATTTTCTGCTAAGCAAGAGGCACTCCTGTTAGCCAATGCTACTGGGTACTCAAACGTCAAACTGTCTCTTCTTGACCTGGGAAGAACTACTCAGGAGGGTTAGGGCATCAGGAACCTAATTTACCTTAGTTGTCTTCTCCAAAACATCCAGAAGTTCTGCTTAAAAGATCTCTTGCTGCATTTCAGATGTGGCCATGTAAAGGTTATGCTCATTAAGGTAATTCGACCATATTTATTTACAATGCAAATGTCCTGCCAACTTGGGGTAGGCCCTGTTCACGTCGTCACCACAGGTGCTTCACTACTGAAATGTGAGTTCATGCCATTTGTGCTCTGTCACACAGAGTTGCTTAGACTCGTCCTCATCCTTAGAGCAGTCCTCGTTGGCCTTCTCTGAAGAAATACTGCCAGCACTTTAGAGTTCCTCTTGCCATTGGAGAACCCCTCCTGGGTCTCTAGGTCCATGTGATGTGTAACTTACAGTGGAGAAAAGAATTGACTGGCCTAACTCTGTGTTAGAAGACAGCAACAACAATGGAGTGGGTGGGTGGAGGGAATCCAAGATGCTGTTTGCCACAATTGAGACTACGAAAAAGTCCCAAACCCAAACTTTTACATACCCATCTTTCCCCATGCCTTAAACCAAACAGCCATAATAGGCCCCATCCCTTAAACAAACCTGTATTCCCACGGAAATTCATGGGGCTGCTGGTGAGTCTGTTAGGCCCAAACATCTTTATTATCATTTCTCTACTGTCAAAATGAAAATGCTGGACCACTTTCAGGCATCACTTTGTGGTACTTTGTCTTGTGCCAAGAAAGTTCGCAGGGCCATTGCTTAGAAAAGCACACAGGTTTATTGCATATCAATCTCATGTATAAATTCATTGTAGCATTGGAAAGATTACATTTGGTATACATTCCTATTCTACAGCATTAACCTCAAAATCAGCTTTCCTATTCATTATTTTAAAGGTCTTTCTCTACACAAATACATTTGCCTTTTATCACAAGCATCAAAATGAAATTTGTAAAATCGCTTTTTTTTAATTATTTTCTACACTTCATATCTTTTATTTCATTATGCTCCCAACACAGCGATTTCATATTAATTAATAACTGCCACCTCTTTTTTTTTCTTCCTTGGCAGTTCAAGGCTCCTAGCCTTGGACGCAAAACCTAATCACATATACAGTAAGTGCATCTACAGAATTTTTTTTCTTTTTGATAAAAATTTCACAAACAGACACAATAATGACTGCTAAACACAAGTCATGCACAGTTTACTTATAAACATAACAGAAGCAATATACAATCAAGAATGATATGGAACAAGCACCATCCTCTTTCTCAATGTTTTTTAAACATTATATGAAAACCAGACATTTACAATTGATTTTTTTTAAAAAAAACAAAACACTATACAGTTCTAAAGGAAAAAAACAAACAAACCCTAAATCAAATCTGTATTGTAACAATGGGAGAAGGAATGACATAGGATGCACAGATTTATGATTTTTGCAAGCATAATATATATATGTTTTAAATTACATCTTCTGCAGGCTGAAAATGACATCAGGGCAAAACATCTCTTACTTTTGAAGAGAGTAATGAGAACGTAAAATACATTGAGAAATATTTTCAGAATTACTTTGTTCACACGTGAATTGCACATTTGGAAATCAAAGCTGCCTTTTTTTTTTTCCTCTCTCTTTTTCGTTCTTTTCCAAAAGTGGTAATAAGAATCAATGACAGAATAAAGAAAAAATATTGGAATAATGCAATAACATTTTAATCACAGTATCACTCAACACTACAGAGAAACAGTTTCATGGCTTTAAACACTACTGACCATCAACTAGGAGCAGAGCTTTTGCCCTCATGTTACCAATGCAAATCTGAGCAGATTGTTTCACTCCCTGCTTGTTTTTAAACAGGCAGCAAAGTGCAGGTTCCTACACCATGATGCTTCCCCCCCCATCCCCACCACACACACACACGCACACACACACACACACAAAATACAGCACGTAAAAATTGAATGTAAGTCAGTAGATTGAAATAGGCTGGAGGGGTGAGAGGGGGCTTACAGTCCAGTGCTTTGATGCTTAGAGTCTAAACATGTTAATATGTCATTGTGCAAGTGCTTTTATAAATGCTTCGTATGAAATGAAAAAGAGAAGCAGTTTTCAATAACTATTGAATTTCTAAGTGCTGATTTTGGGGAAATCGAGAGGCTCCACTAATCGTTTTGAGCAAGAAGAAAATCGTAACTTTGTTTTTTGTCCTGGAATGTAGTATAGCATTTCAGCTCATGTTTTGTTCTTAACCCTTTCGGTTTGGTTTGCTGCTAGCATGCTGCTCTGCCGGCTGGGCTCTGATCATCCAGTGACGTAATGGCATGTCGGACCCAGCTGGTATGTTCAGCAACACAGTAGATGCCTTCTGTAAGGAGGCACCAGCAGCCCAGCAAGTGTCTTCAACAGGAACATGCCTGGTATGTCTAACAGCAAATCTGGTGCATTCTACCTGGACATACCTGGATCTTCCAAAAACAAAACAAGTGCAATCTACCTGGATGGACCTGGCACATTCCGTCGCACAGCAGTTGCATTGCACCTTGTATCTGCCGAGTGATTCATATCGTTATTTTGAATGCTGGTATCTGAGTGAGCAATAGAAAGGAGTAGCAGAAAATTTTTTTTTTTTTTTTGCTTTTATAATTAGCTCATATATAAAATTTCTAAATAAAGTAGCAATCAGTAGAAGGAAGGGTCCCTCCGTCTTACAGTTTTATTTCAGCAGTACTGAACAGTTTGGCATAGCCAGAGGCTGCTAATAGCCTCCTTGGATCCACCTAGTGATTTGAACAATAACACAGCAGGTCCCATTTCTCACCTCCCACTAGTTATGGCAATATGGCTACCTGCTGCAGACATGAAAACAGGTAAAATAAATAGCCCCCATCCAACAAAATTCTTAGTTATAATCACCTCTTGGATGGTACCCTTGATTTCAAACAATTACCAGGCCTTATGGAAATCACTCTAACTCCACCCCTTGATGTACCACATCAACAGCATTGGTTCCTGAGCATAATATGTTAGTGGTGTAGGGTGTACATGAGCTACACGGCTGCAGCAGAGGCCCCAGATCCTTCCCCTGGCTAGTTCTGAAGGAGAGTCTAAGTTCTGATTGTGGGATCTTTCTTGCCTCTATTTATTCTTGACATAAGCAAGTCTCAGGAAACATCCTTCAAAATAAGCGATTGTTTTTTTGTTAAAGCCCCAAAAACATTAGCTACAAATCGCAACGTTTTGAGTGCAATTAAAGAAGGGGCTAAGGGATAAACATAAATTGGATTCGGCATTGTATTTGCTTATCTTGCTTGGAAAAAATCTTAAAATGTGTAGCCAGTGCTGGTTTAGAGAAGTCTGGATACTTAAATTGACAGAGACCAGCTAGAAGAAAAGGAAGGAAACAAAGTGTGGTCTTTTTTGTTTTTTAAATAACAGGAAACATAAAAAAATCATTTTATGATTTAAAAAAAATTTAATCTTCTTAATATAGGGCTAGACTGTGTCACCCTTACTCACGGTGATTGGTAACGTACTACTCAAAGAGCCCTGTTCAAATCAGTGAGCTACTCAGCCCCAGAAATGGTGGCACACCCTGGTCCCTAGAAGGTAAACAGATATTGCTCATTGTCAGGCACAATTAAGAGCTTTTAACACATTGTTCTTTTGAAGAAACAATGCAAGAAATAACAGGGCAGTGTCCACAGACTGGAGGGAAGTCAAAAAAGCCTTTACAACATTTCTGTTTCTAAGATCTTTGCCTATGGTTTGGAGATGAGGTCACCATGGCAAGTTATCCCTATATATGGAGAAGCAAGGCTGACCCCTCTTCAAAAACCCATGCCATCTACTTACAGACAAAACTTAGGATCGGACCTTGCAAATACCTACTTCTGCTCTTAGAGCTTGATCTTGCAAGATGCAGAGCACTCTTGTCCCGATCCAGAAAGAGACATTAGCATGTGCTTAACTTTAAGCATGTAGTAGTCCCATTGACTTCAAAGCACAGACTTACCCGTTTTAACTGAATAGGGACAGACGTGCTCCTATGCTTAAGGTTAAGAATGTGCTTAAGTGCTTGCTGTGGGGAGTACTATGTGGTAAGCACGGCCGGTGATAGTGTTGATGGGAGTGGGCCTCTGAGCCTTAATCCTGCAAACACATACATAGTCCCATTGATTTACTTTAAAACTACACATGTTTGCAGGATGAAACTTCACCTTGCAGGTTCTTCTGGGGTATGTTTGTTTCTCGAAAGAGTGAATATTTATAGTGATATAATATTGCTGACAACCTCGCTATATACTGTACCATTTTATTTTTAGAAGAGCCACCTTTTAGTTTTGGAAATTATACCAGTTACTTTTGTAAATGGCTACAAATGCCAACTGAATCAGTAAAAAGAAAAGGAGGACTTGTGGCACCTTAGAGACTAACCAATTTATTTGAGCATAAGTTTTCGTGAGCTACAGCTCACTTCATCGGATGCATTCCGATGTATGTAGCTCACGAAAGCTTATGCTCAAATACATTGGTTAGTCTCTAAGGTGCCACAAGTCCTCCTTTTCTTTTTGCGAATACAGACTAACACGGCTGCTACTCTGAAATCTCTCTTTTTAGTTTGTTTCTTTTGTTTTTTATTAAGGGCATGTTGGAAGGGTTTTTCGTTTTGTTTTTGTTTTCTTGTGATATTTTTTCCAAACAATAAAAGAAATAAATAGAACACATCCTACATGCAAATGTAATTGAAACTCAAATTTAACAAAACATGATTGTCGGGAAAAGCGGCAGCAAGAATAGCAGGATTATTTAGGGTCATTTGGCACATAAAAAAATCTACTCCCTGGTTATCAATCATACAACATACAACCTTAATTACACAATTTTGGTCCTTCACTAGATACTTATATTAACATTATTTCTTCACAATAATGATATCCAATGCAAAAAATACTGTTAAGGAAGAAATAAAATAAGAAAAGAATTAGAAAAAAAATTACAAGTTATATACAGATTAAGGTAAATTCCATTAGGAAAAAAAAACAATTATTTTATTATTTTAAATTGGCCCCTATGGGAATAATTTAAAGCCCAAGTGAATGGCAAGTACTGTAATGTTAGCATAGGCAGACGTGCCAGGGAAAGGAATGTTCTGTCTGACTCTTAGAGACTGGTTTCTTTTGACATTGTCAGTTCTTGGGCTACACTTAGTCAAGAGCTTTGTGCAAACATTTGAAACCGGGGAGGGTATAGATCACTGTTGGATTCAGAGCCTTCAGCGCATATACATGGTGACTTGGAGAAACTAGCAGGAGGGATGTCGTCTTTCCCTGGGTGAACTATGGAGAATTATTTGATGTTGCTGATTATCCTTTCATTCCCTCTACCCCAGTGGCAAAGAGAGGTGCAGCCCCAGGGGCCAGCTGAGTCCTGTGGCTGACCTTCTCTGGAATATGAGGTGTGGCCCATCAGGACTGCAAATCCCAGCATACAATGCACCACTGTAATCTGAGCAATTGCTTCCAGATGGAGCATTGCATGCTGGAACCTCCTCTACTGCCATGATCTGCATCTTCATATTCAACAGCAGAGCAGCTGCAGTCTGTTCCCGCACAAATAAACTAGGGGCCCAATCTCGCAAACACTTACTAGTAGATGTGTTTACTACTGTGAGAAGTTTCTCTGAAGTCAGCTAATGACCCAATTCTGCAAACACTGACTACTAGGTGTAGCACTTACTACAAGTGGTACACCCAGCTTTAAGTGTTTCGAGCCTGGTCCAAAGTCCATTGAAGTCGGCGGAAAAACTGCTAGAGTCAGGCTTTTACAGAATTGGGTCCTTAGAGCATCTGGAGGCTCCTAGGTGAGTTGCTGATGCAGCATTCAGATGGGCAAGTTTGTAGCACCCCTGATTCAACTTAAAGTCACTTGGTGGCAGGCACCTGTCTTACCTTTAGGCAATCCTGATTCTGTAACACCATATCTAGGCATTTCTCAGCACACACATTACAAATGTCAGAGTAGCCAATGTTATTCTTTGTAATATTTCTAACCCCTTTCAGAATTATGTTCAGGTTTAGCTTTACCTATAAAAATCACAGCTAGAACACCAGGTTGTTATTACAATGTAGAAATAGCACAAACTAATGTCACAGGATTTCTGGAGGCTGCTTTATGTCAGCAAAAGAGCTGAGACTTCAAAGCAATTTAAAATCATCCGTAAAAAATTGCAAGTAATTTTAGATCCAGAGAGAAAATATATTTCCTTAGCCACATGCTTGAGGAGTTGAGCTGCACTCATAAGGTTATTAAAAACAAGGATTTTTTTTTAGCCATATTATCAAAATTATGGGGTAAATGATGGCAGGGTACTTGGCATAAGCAACCACCAGCAAACCAACACAAGGGCACAGGGCAGAGGTTTCTCCCCCAACATTGAAGAGAGAGCATTTGAAAGACCCTCTGGGAGAGAAACTACACAGTAGCTTTCTAGGGTTGAGCTTACGGGGCATTGTCTATGTATTTGTGTGCATGTATGAGCAGCCCCAGCAACGCTCCTTCTGCACCAATTATTTGTGCTCTTGGCAGAAGCTAGCCCTGTTTGGACATTGCACGTCAGGGAGCGTGGCTTCCCACAATAGCGACTCACAACAACACACTCTGCAGTGTAAAGATGAGTGCTGTTGTGGGGGGTGCAGAATTTCACGCTATTTCAAAGAGCCAAGTTAAGTAAAATGGGTCAAATTCACCATTCCTTGGTATAACGCTGGTGACTATATCAGAATTATACCAGGGATGGATCAGTCCTAGATCTCCCCCCCCACACCCCAGCCCCCTTATGACTGCTATTCAACTGAAGTGAATGTGGTGTGTGAGGGGGGCAAGGGGTCGAATGACTTCAAGTTTTAGTTTATAAGCAGAAACCAGCTGGCTCAGTTATATTGTCTTGTAACTGTAAAGGGACCAGTATTTGATTGCATCATTGCAATTCACTTATGGTTTACACTATTCTTAGAGATGGTGGAATCCTAGGGCTGCTTCAGGGCTATCCAGTTTGGAGAGTTTCTTTCTAACAAATTAGAAACCAACAACTGTGGATAGATACAAATTCGCGAATTGTAGGGTAGATGTGACAGGTTTATTCTCCCAGCCAAAAGCCCAGACGACTCCCTGCGGCCCTCTGATCCATCTTCTGCGTGCTAGAATTTCTGATAGGGCAGTCACAGCATCACCACCTCCTCACTCGGACCTTGAACCAGTGCCTTCTCGACCCGTCAGAGATGGTTGATGGGATTAAAGGTCCCCGACTCTGAGGCTGCTCCTGCCATGTTCAACCAAGCATCCAGATTATTCTGGGAAGAAGTGTGAAGGGGAGTGTTCTCAGAAAGGGACAGCATCATTGCATAAGCCTAAAGGAGGGGAAGAAGCAGAGGAAGGGGAATGGGTGAATACACTCTCCTGGGTCCTGGCATAATCCACATGAAGTATAGAGTCATTTAACGATTTACGTATCAGAAACTGGGGACAGTCAGTGCCATTCACTTTGGTGTGGGCTGGGAATCCTACCTGCCAATCAATACTTATGTTCACACATGAGGAAAACCCAAGGACCTTACCATAGAGTTTTACCAGGCAGCAGTGGGTTTAACTTGCTTCCTTCCTTGCACCTTGCACTTCATGACAAATGCTGACACTTGCATCTAGGCCCCTCTCCTAGAGGACATTACTTTTCCCACTGAACATATCCCGGGAGTTCTGGCCTTCTTTTTTCACATAGTTTTCAAAAGTGCATATGGAACAGTGTGCATTGCTGACTGAGTCGTGCCGATCCCCCCCACCTGGGCATGATAACTTTGCGGTACATCTGGGGAAGACAGGAGCTCATGCCTGTGAAACTTTGGCCTTCAGAAGTTATTGTTGACTCGTAAAAGGAGAAGTGTAAATGGGGGTTCAGATATATAAGACAAAAGTGACTCAGTGGAGATGAGCTTGTGCATGGCATGTTGTTTCATTTACTGAGCATTTCCATTGTGTCTGGAGGGAGCTGGAGCGTGTGTGAAGTTGTGTATGTCCATTTGGCAGTGTAAGCATGGTGTGTGTTTGCAGGCATGACTGTGTGTGTTCACTGCAGCACTACCAGCCGACAAAGCCTAGTCCGTGAATGCACAGAGACCACGGCTTTCTGTAGAGTAATTTGGTTGCTTTGCTGCTACCCAGGCCTTCTTCTCCTCCACTTTTGTTTGTCTCATTCATTTTTTGCATCTTGTCACAACCCAGGTCCTGATCCTGCAAAGATTTATGAATGTGCTGAACTTTGCACATTGTGAGTTAAAATCTAGGGAATTACCCATGGTGTGTAACGTTAAGTACGTGTATAAATCTTTGCAGGCTAGGGGCCCTAGATTGGACGCTCTCTTTACTGCAGATGTCTGTACAGTGCTTAGCACACATGTAATAAATAACAGTAATAAAACTTCCCCAAAACTCCAAATACAACTTCCCCCTCCCCCAAAGGAAGCTCAAATTCAGATCCAGTTCTCAGTCTCACCATTGTATCTCATGCTCGTCTGTATGTGCTGCAGGGCGTTCTGCTTTATGGGTGTTTGCATGGTTGTGTGCATTTCAATACTACAGTGACAGTGAGCCAAAATTGATAGAAAGGTAAGATTTCTGTGCTGGTCTGACCAGATAAATATTATTTTCCCACCATATTGCCTGCACGTAATACATGCAGAGCAGAGACTTTTAAATTGTCCAAGTTATATCATATCTGACAAAATGTAACATCTTAGATCTCACTTACTACAAAATGACGTTAAAAAACAATCATGTGCCCGATCTAACATTGCCATCAAGAAAAATCAAGTTGTGCCTAAATAGTTAGTACACTCAGCGTATTAGTAGAAGGACACAGACAGAGGCATGCAAGTGGCTTGTGTTGAAAGTATAAATGAGCTCTTTTTTCACTAGAAAAGAACTTCAGTGGTCTCGTCATAGCCAAAATACTCCCTTAAGTGCAGTCAAATCTGTACAAAATACCCACACTTCCAACAGGCAACCCCCCACCTCAACTTCCTGGCCCCAGTCTTAAGCAGTCACTATAAAGTAGCCTTAGGGTTTCAAGCACAGTCCCCTTTGACCTTTAATTAAAGACCCACCTCTATTAGGCAACTGCATTTAGTTGCATCTTTGGGTGATCTTTAACATAAATTGTATTATATTCCTGTTGCTTAGAGGACAGAACGACGCCAAGTACAGTAGCTGATCTCATCCCCAGTAAAACCTGAAGCAGAGGTAAATATACTCAAACCTGCACTGGTATTCTTAAAAGAAGCATTTGAACTATGTGGCCTCTTTTAAGCAGATAAGAACAGATGGTTAATGGCAAAAAGTTTGCAGGTTTTGTGCAGAGTGTTTCTCTGAAGCTTGTCTCAACGTATCCTCTTTGTTCTGGTAATGTGGCTGGACATCTCACAGAACGGCTCCCTCATGAGATCTGTTGCTGCTTTATTTGGACCAGGATGCAAACTTCATGAGAACAGAGCCCCTCGTGCCATTTCTGCTTATGGCAAAACCAGCGAGCACAGAGCCATGCTAATTTAAAAAAAAAAAAATTTCCAAGCTCTTTCAAACTTCAGGATTTTGTTTTGAGTTTTGGAAGAAGGCCTGCATCAGCTTCTGCTGTGCCTGAACTGGTATGTCTTTTGATAAGAAGGGGGATTTTATCTTAAAGGTGCAGTGGCATTAGGTTTAAAGCTTAATGCACAAAACAATGGCATTTTCTAAATTTGCTTAAGATGATGCAATTCTCCAAGCAAGTCTAGAAACTATCATTCTGAATCAGCTTTTATGTTTTTATTATTAAATCCTGTTATATTTTACTGCTGTTTCAAAGGGCCAGATGCTCAACTGGTGTAAATTGTCATTATTCCAGTGAAACCAATGTATTCCAATATATACCAGCTGAGGATTTGGCCCAAAGTTTGTAACAATTGCATTATCATATTTCTATATACATTTCTATAGACAGATACAGATAGATAAACTACATCGCTATATAGCTATAAACCTGCACTCACTCCACAAAGTTATAAGGGTATGTGAAACTGATTATATACAATATGAGTTAACAATTCCCTCCCAACTCCTATTTTTTCCTGGACTGCAACATGGTAGCAAACAGATGTGATTTACAAGTTAGTCTTCACCATCAGAATTCCAATTCAGCATGGACAGAACACAGACTTGGCTAAAGGAACCCAGCTGTTTGATAATCCCATGCTAAATGCTGGAGGTAAGCTCGATAAAATGTTCTGTCATATACCTACCTGGTTTTTAGCCTGCCTGTACAGAGTCTGTTTTATTGTCTCAGAGTCTAAGGTGGAATTAAACACATCTTTAACTTCAAATGCTTCCTCGGCTGCTTTGCGAAGATCCAGCCCCTTCCCAAAATTCGGCATCTGCTCCAAATCTAACAAGCCGGCTTCGTCCTCCTCAATACACCTGTACCAATGACCAGGGGAAGGGGTTGACCTGTTGTTAGCTCATCTCACCGTTTACAGTCTAACCAATGTGTGTGTTGCTAGCTCAGTGCCTGCATGCACATACCATGGGGTTCTCACAAGCCACATGCATGAAGAGACAGACAGACAGGTGGACCAAAAAATGCACATGATGCAAGGAGCAAAGAAAAAGTGGAATGCATGGTTACGCACGTAAATCTCAAGCATTAGTGCTACCATATGTTGTGTGGTTACCATTTTCATTCTGGTCTCCGATTCAGAGATGCCTGATTACTAGCTATTCCCGAAAGTTGGGGGAATAGAGCTACTGCACCATATTCCCCAGGGTTTACAATAGGCTTAATTGGAAAACACTGACACACTGAAAAAACCCTTTGAATATAATAATACTTTGCATGATATGGCACTTTTCATCCATAGATATCAAAGCATCATTAGTGGATAGAAACCTGTGGCACAAGAGAGGCTAAGATGTATGATTTCAATAGTGGACTTCAGTGTTGAGTGCCCAATGTTTTGGACCAACTTTAGATACTTACGGCCTGATTTTCCCAAACACCAACGACCCCAATGGAAGTCAGTGGGAGTTGCAGGTGCTCCTCCCCTCTGAAAATACTGAGAGTCAAAAATAGACTTTTCCTGAACATTTAGGCTTAAAATAACTTAAATGCTAGAGTGCATAGTGAGTCAATGGCAGAGTAACGTATAGAAGCCTGATTTCCTGCCCTATCTACAGGAGCATACTTTGGATGAACTTTGGCATGCCAGCTCATGGATGCAAAGCAACAGATTTTGTGAAAGGCAAGTCGGTAAGAGAGCTAACAGAAGGAGTGGATTCCATTTTGCACCATTGTTTATATCTTTACAATCAAACACTGCTATAGTTTATTGCGCTTTCTAATGTATAGTTATCCTAGGGTTCTTTCACGCTAATGTTCTACCTCATACTGTAAACTATGTCTGCAGCAGATAGTTGCCTATTTTTGTTTACACAGCTTTACACTGGGATGCTTTGTATTATCAACCTGGATAGGCACCTGAGTAAAACAGAATACCAATTAAATGTTTCAAAAGTGTCCTTTTTGTACCTGCAAGTGTCTTCCTGGTGGTTTATGAACCAGGGTGCACAGCATGGATGGCACAAAAAGCAAACAAAGGCATGGGGACACATCCACTCTGCCCACACAAAGGCCAGCCGCACCATCTCATCTGAAATTAATGCAAGGCCTTATATCCTGAGACAAGAGGATGCTGCCATTTTGCTGCAGATAACATGGGTGGGGTAGTGGAAAACTGCCATTATCTAGATTTCCTTGCATCAGCTCTCTTTTCACTGAACAGGGTTTTAAAAATTGAGACATTGACACTGTGTCAGGTAGAAGAGTTCATGATACATTGAGGAGGCTGGTTTTTTCATGTGCTGTTTGCCTTTCCCGCTTTGCATTTTTCAGGCCTTGTGTATCTGTCTTCTTACATTTTTGCATTTCAGTTTATTTATTTGTGCTCTCCACCATGGTGAAAATGAAGTTCCTAGGGCAAACTGGAGGTATGATTCATGGTTTGAAAAATAAAGTGATACCACCCATGACCTGCTAATGACACAGGGTGAGAAATCTAACCCCATTCTGCTTCCCAGAGGAAATGGCCCCACCCACCTTTGGGTATGGTCAAAGCTCATGGTGAGGGATGTGGGCTCTTCATCCTCCTCATCCTCAAACGTTCCTTGGGGCTCCGTCGTGGGTGATACTGTTTCATCCTGTGACTTCCCTGTCAAGCTGTCATCATCTTCCTCCTCCAATTCTTCCTCCTCCTCATCCACATCTTCTGGTTTCTCATTTGCTATCCCATGACACTGGGAGTTGCTATCAACGTCTTGGATTTCTGGCCTGGAATGTTTGAGCACCGGGGAAGGAACCAAGATGTCAGTTGATAGCAGCAATTGCATTGCCATTTTGGTGCAAGATTCAGGCATTTAACCATTTATTTGTTATTTATGGTTCAGAATGGCTGGGGACAGAAAATACCTATTAGATAAGCTATTCCTTACCAATGCAAGATTGTTCTCTACAGTGTCTAAGAGCTAATGGAGTGAGTCAAATATATTCCATTCTTAAAACTAGATTTTGTCCAGTCTGGTTTTAAGTATCTTCACCCTTTGCACTGTAACTTCTGTGGGCCAAAGGCCATGTTTATCTCTGTGCTTATAGTATCAAAATAACCACTCGCCTATCAACAAAGCTCCACATTGGGATAGGTTTCATTACAAACTTTCCCTAACGGCCAACGTACATCTTCTTTTGCCCCATTGCCCCTTGCTATACCCATATGGACATAAGAGTAAGTAAGCTGTCAGCAAAATAAAACAAACCAGGTTAAGAGAACAAGATCCCATTTGGTAACAATATGTAGTTGGAACAGTCTGAGATGCTGCTAGATCGAATGATAGAAGTTTAATTTTAACATCTTCACCAAGAAAGTTTCCACAACCAAATTAATTATAAAATCAGGAACATCATTGTCCTGTTGCTTTTGTCGAATGTAGGTTACACTAATTACATGGAGGTCCCATACAAACATTTTTAGCTTTTTTCTTAAACCAAAACAAAAAAGCTTTCAAACTTGGTATCAGCATTGAATGGTTATTTGAAAAAACAACAGAGCAGCAGGAACATAATTACAACTGGCTCTGGAACGGAGTGACATTTGTACAACACAGAATGTCCTTTTGGGTTCCCCTGTAGATTAAATATCACTCAGTCAAAATAAGATTTAAAAAATTAAGGGGAAACTCAGATGTTTTCCAAGCCCTGGATCTTGTCACTCAGTCTAAACACATCATCAGCATGTTTGTTTTAGAGAATTTTGATCGATTTTCTTTAAGGTACAGGCCCAAATTTGATTCTCCCTCTGGATCAATTATACCAGCCTTCGAAGGAGTTCTCCTCTTGTCTATTTTTTTGTCTATATCAGGCAAGGTTGAAAGATTCCTAATTTCCCTCAGGAAATACAGTGAACCTTCCCCCCCATTTTATTTCCACGTGTGCAATCTAAACAAAAGCTCTGGTGAGAAGTCTGTATCTAAGATGGGGTTACTTTATCTTGCTTTCAGGGCTGAGATGAAGGCAACAGAGTAGGGAAGGAAATGGAAAACATGTCTAAATTTCACATGTTTACAAGCATCCTTGGTGAAGTGAAGTGTTTCATTCCACATGTAAAGTTCTAAAAGACTGTCGCAACTGTAGCACTGGCAAAGAACACGAGGCTGGCCTGCTGGTAAGTTCAGCGCTGAATGCAGCGTAATCATCCAGCATCAGCACAATTTGTTCTTTGTTTATGAACGCAACAGAATATCCAGGGCTGGGTTCATGAGTGATGGAGAAAACGAAGGGAGCCATAGGAATAGCGCTGGGCAAACACCAAACTTTTTTTCCCCAGGAAAAAATAAACATTTGGCAACATCTAAACATTTGGCAAATTCTGGTCAGTTTCACCTAATTGTTGATTTGGGGACTTCCCCCCTCCTACCAAAAAAGGACAAAATAATCTGAAAAAAAGGAAACATTTTGATTGGAAATTTTTTTCTATTGAAACATTTCAATTTTTTTTTGTTTGAAACAACTTTGTTTAAAAATTTCTTTTAATTTTACTTTAAATATCAAAAGGGTTAAAGAATAGCAGAGTGAAGAACAGAACTGAAATGTTTCATTCAACCCAAAGCAATTTTTTTGAACTTTTCAGTTTGCCAGAAATTTCTAAAATTTTCCTGTCCTATGTGAAACAATTTTTTTTCCTTTTTGAAATTGCCATTAAATTGAAAATGATGTTATTTACCCAGCTCTACTTGGGAAGGGGGACTCAATGTAGCAGTGAGCCCGAGATGCCAAGTGACTTTTGATGGGAAGGGGATGAAGGGGGAAGTCAAAGGGACAAATTAAGACTTGCTGTGAGCCAGTGCAGTTCCACAGAAGCTAGTGGCGCTCACCAGAGGTCTAAATTTGGCCCAAGGAGTGCAAAGTGTGGAAGGACAGAGAGCTCATGTCTATTCTATACAAACAAGCTATGAGAGGTTGAAAAGGGAGTCTGGGTGGGAAGGGGCTTGTTGGAAGCATCTATATGGGGAGAGGGCGATGGTTTTCTGAAGGGGCTGCACTTTGGTGGATCTGGGCCACATTTCCTTTTAAGCCACTGCCATTAACAAGCCTGTTCTGAAGGGCTCTCTTTGATGGGAGGGGGATTTTTTTATGTGGATCATGTTTCAGGTGAAAAGGGTGAGGCCATTTACCTACGTCTGCTTCCATGCTGAGGTCTAAGCTCAGCCTCAGCGATGGAACACAGCACTCGGTTTATTTCCATCCAGGCAGGGTCAAAAACCAAGTCATTACACACGTGGCTTTACTGACACCTACGACGGTACATTCCTCCTCATCCCTGCTGGCAGTCTTGAACCAAAACCCAGATCTGGTGCTTCTGTGCTCCTTTAGCAATTTCCTGGCTTCAGTGAGATGGTCTGAGTGGTTGGAGGGGGACAGGTCAGCAATAATGGATATTTTTAGGTAGGGGAGAATGAGGTTTTCACAAGTCGTTCGTATTGGGGATAACACTGCAGAATACAATCAGCTCCCGCAAAGCTGCATTTGCTCCAAATTTGCCTCCACTAATTGTTCTGTGGCCATTTCCCCAGGCTCGAGTGGTTTCACACTGAAGGTACATTAGGGTATGTCCACACTGCAAAGGAAAACCCGGGGCAACAACTCTCAGACCCTGGGCCAATTAACTGGGGCTCACGGAGCTAAAAATAGCAGTGTAGACCTTCCTGCTGGGATGGGAGCCTGGGCTCTGAGACTTGGTGCCGTGGCTTTTCCCGTGCCGCGTTGGACCCTGTGACACTTGGAGCTGGGTGATGAAAGGAATGAAAGATATATGGTGGCCAGGCCTCTGGAGTAGAAATGCACCAAGAGGAGTTGCAGAACTCTCCCAAGAACAATATTGATCCCAGAGGCAAACAAGAAACTAAACGTCTGTGTATCATGAAAGTCAAAGAAGACCAGACTCTTAAACCAAGGCTGAGTTTTGAAAAGTGAACCTCTTGACATATGATGAGTGTCTGATTCTTCCTCAGTAGTGCCCTTCCCCACTGAATTCTGTGCTCATGGGAGGGTCCTCCACTTACACTCGCTCCCAAAGACAGCACTTCCTTTCCTCACACGCTGCACACCAGTTTGAGCTGTACCACTCATTCTGTGACAGGAACTTTGGCTCCTTAGAGACTTAGACTTCTTTTACAGAGCTTTCCAAGGCTTTTCTGCAAACCTGATGGATCACTTGATGGTTACCTGTTCTGTTCATTCCCTCTGAAGCACCTGGCACTGGCCACTGTTGGAAGACAGGCTACTGGGCTAGATGGACCTTTGGTCTGATCCTGTATGGCCGTTCTTGTGTAATTTCTGCCACAAACAGAAAAGAATTGGGACACTCTGTATAAGGAGTCTAAGTTGAGTGCCTTGCGGGATTCTCATTATTACTCTAATCTCTTCAGACTATTTGAAATCAAGCCCTGAACATGCAGATGGCTGGCCAGCCTTTGAACAGTCTGGTAAGAAGTGTCCATTAGTGTGGCTTTGTTTGTTTACCTTTTATCTGTTAAAGTTGATGCTTGATTCAACTCGCTATTTGCAATAAAATTTCTGATTTCAGAGAAATACGAGTCCTCTTTCTCATCTAAAAGTGCATGGTTGTCTGGCTCCGAGTTTGGGGAGGAGGCACTGGTCCCAAGGTGGTTAGTAATGACTCCAGAGTGCTGGCTCACTGCACAGGGGACAAGGGACAGGAGAAAGAATCAGATATTGCCAACACTGCTCTCAACAGAAAACAAGGAGGAAAATTAACGCAATAAAGCATTTACTGCATGGTAAGAATTTACATTGAAAGAAAGTTTCAGGAAACAAAAATCTTGGCAGAAAAAGTGATATCTTCCAAAAGTGAATGTGCACAGAGAGACATAATTAGTATCTGTACAGGGACGGGAAATATTATTAAGTACTGTTATCTAGCTATCCTAGGTTCTTCACATAGTGCACAGTCAACCTATGGAACTCCTTGCCGGAGGATGTTGTGAAGGCCAAGACCATAACAGGCTTCAAAAAAGAACTAGATAAATTCATGGAGGATAGGTTCATCAGTGGCTATTAGCTAGGATGAGCAGGAATGGTGTCCCTAGCCTCTGTTTGCCAGAAGCTGGGAATGAGCGACAGGGGATGGATCACTTGATGATTACCTGTTCTGTTCATTCCCTCTGGGGCACCTGGCACTGGCCACTGTCGGAAGACAGGATCCTGGGCTAGATAGACCTTTGGTCTGACCCAGAAGGGCCATTCTTATGTTCTTATTTTCTTATCTGCCCCCCCCACTACTGCAGTATCTGAGCACCTCGCAAGCTTTAATGAATTTATCATCACAGCACTGTGGGCAGGTAGTTATGGTTCCCATTTGACATATGCAGGAACGGAGGCATGGAGAACTGAAGGGCCAGAATTTTAAAAGTATCTAGGCACCTAAAGGTGCAGATAGGCACCTAATGAGATTTTCAAACATGCCCAGGGCACTTTTGAAAAGTCTTATGGGGCTTCAATACCTTTAATAAGTGACTTGCCCAAGGTTACACAAGGAGGTTCCTTACACAGAGCAGGAAACAGAATCCATGTCTCCGAAGTCCCGACCCTAAGCACTGCACCACGCTTCCTCTCTGTTACTATGGAGTTAGCAGTTCTAAATAATACGTCAAGTTCGTACTGTCACGTACACAGTTCAGTATTACTGGCATTTACGGTATAAAAACATTGGAGAAGAAGAATTCATTATAAACTTCTGTTTCTATTTGTTTGTAGCTTTTTGAAGAAATTTCTTCTCGGCTGATAGTTCATATATTGGGTTTCAATACACAGGTTCCTTCTCTCTCTTTGTGGGGTTGGTTTGTTAGATTTTTGCTTATGTGAAAAACAACTTATCTGCTTCCGTTATGTGAGCATCTAAAAATATATTATTTCAGCTTTAAAAAAGTTTGTGTGTGTGTGTGTGAGTGACTGAGAGACAGAGATACACAAACACATTTCTTTGTAATTTTAGAAATGCAACATCTAAAATAAATATTTTTCTTTTGCTGACCAGTAATATTCATGTACAAGAATGGATATTTCCATGAAGATTCTCACATGTGACCCAGAGTGACTTAAACTGAGGATTTCTCTCTCCAGTGTCCCGAACAGAATTACACAGCAGGGTTGACTCCCTACCTGGCACATTCTCATGTTCATGCTTCTTAAGGTGTCGGTCCAAGTTGGTCTGCTGCCCAAAGCATCGGTTACACAGGTGACATTTGAATGGCTTCTCCTTGTTATGGATGTTTCGAACGTGCCGCTGGAGGTTAGAGGAAATGCTGAATGACCTGTCACAGTATTTACACCTGAAAAATAGAAGCAAATGCCAATGAGTGCAACCGAAGGGGGAAAAAAAACCTACCATCAAACATTGCTCTATAAATCTTTATTTGACTGTGGACCTGGAAAGCATGGGGCATTAATCATCTCAGACAATTCTGATATTAGTATTATTCAAGATGCAGAAAGAAGGGGTTAGGATTAATTAAGAGGTTAGCCAGTCCAAACAAATAGGAACTTAAAAGTAAATAATTACTTTTCCATGTACCACCACAAAAGGAGAATTTATGTCTCTCAGGTTTCTTATTTTGTAAAGAAAGAAGAAGGGGGAGAAGGAGATAGAAAGGAAGAGAAAGAAAAGCCCATTAACTCGTAGATTTACAAGTGACAGTCATTTGGAGATAAAATAGGCTAGTAATTTTTTGTGAAATTTCTAAAGGGCTGAAGGAACAAAGAGGCGCTCGAGGTGTAGGCCTATTAGAATATAATTTAAAATAATTAATTAATATGTATATTGTGGTAGTACCCAGCATCTGCAAAATAATCTCCAGACACAGAGGGAAATGCACTCCCTGCCCTAAGGAGTATATGCAATCTAAAAATAAAACTATGATTTATTTAGCAAATGATCACGCAAACCAGAAATGGCATTTGTAAAGGTGGAGGAAACCTACCCATTGGTGGGAAGTTAGTGAATGTAAGGAGCCATGGAAAAGAGCATTGGGAAAGATTCTCCCTTTCAAATAAGTCTCTGCAGAACCCACAGTTGATGTGTCAGCAGTTCATTTCCAAACTATGCTCGCCCAACACACTTTATGTTCAATGTCTTTGAAACAAAGTAGGAGTATAGAGGCTTTTGCAAATGCAATGGCTTTGTGAGCCCAAACCCTCTGCACTCACTTGTATTGAGGAACAAGAATGTACCTAACTTACTGAAGAGGGCAGCTTTGAGCCACAAGGAAGGGTTTCAATATTGAAGATATCAAATGCTAAGTCCTTTTTATATCAGTCTGAATCTCATCAAGTTTCCTTTCCCCAAGTCCCATCACCACAATCCGCAACAACAGTGGAATTCTTTCTCCTCTGTGGACTTTTGCAAATCGTTTAAACTTTCTGGAACAATTTCTGCACTCACACCAGCATAAATCCTGAGTAACTATACTTACTTTAAAGGGAGTTGCTCTGGATATATACGGGCATAACCAAAAGCAAAATTTGGCCCATTAAACCCAGCTCCTGCAGAACACAACAAAAACCCTGCTGTTGGCCAAGTCTTGTTAATTTTCTGAATGTTCTTAGTCCCATTTACTTCAGTGAGCGGCCTTGGGTGTGAGGAAGGCAATCAGGGTTGGACTCGGTTGTACCATTTAGCTCTGAAACTAGATTCAGCCCACCAGTAAGACATAATGTTGTTTTTTAAAAAAACATAAAAGATTCAAATGAGGGAGATGTGGAAGTGTCAAAAATCTATGCTAGGGTGGCACACACATCTTCTGGATGTGCTGCAGCTGTGCCTGTGGCTTGGTCTCTAAAAATATATTCATATTATTGTTGGAAGTAACAGAGATAGACAGTATATATGAAACTCTCCTTCCAAATATTTATGGTTTCCACATCCACCTCTGTGTTCCCTACTGTTAAATCACAAATGAGGATCAAGACATTAGCTATAATGTAACTTCATCCTCAACACACGAGGAAACGCACCCAGTCTTTTGCTTTATCACATTTTTTTCAAACTGCCTTTCTCCAAAATTCTTTTCCAAACACATTTCTTTTTTTAACTCAACTCTTACAACATGCAAACTGACCCAGCGATGAAAACAGAGCACGCTGCCTCTTTGGACGCTTGCTTTTGTTGATAACAAGAAAGCCAAAAACCCCATGTTCTGTATTGATGACTCAACATGCACAAGTTTTGTACAGCGCCCTTTCCCTCCCCCAAATTGAAGGGTCTGATTTATATTTATATTGAGCATCTGCGGCTTCTACTGAGGCCACCTGAAGATGAGGGTGCTCATGACTTCTTGTAATCAAGATTAAAAGGTCCAAATAACAACATGTCCCGATTATTCCATAGACACCTGGCTACCAATTCTTCCTCTTTGTTTTCTATTCTTTGGAACCATAGTAAGAACATCATACAGGACAATTAAGAAAGTATGCCTTTTGGCTCATCATTGTCATATTTTTGTAGGTACACAATACCCACCTACACACAGAGCTAAACACACCATAAATAAACAAAGGTGATGCTAAAATTGGCAGGAACCCCCCCAATTAAACCAACCCAAAAGCACGTTAAGCCACTCCAAGAAGCTCTCTATTAGCTGAATGAACAACTGCCGCTTCCAAAGAACAGGCCGTCACACTGAGAAATTGAGTTCGAACAATGTGTGTGCTGTAAAACAATGGAGAAATTCTCAGAAATTCACAAGGTTTGACAAATCAAGGGATTTGAAGGACGCTGTCCATGGGTGAGAGTGTTTGGGAGGAGGGAGGGGCACACACACCATAGCTCTGGCAGTTCCCACTGCAGGTATGACCACAGATCACACAGGCAGGTCAAACGTCACTGGAAGTGCAGGAAAGCAACACCCCAAGGTCACTCCTGTTTTGATTCGAAGGTACATCAACCCTTACCCTGGCTTCAGGCTTCTAGCAATATAAAAAGGAAGGGGACAGGGATACTGTAGAATGACACAGATCTCTAGAAAGGGACACAGGTCATTTAGCTTCTTGAATGCAGAAGCTTCTACCTCTCTGGCCTTGACTTCTGCAAACTTGCCCCCCTAAGGTCCGCTCCAAATGCTGGTAAGACTAGCCTTCTGGCTACTGCTCCAACCACATGCTCTGACTGCCACTACTCTGGCCACTGCGCTCCAAGTAGCTCTTAACTAGCTGCTCCGTCACCTCCACACCAAACACAAGCTTCTTGTCTTTGCGTTCAAGGCTCTTCACAACTGAGCCCTGCCCCACTTTGCTCTAATAACCTCTCCTTAGCATCTCCCTCCTTCACTCAGGCAGCGACACCAGCCTTTTCTGTCCACCAGTCAGTGTCTTGTGGATTGGAAATACTCCTTGATAAAAACCCATACAGCTTATTCCTCATCCTCCCTCAAATCCCTCCTTAGAGCTCCCCACACCACCCTGCCTGCTGAGCGTGACTAGATTGGTGAGAACTCCTTCCCCGGCCTTCCTTTTCCTGCTCCCTTACTCTTCCTGACTCTACCATTCCTCACCCGACCTCTACCTGCAGTTAAAAAATTAAACCCCATCCAAACATGTAATTCCCCAAGTGGTGCCAATTGCTCGTATGTTATAACCCAATCCCTTCTGTCTGCTCTGTGTCTTTTAGACTGTATGCCATTTGGGGTAGTGACTGCCTCTTATCTGTGTTTGTACAGTGCCTGACACAATAGGGCTTCAGTCCTCACTGGGGCCTCTGACTGCTACCATAATATAATTGTTTACTGCTGCTGCTGTTATTGTAGGTCTACTTGCCACGTCCGGCTCACATTACTCACATGAGAAGTTCCAGGGACTTCAAAGGGAGTATGCATGAGTAAAGCAAGAAGGATTTGGCCCCATGTTTGTCAGTTTATTTAGATGTTCAGGAAGCCTTTGAAAAGTTCGCTTGACAGGCCCTTGCTTTAACTATGAGCTATGGGGATCCAGGGTAGGATATGGAGAATGGATAAAGAGCTTGTTAAAAAAACAGAAAACAGAGGGACATGTGAAGGGAGGTATTTCTAATGTCTGTGAGTGCAGGGACGAGGGAGACGTACTGTATTAAATGTGGTCCCAGAGGGGCCAGAACTTGGATCTCTGCTGGTTTTAATCTAAATAAATTACCTCGACAGAGAGACCAACTTTACATTTAGGGAAGAGGTAAATGCAGAGGCTGAAGGAACATAGAACACAAAAGGAGTTGCATTTGGTTTGTAAACTCACTGACAAATTGCCCGTGAAATTTATTGCTGAGCAATTTAAAATAATACACCAGCAGGCTCAAAAATAATAAGCAGGAACAAATGATGGATAGCAATGAGCCAGAGCTGGGGAACTTTGAGAAAGATCTCAGAGAAATAGTGGACAACCCTTAAGACCTCAAGGAATACGGAGACATGGTTTAAAAAGCCAGTTGGAGAGGAAAAGGCAGGTAGAACATAACATTGTGTAACGGAGCTAGTCACCATAGAACTAAGATACTCTGATTAAATCACAACTGGAATATTATGGTGCCTTGTTCTTACTACACTATAAGTAACATGATTCCACTTGTAAAACTTTACATTTATTTGAAGACTCAATAACATGAGCTGTAAAGACAGTAAAAGCCCTTAAACATATGGGTCCATATTCCTTCCCTATGTAACTTCCCAGTCTTGAGTGGAGTTTCACCAGAGATGCATTTAGCCCAGGATCTTTAACAGAAAACAAGAAAGAAGAGATTTTTATTGACCTATATGCAATCTTAAATGACATGGTAAATGTCAGCTGTAGCTGTTAGTTTCAACTTAGTGCAGACAACAGGACAGGGGGGGCTGAAAAGGAAATGAAAGAAAAACAAATTCAAAACAGACGTCAGGAAGCACATCTTTATAGAAAGCATCGCAGATCTAGGGAACAACGTAACAGCAAGGTTGCCAAGGCTCCAGGATTGGGTGTAATTCAAGAATCAATTAGATGGCATCCTGGAGGGAATGGACTTTTGAAAGAGAGAATAAGCCTTGTTGAACCAAATGGCCTTTGCTTGTTCTTTATTCTGGTTTTATGTAGTTTCAAAGCAGGAGGGGGAAAGCCCCCACAAAACACCCTTGTATTCTTGTGTTTTAAACAGTAAGAGGGTCATTAAAAAAACCTGCTTCTTCTGAATCTTGCCTTGCAGTCCAAGGAGAAGGATGACAGAGCCCTGTTTTTTTACTACCTGAGTTGCCAGAGAAGTTTGACATTATTTCACAACAAGCCAAACTTATTTTGTCCTCCTCTGAAGGAAATTGAAATAGTTAAGTTTGATTGCTTTGTTTTATTCTTGCGTTCTGAAACATACTGTTGAATTTTAGACCAGATGGGGGAAAAGAACTGTAAATAGGAAAGAATGCCACCTAAATCCGCTGTATCACATAGATGTGCACATGTCATGATACAGTCAAATCATCTTTAGCCATTTTGCTTTTAAATACATATGTACAGTACATTAGTATGTGTGGCTCAGTAACAAAATAAGTAGCACTTTAAAATTTCAAAACATTGTACAAACTTTAGTTAATTAGCTCCCATCATGTAATGTATTTTTTCCATTTTACAGAATGGGGAAACTAAGACAGGTAAAGTGACTTGCCAAAGGTGAGACAGTTTATCAGTGGCAGTCAGGAACAGAACCTACATCTCCTGATTTGCTAATTCTTGCTCTAACAAGACTGCTTCTGTATTTGTGCATGTACATTTGTATCTCTGGGTCTGTGTTCCATGTAGGTGGTTTTGTTCATGTTTGTGCACATGTGAGTTTAAATAATCTTCCAAATTACAAGCGTGAACACAGGAACTGCTTAAAGAATCAAAAGAAAAGTTGCAACAAGAACAAAAAAATCCTGAGAATCAGCCAGGTTCCTTTACCCAGACAAAGTCAATGTTTGCTAAAAAAGCTTTCAGAACAATTATTGTTGCTAAAGTTGGAAATCGCAGTTCTCAGAGAGCAAAAGAAAATCAATGATAATTAAAGTCTTCTGTAAACATAGCACTAACTCTCAGGAGTACTATTCCAATGCAACATTGTCCAGAAGTCAATCCTCTATTATAAAAACACACACACACAGAGCTCATTTTCTGGGAGAAGACCAGATCAAATAAATCTTTATTTTCCTAACCTTTGTTAGGTTGCATGTCTCCTTTTTTGGAAGAAAACTGGACTCACCATCTGTGCATAATCGGGAGTGTGCATTTTGGTGAAACAAGGGTGTGGAGTGAATATGCAGTATTCATTCACCCCATATCAAATAATGAAATTGAAGAATTAGAAGAATAGCGAGTGGTTACAAAATATATGCCATTTTAGAAAGGCCTTACAAATAATTCTTTACGTAATGCTTACTATCAAAATTTAACTCTTCTGGAAAGGTTTAAATAAGGGGGAAAGTCGCTTCATTAAATTAAACTAAACCACCAAAAATGTCCAGTATGTTTAACTTCATTAAGTTAAACTAAACCACCAAAAATGGCCAGATGGCCTTTTGCTGTTCCTAAAATTGTTTACATTTGCCTTTATGTGGTCAATATCACAGGTCTCTGTAGTGAGGGTAGAGATCCCAATGGTATTAATTACTAAAACACCATCACAACAATGAAAGGTACCTGAATTGTTGATATTAATGCTAAGCCTCAATAACAGTTACCAAGACTTGTTCTGAAAATTCTGATAAATATTATGATAAACTTTGGTGAGGACACAACTTGTCCTTCTCTTGTGTGAGCTCAGTTTTGCATGTACATATGCCTACAAACATTTTTTTCTAAATTTTTGTGAGCAACCGATAAAATGAATTGAAAAATTGAAAGGAAAAAAAGTTTGGCAAATTTTTCCACCATCATTTTTCAGTGAAAAATATAAATTTTTCCAGCTAGCTCTACTAAATTTTCAAACATTTGCACCAAGTGGATTTTGCATACAAAGCTTCTAGCACTTGAATGTGCCCCGGCGGGGCAAACAGGTATAAAAAGGGTGTGTGTGGGTTTGCACACATGCCATTTTGTGCACACACAAGTGCAGACTGAAGTGTGAAAATCAGGCCCTTTACTTATGATGATCAATACTTTCATACTGACTAAGTTCATATTTATTTACTTATTTAGATTTCAAACAAGATATACAAAAAAGGCTCAATAATCTGTTATTCAAGGCACCTCTGCCTAACATTAGAAGAAAACTAATCTAGCTAAACCCAACAGCAAGCTCACTGGCAACCCCTACAAAACAGTTGAATATTCAAAGACAGTCTTCAGTTCTCATTGAAGTGAATGGTTAATGAGAGTGTTAATCATTATGTGTAATACTACGTTTCTACAGCATTGTGCAGGGCTAACGTTATTGAAATCAAGGGAATGGCACAGCGATGAACCAGGCCCTCAACATGTAGGGAAGGGATATTATCTGGACAAGAGTATCACCTGTACGGTTGTTCTCCTGTGTGTGTCCGAAGATGCCTTGTCAGATTCGCTGACCGGGGGAAGATCTTACCACAGTACCTAGGAAGGCAAAAGTCAAAGTAACCATGAGTGCCTTAATGCTCTGCAATACAAGGCCAATTCATAACATTCTGTTTCACCCCCCTACTCTCTGTCACTTATTTTGGTAACACTCCCAAATGACAACATTATCCTTTCTCAAATGACCTGTGCAACAACACACTATTAAAGTGCAGGAGAAGCTGGTACAATCAATTGTATTTAAGATGCAGACTAAAAGGAAAAGGGCAAAAGACAATTGGTTATGCTCAAATGCTGAGAATGAACAGGAAAGCAGGATCAAATACCGATCATTACATGACTATAAGTTACCATTGTCTGGAAGAACTACTGCAGGTGCGCGACCATCTGCTCCGAATCAGGTGGTTCAGCTTTAGGAAGTGGTAAGAGACCAGAAAGCAGGAAAATAAGAAAGGGAACTGGATTTCACAATAAACACAAAAGGAGGAGTGGATATATTTACACACAGAGAATGCACCACGATAATAACAAATAAAGCTTTAAAATTCTGCCACTGCAAAATCTGACAGTCAATGTCATGGGGAACAGGAACCAGGATGGATTTACATGATGAATAATAGACTCCAGGGATTTCTAAATAGCTAAGTAAAATCTCGGACTAAAGACTAAATGTGAACTGTGGACAAAATGGATGCATCCACCCTCCCAAAAATGCAATGGGAATTGGCATAAAAATTGGTAATTGCACATAAAATTATGGGTGTGTAGACAGAGATTATTGTTATTCATTATGCATGCTCAGATATGGGGTTTTGCAGGTGGAATGGATCCAGAAATATTTTTGTGACTGTGCCTACATTTGACATATTGCTGCATAAATTATCATGTTAAGTGGCAAAGTTTCGGATAGTTGAGGCTACAGTGAGCTTGCATTATAAAGCCTTATTTGAGCCCGCCCCCTCACACACATAAATTTGGTTTAGAAAATTCTATTTGGCCTGAGAATCGCTAGATTAAGGCTCTAGGTAAAAGGAGGATGCTGAATTTTCTTCAAACAAAAACCATCAGTTTTAAAATTAATATGTCACCAGCATCCTCTTCTCAGATTCTGCTCTGTGTATCTTTTCTCCACACCCCAGTGGAGATGGTTAACTCCTCCACGTGCCCCGTAACATGTCTGTATTGGACGTTGCTTTAACAAGTATGGAACCATAATCCCAAACGGAGCAACTCGGGTTAGTTCCACTGGCAGTGCCTGTTCTTTACCTGCAGGTATAGCGCTCCTTGCCTTTGCGCAGGATGGGGTCTGACAGCGTAGGGGGCGGGGACCGGAAGTTGAAGGAGTGATGCGGGAGGGGCTGCAGGGATGTGCCAGTGTCTGTTTTCATGGCTGCAAAACTCTCCAGTTTCTCTGTCATGGTTTCTATGGCTGACACCTGTTTGTACAAGCAGAGAAGTCGTGTTATGAAAAGCCACTGAAAGGCACAGAACATGTTTCTCAGCTGTACTGTTTGTTTCCGAGGCTACTGCTGGCTCTAGCCCACATCCTCAGAAGCCAGCTCCACAGAGTAAAACAGGTTTGCTTCAACCCAGTCGGTGCACTTGGAAATAATTAACCAGGCTCTGAGAAATCAGCTGAGGATTCAGCAGATAAAGCCAAGCTTGGCTGTGCAGTAAGCATCAGAATTTAGAAGCTGTACCAGGCACGTTTCTATCGTCTGCTATGCCCATATGTTGACTTTTGGCATTAATAACAATCTCAGAATGCACTTGGCTTCTCTCTCCCCCCATCTAAATGAGGCTTAGGGCGGTGGTGGTGAAACTAGATAAGAGTGTTGAATGCAGAAGCTGTAGAGCAAACACTTCCCTCAAACACAAAACAAACAAAGGCTGGGACTGTAGCATACAGCCTTTTATTTTTAATAGAGCATCCGCTACACGTACAGTCTCACCAAGGGCTTCAGAAGGAGAGGGAGAGACAGACCACCCCAGCGTTGAGAAAAGGAAGGTTTCAGACTGGAAGTGGCTCACAGGGAGGAGGCAGGAGAATTCTAGATGTATGGAGGGGGAAAGAGAACAAGTGAAGGAGTGATCTCCAGCCATGGAGAAGGGACAGAGACCAGGCTGAGCTTGGAGGAGTGAAGAGAGCAGACAGGGAGTAGGTGGATCTGAGGTCAGAGCTAGGAAGGGGTGAGTCCCCAGAGAGTTTTGAAAGCTAAGAAGGCAGTGTTTTAATTAGACACAAAGAAGGCTAGAAAGCCAGTAAAGGTGGTGAAAGGGTTGGTGTGATATGGGCCCATTTCCTGGAGTAGAAGAGAATTCCAGCCAAAATATACTGGGCTCCTTGCAGTTGAGAGAGTGAGGGTTTAGAGAGGCCATAAACTAAATGTTTTAAAAACCTACAGAAGGTGTGTGTGTGTGTGGGGGGAAAATGCAGGGTTGGAGGATCCAGAAAGTCATAGTGGCGTGACACCGAGTATGTCTACACTGCAATTAGACATCTGTGGCTGGCCCGTGCCAGCTGACTCAGGCTTGCGGGGCTTGGGCTAAAGGGCTGTTTAATTGCAGTGTAGACGTTCATGCTCAGGCTGCAGCCCAAGCTCTGGGGCCCTCCCACCCCGCTATGGCCACTGCTCTATGCAGAAGGTGCATGAGCAGGGATGGACAATACTAACGGGTCTTTATCATCGGTAATTTATAGGACTTATGGAAGCTGATTCATCAATGGCTGTCATATCACACAGGACTGGGATCAGGGGCACTGGAGCAATTTGTATCGTGGGGGTGCTGAGAGCCATTAAACCAAACTGTAAACCCTGTATATGATGGAAACCACTTCAAGCCTGGGGCTGCAGCAGCAGCCCCAGCACCCTTAGTTCCAGCACCTATTCATGGGATTAAATGACCAAAGTGTGATGGATAAACAGACCCAGGGGACAGCAAATAAATCCAGTCACATGCAAAAATAAATATGGAGAAAAAGCAAAATGAATCATCATTAATTTCATTAGACTCAAAAAGCTCATGCAGAAAATCGCAGGGAGAAATTCAATTTAGAGGAACTGGCCAACGTTATTAACATTTGTTTCTCCACCCATGAGGAGTCTTTTAAGACACCAAACTGAAAATTTGGGTGAAACAAACAAGCAAGCAATAAAACTGCCTCCTTGCTGCAGATTACATCATAAAGAAAAAGTGAGTGATGGGGGGAGTGGGATCCTGTGAGCTGGAGAGCCAGCCGCAGAGCAGGGGAGACAGTGAGTGAGCGGAAGGGAGTAGGAAGCCATATATCAAAACCTAGATGCTCTAGTGTACAGGAAGGGCTGACCTTTTACACGTTTACACTATATTAAACTGGGTTGGGGGGTAATGAGAGCCAAGATATTGTTTGACAACCATCCATAAACCTTAAAAAAAGAGGAACAGTAAAGCCATTTCTCATTAATAGAGCCACAGCCCGTTAGCTGCAGACTCACAGCCTATGATAAATAGTAAGTAACACTTAGCACCAGCCATTTGAAAAGGTTACTTGAGCATTTACAGCAAAAGTCCAGCCCTAGCTGCCAGTCATATAACAAAACCATCATGTGAAAATGCTATCTGGATCTTTCAGAGCCATGTCACTTTGTCCTTTGCTGGAATACCTGGAGATATCTTTTGTTGTGCCCTGTTCTTTAGGCACTTAGTCAGAGATGTTTGCTAGCATGACAGCTGTGGGCTTATTTTAAAATTCTAAACACGGGTCATGGCCTCTCTAGTGGTAGAGGTGCTTTGTTATTTAGGGAACAAGTGACTGGTATAATAAAAAGAAAGGAAGAAGAAAAGAAAGTTAACAGGTGGGAAAGGGTTTGCCATTAAGTAATCATGAAGTCATACCATTTATTTATGTTGTCTAGAGGTTCGTTTAAAATAGACAATGTCAGACTAATGGAAATCATTGGAGAGGGGCTGCAGAGAAATACTGGATGCAAAACTAGAGCTGTGTAAAATTCATTCGGCTTTAAGGGAGAAACGCCTTTTGAATGTTCAGTCTGTACCACACATTAGGACTCAGTTCTAAAGGCTCCACTACCCAGAACTTCCTAAAAGGTCAATGGGACCATTCCATGAGGAATGGCTGCAGGATCAGGACCTACAGTAGAAGTGAAATCAGTGTATTTCTCAGTTGTGTTCCAGTTCAGAGAAATACTGAAATAAATACAAATGTGCATTTAGATTAATATGGGCTGTAAGAAAAGCAGAGACAAAGACATACAAAAACCCTTTTAAGGCATGGGATTTAGGCAAACAACATCCCTGACATTAAACGGGTGGACAGTATGGATGAATGCCACACAACTCTAGAAAAAAGCGTCCTCTCTGTCTGCTTCCATCTTTATGATCAGATTAACTACATAACAAGGGAACAGTACGGTCATTTAATTTTTCCGATCAGAATGAATTTACAGCTCAAGATTAAATACCCTTTGTACAGGAACCTATTGTACTTTTAAAAAAAGTAGTTATCAGGAAGTTTCAGACTGAGTGATATTTAGGTTTTAGACTATTTTGTGTAATAAGCTATTAGAGATAACCAGGCCTTCCATATCTTTTTTTTTTCCATGGGAAGAGGAGGGGGTCTGGATTTCATGAACAATGTTAATAGCCTTCCACCCAATGCCTGCTCTTATTCGAGGCTAGTAAATTTCTCACCGTCTTGCTGGACCCTGGCTTTGCCTTAGTAGCTCCTCCCTGCTATCAGATCCTTTACAGGCAGATATCCCCACTATTCTAATTCACACAAACACAGGATGTTCCTGACCAGCCTGTCGCTATTATCCAGCTAGCTTGAAGGAAAAATCAGGGGAAGTTATTAACCAAACTCTCGGGCCGATGCGAAACAATGAAGGAACTAAGTTTAGCCGTGAAAGCAGCCGGTATCCAGCTTTCACAAACCCGTGGGTTATTTATCCAAGGTGGGAAATGCTGTCAAAAGAGAACAATGCACGTAAATATAAATGAGACTACAATAGCAACCACAGAGCATTTGGAGAGAGCAAATGAGGGGAGCTGGCGGCTATCACTTAGAAAAGGACAGCATGGCAGAGCTGACTGTATTATCTCTAAAGGAGGAATGAGTCATACAGAGCACCAGAGTAATGCTAAATGATAGAGGTTTTAGTTTGTACTTAGCCATGAGTTTCACATGGGCCTGATTTTCACTGACAGTCACTCTGGGCTTAGGGCTTAGTCATGCCTTTTAAGCACAGTTCTGCATGAAGGGCCCACTGCTACACCCAGCAGAGGGTATTGCAAGTGGCTGACTTTGCTAGCTCTTGCTTGGGGGATTGACCCCTCTTCCTCCCATCCCCTTTGAGATGTCTTGCACCTTAATGAGGCACAGATTACTCCTGCAGGAATTCTGTGCCACTGCGCAATGCAGAATTTTGCAGAAATTAATGTGCACGCAGAATTTCCTTTCCCCCAGAGAAATGGGCTGCAGTGCTGTGAGCCGCCACAAGGGGCTGCTGGACTTGGCAGAGCCCAGCTCGCACACAGAAAACACTGCTGGGGGTGTGGGGTGGGGAGGGAGCTAGGGGGTTCCTGGCAGCTGCAGTTCCCAGCCTGCTCAGGGAAGGAGAGGGCACCACACAGGAAACTCCGTGCAAGCCCTGGACTGAGCATCAGGCTGTTTCTCCCTCTGGATCCCTGGGCTCTGAAGGGAGGTGGATGGGTGTCTGGGCAAGGGCAGCCCACAGCTGGGTTCTGGGGGGAGTGGGTATTTGGACCGGAGGGGCCCCACGGTTGGGCTCCGGAGGGAGGAGGTTCGGGTGTATTGGCTGGAGGGGGCCCTGCAAGTGGGCTCAGGGAGGAGGGGTTGTGGGTGTCTGGTCCCGCAGCTGGGCTCTGGGTGGTGAAACAGGAACTGGGTTGTCATAGGGGTTTCTTCAACTCTCTACCCCTGGGGGAAATTTTGTGTGTGTCTGTATCGTTACAGACATACTTGCTGACAGGTATTTTGAAATAAATTTCCAAAATAATTGAACTAGGTGTGATTATGTAGTGCTATTTTGACAAATAAAATTTGCAGAATTTTAAAATACGGTGCGCAGAATTTTGAATTTTTAGGTGCAGACTGCACCCAGGAGTAACCGATGAAGCAGTTTCTGAGTTCTTGGGAGCATAGGGACTGTAACTGTGCCCAACTGTCATCCAGGGGCTCAAGGGTGGTGGGGCACAATCTTGTTCTTAGTAGCAAATACATTCTTGAACTAACTGTATCAGGAGGGCCTGATTCTCCACTGCCCTGCAACTGGTGCAATTGTTATGGTGGTGTAAACTGAGCACTGTAAAATGCTACTATTCTGATTTGGTAGTGTCTTACTCCCACTTTGCACTGGTTTAAATGTCTACACAAGGTGCAGGGCAATGAAAAATTAGACCGGCATTTCGGAAGAGAGGAAAGCAAGAGGTTAGATGGGCCCTTGCGAGCTGCCCAGCCCTTTCTCACGTGGACCCTGGCAAGATGAATTTGGTTAGCACTAAAGGACCAATAGGGCAGTGATTCCATCATGCTAAAATTGGGTATGAAATTACTTTGCTTTAAAAATAAGTGCTGGAAGATACTGTCAGGCTTAACCAGGGAGGTACGAACAAAGTGACCTAAATGTCACATCTCCATCTCTAATTTCTTGGCATCCTATCAACACTGTATTGTGTTTCTCCTGGTTTTACCTGTGGGTGAAAAAGCAGTGGGGAAGGTCGCAAGTACTTCTCCTTTAGGGCACCCACTGGGTCTGTCACCTTCCGCTTCTCCACCCTGCTGGACAACAACACAGAGGGTTACATACCCTACAGGGCTGTAAACGGGGAAGAAAACTAATAACAACACGTCATGTGCAGAGCAGTTGAAATATATTTAAAGACTATCTTTCTGGTAATAAACACACCTTGCCATCCCTTTCCATGGGAATCGCAAATGGGATCCCATAAAGCACACAGACAACAGTTCTTTGAAAGAACAGGCTCAGCCCATGCTTTATATTTTGGGTGATACTTTACAACACACACCACAACTGTTGTGCTAGTGATGAACAAAAGGGTTAGATGTGCCCACGCAGGAGTGTCTTGGTGCCTTTGCTGCATGGATATGCCACCTGTGCCCTACAAGCTTTATCGCTGTTGTGGAATGTTCTGATTCAAGACAGAAAAGCTACTGAGTTTGTGGCAGCCATAGAAAGGAAAGACCTGTGCCCCAGTTTGTCTTCATCTTATGGTTCATGCTGGGCCTGATTCTGCAGCCCTAAAGTGTGCTAAAATCCAGCTGAAATAATTAGGTGTTTTGTATTTATTTCTTCTCTCTCAAAGCTTAGGTATACATTGCAATTGGCTTTGTTTGGTAAATGCCTGTGACCAAAATTTTCAAAACTATGAGCTGAAACTTTGGCTCCGAAGGGTATATCTACACAGGGAAGTTAGTGTGCAGGGAGCTAGGGTGTGAATTTAAAGAGCACTAGCTTCTTAGCATTAAAGCCCTGTGTGGACAGTCTTAATGCTCACTGAGACTGACCTCAGGCAGTTTAGCTTAACACACTTCCAAAGTGCATTAAGTTGATGCACACAAAGACGCTCTTTAAGGGTATGTCTACACTACGAAATTAGGTCGAATTTATAGAAGTCGTTTTTTTAGAAATCGTTTTTATCTATTCGAGTGTGTGTGTCCCCACAGAAAATGCTCTAAGTGCATTAACTCGGCGGAATGCTTCCACAGTACCGAGGCAAGCGTCGACTTCCGGAGTGTTGCACTGTGGGTAGCTATCCCACAGTTCCCGCAGTCTCCGGAAATGAGATTCAAAAGTTCGCGGTTCTTTTCCTGTCTACCTGGCCAGTGCAACTGAGTTGAGAGTGCTGTTCAGAGCGGTCACTGGAGCACTCTGGAATAGCTCCCGGAGGCCAATACCGTCGAATTGTGTCCACAGTACCCCAAATTCGACCTGGCAAGGCCGATTTAAGCGCTAATCCACTTGTCAGGGCTGGAGTAAGGAAATCGATTTTAAGAGCCCTATAAGTCGAAAAAAAGGGTTTCATTGGGTGGACGGGTGCAGGTTTACATCGATTTAACGCTGCTAAATTCAACCTAAAGTCCTAGTGTAGACCAGGGCTTAGTGCATAATAAGAGCATTCACACAGGGAGTTAATGCAGAGTAGCTGATGCCCACTTGCACTAGCTACTGTGGGCTTCTTCCCCATGTAAGCAAGCCCTAAATCTACATTTAGGCTCCTAAGAGTTGGGTTTTCTAAAATGCCCAAGTGACTTAGGAGCAAAACCCCAGTGAAGTCACTTAGGCTATTTTGAAAATCTCAGGTTTAAACACCTAAATATGGATTTAGGAGCCTAACTTTTGGCTCCTATTTTGGCTCCTATTTTTCAAAACATTGGCCTTAATGTCATGGCATCATAGATTTGTAGTGAAACCACGCGGTGAAGTCATCCAGCAAAAGTGTGAACTAGCCCATTTGCTGGGGTAATAATGTTATGGAAAATAACTCCTAGGAATGGAACTGCATCTTTCAAACCTTGGACTAGATTCTATCGCCGTTACACCAGTGAATATCCAGCATTATCATAGTGACCTTAATTACATTTCTCCAGTGTAAATGAAAACAGAATCTGGCGTTACATCTCAGCCGCTTGGTACATAGTTTAAATAGCCAACAGAGTTTAATCCAAATGAGGGGCAAAGTTCTTGCACAGTGCTGTTTGGTGTATTAATTTAATTTGAAGCTACTCTTTCTAGAGGAAAAGAAAAAAGAGGATCTGAAACTTAGTCCCAATTATAATGATTTATTTTTTAGCGATTTGGACATAAAAATCATGAACTAAGTCATTTTTGATTAAAAAAGACAAATTGTAGAAGTAAATTTCAACTGATCCAGTGTAAAATGGCAGATATATTAAACTGCAGCTAATAATGGTGCAGCCAACTCAGCCTTCCTTCCTCCATGAAGGGCTGAAATTAGCCACGATGTATTAATTGGGGGAAGTACCTTCTCGAGCTGCCTAGAAGTTTCCCATGAAACAACCCAACCACTATCAAAAAAATGGAAAAAACCATTCACATGAGGCCCTGGGTGAAGCAATATCACCACGTTCTGCTCAGTTCTGGCACCTTCCGATGCCAAGCACTGAGCACAGTAAAGGGCAGATCTCCCTGTCAGAGCCAAATTCCACAGTGACTAAAGGATTAAGCTGATCTTTTCAGCCCAGTGCCTGAGAACATTACCTTAACAAGGCTGAGTTGAAAATTGCACTGATTTCAGGCTGTCTGGCTGCATTAAATTATATCACCAAGAGAAAATGTCAAGGACTTTGGGGGGAGGGCGGGAGGGGCAGAGGAGCCAAATGATGTGAGAGAGTCTGATAAAGTTTAGAACCAAAATATTTCCATATTTTTTCAAGCTAGGACTTGGAAGCTTTGCTATTTAGCTCATTACATTAGAAGTCTGATTTGCAAGTGACTCCACCACTGACTTTCTATTTTAATATCTTACTAAAACTATTTGCATCCCATGGAATGCAGCAAATGACACCCTCATCCTTCACTTACGCCTGTCTTCTGGTCCTTTGCGGTTTTCCCGAGACTGCTATTTTAACTGGCAAGTGCTTTTTTCAATCTTTGTTATTTTAGCATTCCTTCTGAGAATACCCAGAGGTAGTGGAATCCTAAACTGATTCTCAGATCCTACCCAATCCACTTTATTTATTGTCCAGACATATTTTTACAAAAATAAACACTGGACTATTTACATCATCACTTATTTTTCTGGAGGAGGATGATCATGATAGGTGCCAGACAGAACATATTATATGTCCCAGGTCGTGGAGTAGCCTTCTTTCCACCCCAGAAAGTAAGCATGTAAGTAAGCAACGCAGAATCAGCCCTGAAAGTGCTGGCAAAGAGACTGGGGCTTTCTTAACAGCAAAGCAATGAGGGCTCACTAATCCTCATCTTAGCTGACAGCTCTTTGGCCTAGTTAGACATTGACATCATTTTTCCCACACTTATCAGCCATGCAATAGTAGCAAGGCAGTGCATAGCAGGTGTTTTCCTGGGCTACCCTTCAATTACTGTGTGCACCTCCCTGAGGACATGGACAAAGTGCTCTGGGACCCACATGCCAGCAGAACTTTGAATTCCTTCCATTAAAAGGATTGCCAAACTCCAACTCTAAGAGTGTGCCCAATAACGTTCGGAGACTGGGCTAGAACTAGACTCAGTTTTCCTCACCACCTCTTCTTGGAGGACCAGTGCAGGTACAGAGCCATGTATTGGATGCTCCAATTTCCATGCAGGAAGCAATACAAAGACAAACCACTAAACCTGTGGAGCCAATCTGGAAAATGGAAGCTGGAAGCTCAAATCCAGCATTTGCATACTGAAATGGACACTCAGGTGGCCCCAATACCCATTTTAACTGTAAGTGCCTGATTTGGTGCATGGATCACAAATCTGATGCACCAACTTACTGCAGGTGCTAAAAATTAACATTTGCCACTCCGCCGTGATTGTGGTACCATGGTACAGCAAGAAGACACCCAGGATATTGCTGGCACTGGGGTGGGAAACACAGAGTGTTAATGGTGCCCATTTTTTGTAACTGGAGTCTCTATGGGTTTTTAGTGTTATAAAAATTTTTAACGGGCTCTAAAATGAAAGGACTCAAACCTTCACTGTAAGTTGGAACCCAAACTCGCTCTTTCTGGAGGCTCAAAAACCAGGTTGGTTATTTTTTTCTACTAAGCTTTCACATGCTCCCTGGGTTCAGCTAGTACCAGGAGCGAAACACCATGAATAAGGCTTTCCTCATTGGCTGAAACCAGGAAGCACGTGAAACCTTGTAAGGAAGACATGCTTGCAAGATTTGCAGACAAGAGAGTTTTGGATAATAATAATGCGGCACTTAGCATTTACATAGTACTTGTGACCTGTAGATCTCAAAGTACTTTGGAAAGGTGAGTATAAATCATTATCCCCATTTCTACAGACAGAATAAATATAAAAAATAAACAAGGTGAAGGGACTTGCCAAAGGCCATAAAAGAGGTCAGTGGCAGAACTGGGAATACAACCTATGCCTCCTGACTCTCAGAGTCATTCTCAACTCACTAGAGTAAGGGTTCTGACATACTTCAGAACTGTTGCATTCTTATGTGAATCAAACTCTTTGGAATTCACCCAACATGAGATGCCATCTTAGTGTTGGCTAGGTTTCTTAAATGGGCTATGCTCCTTCTTGTTGAAATAGGAATATGGCCCTTTCCCTACATAAATGTATGCCTCTGGATAACATCAATGATTATTCTTTTCAGTTATACAGCCCTTTTCATTCACAAATCTCTAACTGCTTTAACAAAAGAGGGCAAGAACAATCAAATGCAGCATGATTTTACTGAATCATTCTTCTCTTCTTTCCACCCACCCCCCACATCATGATCTGCCTTACGTCATGAACCCCACTTTTGAAATGGGCCTGTTGGAAGAAATGATTAAGGCAGGGTATGTTAATACCTGTATATGGGGTCCATGAAAAAGGGTGATGGCTTAGCATAATGCAGGGATGGCTGCTGAGAGAGCTGAGACTGAGAAATCTTGGGTAGTACTTCACTGGCCATTAGTTTCCTTTCCCCATAGATGTGGTTTTTTCGGGGCTCCCTCCCTCCGTTCTGACTGGCTCGGATGCGGTTGCCGATGCTTAGATCCAGTGGCTGTTCCTCCCCAGAAGATGGGGCCGGCAAGACCTTGGGTGGTGGCAAGATTGGCTTAATCTCTTTTGGTTTTGTGGTGAGATCAAAGGGCGATTCTGAGCTGGTGCTACCCACTTTGTGAAGGTCCCTGGGTGACTTTGGTTCTGCCTTGACCAGCAAGTTGTGATTGAGGGTCCGGTCCGTAAAAGGATACAGTGAATGGGGAAAATTGGGGAGGAACTGAAATGGGAACATGGAGTGATATGGGAGGGAACCTATCTTCTTCTCCTGCATCCCCATAAAGCCAGGGCCGAAATACTTCTCTGCAATGGAGGCAATCGCTTTTATGGAGTCATTGGCTGCCCCCGTCGTGGGGAGCAGCTGCTCTTCCGGGGGAGGGAAGAAGGAGTGCTGAGAATAGAAAAGGGGGAGCTCGTTCACATTGTTGGTGGAACTGGTGGACACAGAACTGCTGACAAAATCTGGCTTGTTCTCAGTCTGTTTGCTTTTGTCTTTCATTTTGTCCCTGTCGCTCTCTGCATCGCTCTCCAGGTCAGAGCCAGTGCCCGTGGTGGTATCAAGGTCTGTGCCTGTGGTCGTGTTGACATCCTCGAAGTCGCTCCCATCAGACATGTCGCTGTTCCTGGCTTTTAGCTTGTCCAAGTAGGAGTTTTCCAAGCTGCTTTCAAATTTCTCCTCCCCTGAGATGGGCTGGTTGCTGTTGCTCACTGCAGAAATCAGAGGCAGTGCCGGGTTCCCCAGGGGGCTTGGAAGCTTTGCGTCTTGGGTGTGGTTGAGGGGACTCTTAAGCAGCGGGGTGGGAGGCAACAAAGGGGGCCTGGGGTATAGAGAGGGAGGAAAAATCCCTGGGAATCCTGGAGTAAGGGCAGGAAATGCTGGGGGAGCAGGCGAGAATGGAATACCCCCTGGGTGAGGTCGGGATGGAAAATAATCATTGAATCCCAGGCTGGCATGGTTGAGGTTGGGTGAGGGTTTAGCTTTGTCCATCAGGGAGGTGGGCGTTAAAGGTAGGCCAGGGGCAAAAATCCCCCCTGGGTTGTAATGGTTCTTGCCCTCGCAGAAGCGCCGGTGCTTGTTGAGAGAGGAGGTAGTGCTAAACATCTGGCCGCAGTCCTTGCATTTGATCTGGGTGCGACAGTCCGCGTGCATCCGCTTGTGGCGGCAGAGGTTGGAGAACTGCGTGTAGGATTTGTGGCAGACCTCACCTAAAGCATCAACAGAAACCAAAACCAAAACCAATATGAAATTAATATGAAATTGCTTCGATCCTGGGATGAGCAGCTCCCCCTCTTCACCTAACCCCTCTTTTCCCGTAGAGTTAAACAAATGAGGAGGAGCGGGCTTGCGGGTAAGCCACTGGTCTGTCAGATCTGCCTTCAGCTACCGGCTCGACCACAGACTCTCTGCATGACCTTAAGCCAATCACTTAATATCCTTGAGCTTCAGCTTCCCATTTATAAAATGGGGATAATAATTCTACTTTTGTCTGCCTTGTCTATTTAGAATATAAACCTCAGGGGGCAAGGTCTGTCTCTTACTGTGTCTTTGTACAGCTCCCAGCACAACAGGCTCCTGATTGTGGCTGAAACGTGGAAGAGTTACTGTAATACAAATAATAACCAACAAATTTCCCCGTGAAAAAGTTCCAGGGGATGCAAATCTCTCAACTTGCAGCTTTGCCCCTGCAAATCTTCAGAAACCCTGATGTAATGTGCTATTCTAGCTCAAGGATTTTTTTTATTATTATTTTAAATAAAGATAATCGTGCACTTTAATCATAATATCTATTTATATTAGCTAGTTTGCTTTCCTTGTAGTCTGGCATGGCAGGAAGTATTCAAGGCTGAAGGGAGAAGAACTTTGCCTCATTTAATCAAGTCGATCATTTTTTTAAAATGCCATTAATAGTAAGTTACCGCTCCACGGGGATGTTCTATAAATATTCCTCAAACCAGGGCTCAGCTTCAGCGAGGAATGAGGCGAGATCTTGTGTTTGTTAAATTAATAGGGGCACCCTAGCAGTGACAGAGTTAATGCTCTGTCAGCATTTTCCATATAGACTTCTAATACGAGGCTTTCAGAATGTGACTTGCTACAACTTGTACAAGGAAGGACTATAGCGGTGATTATGAAGAAACAGAAATTAAACCCAACCCAAACTGTTTCACAAGTCCAAAGAAATTTAACTTTTTCAAATGTCCCTTCTGCACTTCATAATATTACTGCCTAGCACTTCTACTTCACCTTCTACCTGAGCACCTCAAAAGTACCTTGTAAGCATGAAGGTGAAATTCACCCCCTGTGCAGATTACCACCACAAGTCTTATCCACCATTCACATATACAGGACATAAGTGGTGCAAAGGCTTTCAGCTGGCCCCTAGCACAGGGATAAATTTCACCTGTTAATGAATTAAGGCTTTCACTGACTTTACAAGAGAGTTGTTATCACCATTTTACAAAGAGAGAAACTGAGGCAGAACAAGGTTAAGTGAATTACACAAGTTAGTAGCCAAGCAAGAATAGAATCTGGATCTCCTGACACCCAGTCCTGTGCCTTAAGGATGAGACAATACTTCTTTCTGTGGTAGAGGCCTTTACACCTGGGTTAAAAGTGATACCTTTGCTATAATTTATTATCCACATCAGTACTTGAATGGAAGTATCAAAACACAGCAAGAGAAGCTGTTCTAAGAATATTTCCAACCCAGACAAATCCAAGCATCCTTGGAAAGCTGATGAGGAAGCCAGTTCTACTGAGATTTCAAGTCATGATCAGTGAAATTTCACCAGTTTGGCAATTCAGTACACATGAGCACCCAAAAAGGCAGAAGGATCTCACAAGAGCAGACTAGTTCTCCTTGTGGTGGTGTTACTACAAGAACTGTCTTTCCTCATGGTATTTCAGCTCTCATGCTTCTGGCTCTGGATGCAACTCAGAAGTGCAGAGGCAGTGCAGAACTGAAAGGACAAATAGCAATCAATTTTTTTTTTAATATCAAAAGAGGTTAAAAGGCCAAATGATCATTTTATCAAAATTGTTCAGTCCATACCTAATTTCCAGTATTTGCACCTTGAACTGTGGCAGTTTGTGCTTGTGTATATAGTGTGATGATTTTTCTATACATTCTTCAACGAAGATTTTCAAAGAAGGATTTTGGGTTGGTTGGTTGTTGCTTTGCTTTATTTTTTTTTAACTATTTCCTTGTTTTTTATTATTATTTTTAAAAAGGTGCAAAGAGAAATGAATCCCAAACTATTTTCACTCAGGGCAAGTGAAAGTGATTATGGGTGTGTTTTATTTACACCAGAATTTGTACATAGGGATCTGTCAGAGTCTGAAAAACACAGAAGTTACAGGAACTTCCTCTGTGTTTCAGCAGCTGCCACTGACTCTCATTGTTACTGAGCCCAAGAGACATGCCTGTCATTGGGCAGCCTCAGAACAATGAAGTCAATATGCTGCAATCGGTAGGCCAAGGTAAGGATAGAGCATCCGTCCTTAACTCTGAATTTCCTGGCTTTGACAGTCGCATCTCTTGGACTCTTTTAGTTCTAGTGGGCAGGAGTGTTTCTCCCTGCATGCTTGCGTGTTTGCAAGGAGAGCATCTGTAGGCCTCTGAGAATGTTTGTATGTATTTAAGAGAGTGTGTATATGAGTCTGTGTAAAAACAAGTGTTTCCATGTGTGTGAATTTATAACTCCCTCTCAAATTACTAATAATTTTTGGAGAAATGTCACATTTTTGGATTTACTGAAAAGATGTTTGTATATTTTTCTTTCCAGTGGAAAATTACCCCCCTTCTAATTTTAACTATGTCTCCTTTAGCATGTGCCAAAAGATGTTATATTGTGGTTTGGAAGAGACATAACAATTCATAATAAATAGCTAATCTACTTTAGAAAATTACATCAGAACAGAATGCAATTTTTGTAAACATTTGTTGGCTGACCATTGGGTTTGCGGGTTAGCATTATCCCTATGGTAAATGTCTTTAATAATGCAAATAAACAAGCAAAGTATAATAATCTCGTGCAGAAAAAACTTATGGAAAGATGAAGGGTAATATTCAAAGCAAGTTTGTCCAAAGAAGAGGATTGTTTTTTCCATTCTTCCATGCCCTAAAGAGTCCCTGCAACACCCTCATAGTTATGCAAACAGGCATCTTTGTGCTGCTAAAGATACCAGAGTTTATTTCATCATTCCAAGGCAAGCAGGGCCTAAAAATACTTGTTTAAAAGCCCAGTTGTGTAATGATTTTGGAAATCCACGCAGAATCTTCTCACTTGCTGTTCTGGATTTTATAGTTATAAAAGCGTCAAAACCAACTTTGCAAAAAGAAAAGGAGTACTTGTGGCACCTTAGAGATTAACCAATTTATTTGAGCATAAGCTTTCGTGAGCTACAGCTCACTTCATCGGATGCTCACGAAAGCTTATGCTCAAATAAATTGGTTAGTCTCTAAGGTGCCACAAGTCCTCCTTTTCTTTTTGCGAATACAGACTAACACGGCTGTTACTCTAAAACCGACTTTCTTTATTATCCAGGTACAAGACTGCAAACACTTTCTATTAAACAGAAAGAAAAAGTTTTGCAGGGGACCCTGGCCCCCAGGTTCCATAAGCATAGTCAGCACACCCACAGAGCCCCATCATTTCTTAGCTTTTACCCAGTTGTTAACAGATTCAATATTAACACTTGTCACACATGAACTGGGCAGACTTGTTCTCAAGTTATTTCAAACCTTGATATGGATGAGGAGAACACTTTACCGATAATTGCTTTGGTAAGAAGAGTGAGTCGGTTGTTAGAAGAAACAGTTCATTTCAATGTAGAAATATTACGAGATTCAAATTCTCTCTCTCTCTCTCTCTCTTTCTTTCATGTGCCAGTTGGCATGAGATGCTAAGTGAAAGATCATATCATCATCTCTCTAGTCAGCCAAATGAGTAATAACAGTATTTTGTATTTCCCCACTGACGCCCATCTAATGAGCTCAATGCACATTAATGAATTTCGCCTCACACCTACCATTGTGCACTGTTCCCGTTTGGGGATATGGAAGCACAGACAAGTTCAGTGGCTTGCATGGTGGAACATCTGGCCTCAGCCTCAAAGCCAGGAACTGAACAGAGATCCTGTTTTGTGCTTTAACTACACGGCCACCTTTTTTTGTGAGATGGTGAGTGGTAGCCACCAGAGCACGCCGTGCACATTTCTGGTGATGTAGAATACGCCTTCCTGCACAGCTACTAAGATGCAAGGGGCACTACAGAGATTAAAAAAAACAAACCCAAAGGCAACAAGAAATAAGATGAGGATCTTTCAGGCATTCCCAGGGTAAATGATCCCTTTGGAAACGCCCTCCTGAATACTACAAGGATGTAGCTAATTTGCAATTTAAATAGTTGGAGAGTATTGTCTAGATTAAAGTCCTCGGGAATAAAGAAGAAAAAAATGCTTTTTAAAAGTTCCTTCTTTCTTGTATGCTGCTTTTCCAAATTCTTCACCCTGATTGTATGATTTGAAGCCCCCCAGAAACAAATTTCTATCAGGCTGTTTATTTTTGTCACCAACAGGACCATTAGAAAAAGAGAGAGAAAGAAAAGATATGAGAAAATGGCATCACTGGGCCTGCTGAGAGACTCAGCTTTTAACTTGTCAAGAAAGTCAAAAACTGCCATGAATGTTTACTGAAAAAACAAGGAGCATGCAAAAAAAAAAAAAAAAAATCTCTGCGGAATTTCATCTTGTGCTCTGACCTATAAAATTACAGCGGCTGCTCAAAGAGGTACAGCCAGTGCTGGGGCCCCCCTTAGGATATGTACAATTATAGCGAAAGCCAGGATTGTGTGATGGCCGTGACAACTTACATATGAAAGGTTTGACAGTACTGTGAATGTGCTTGTGTTGTTTGAGGCCAGACGAGGTGGCAAAGGTTTTGCCACAGTCCGGGCAGGCATGGGCTCGCGCGCCAACGTGCTGGGAACGGATGTGCCGCTGGAGGTTGCTGGGGTCAGTAAACACCTGAGAAAGTGAGAAAAGAGAAAATGCTTTTAGGGGACAGAAACAAACCTGGCTGTGGCAGAGGAGGGAGGGTTGGCTGACTATTGTTGTTTATCGTAAGTGTTCTTGGGATAACAGGTTCTGAGATCAGCAGTGCAGGATTTTCACCTTGCACTGCGAAGAGATAACATACAATTAGTGCTGACTTGTATCATGTTCACCGGTTGGCACCCAACTCATCTCACCCTCTATGCAGTCTATGGTGTATCCAATTTCATACATAAAGTTTTGCTTCTGAATAGCTAAATCTATCTGCCTGACAACACACATGCTTCACAGTGCTCACCTGAAATCTAAAGAACCTTGCAATGCTTGGGAAAAGGCTATGAGAATGGTTGCTTGCAGGTAGATTGGGTTCCACATCCAAGTTTACAGGACTGGGTTAAACCCCAGGCTGAGGAGTCTTTTCTTTGCTTCCTGTTACTCATGTTACCTTATTCTGAATTATGGTTACAATTGTCATTCCTCAAGAAAGTAAAACCATGCCGATTGACACTGCGTTTGATTATTTCCGCTGAGTCATTTCTCCAGCTCACCAGGCCTTTTCCTGGATGACGCTGTGAACCCACGCTGCATCATGCCCTGAACCGTACCTTCACACAGTTTTCACATTCAAATCGTTTGCCACTGTCATGTGACATCTGGTGACGAATCAGGTTTGATTTCCAGTTGAAAGCCTTTGGACATTGGTCACACTTGTACTCCCTCTCCTCAGTGTGGATTATCATGTGCTGCTCCAAGCTAGGGAAGAAAGAGAGCAGAGAATTCAGGCATACAGCCACAATAAATGAGCCAATAAATAGTGTAGTCCCCGGCTGGTTCCAATTCAGGGTCAGGCTGAACAAGACACTTGCTGACAACAGAGCTACAGTTACCGTAATCCTGTTCTTTAGGGTCACCGTACTAAGGAGGTTTGAGAGAGACCATGGAGATTAAAGATGGTGACAGACAAACAGGTCAATAAGCACTGTTTTTTTCACACCTAACTAGTCAACCCAGTGCTTGTCACATAACATGACTTCAAAATCCTTTTAAAATAAAGTGAACAACGTATTAACAATTATGTGTCTAGGGAAATTTTCTTCTTTTTTTCCTTTTTCTTTTGACATTTAATTTCACATTGAAAATGGGCCCATTCTGCCCTCCAAAGTTTGTTATGTTTCATGAATTTTCTCCCATTTAATGTGAAAAAGAGAGAAAATGGACCCCAATCCTGAAGGTCCATGAGGGAAAACACGAGTGACAGAGACTCCAGCAGGATCCTGGCAAGGAAAGACAAGATATTAGCTGTTGCTGCTGAACCTATCATGTTGCCACTTTCATGGGCACAAAGCCCATAACTTCCCAGAACACTGGGACTCAACATTTGAAAGAAATGTGATAAGGTGCAAACACATTTCACTTTTAAATGTCAGACATCTTTTATTACTTAACTCGGTGATTTTCAACTTCTGCCAACTGGATGATGATGGCAAACCCAAGTGGCTGCTGAAATAGTGCCATTACAGAGAGAGCTGTTCAGAGAAAGCTGCTGTATTTCCCCCCATGCCAAAGTGTTCTCTCTGCCTTTTCATCTTGAGTGTGTGTGTCAGCAAGCAGCTCTCCTGCTGAGCCAGTAAACCAGGGGGTGACAGTAAAGGGAAGCCAATGTGATGGATGGTGGGATCGGTAGGAAGGGCAGAAATTCCTCTACTGAGGATGAACATAAAGTGTAGTAAAGAAGATTTACCCCATTAGCAACTTGAGTACCAAAAAAGCTGCAAATTGTTCACCCTGTAAACCCTATGATCCAGAGAAAGGAGGAACATTTGCAACTCCTGTTGGCTTCAAGCACAGATCAGTGGGAGTTGCAGATACTCAGCCATATAGATAAATTCCACAGAACTGTAAGACACACTGAAATTTAACAGAAAATGAAATCGTCTTGGTAGTTAAACTGTCCCTATAGAATTTTAAAGGAGGTATACAATTTTATATTAAATTCTGTGGGATGGTTTAAAAACCCAATAGAAATGTTCTGTCAGTCTATTAAATTCCACAGACCCGTTCCTCTCAGGGTTAGCCCCTATGGCTGGGATTTCAAAAGGAGTTTTAGGACGTTAGGAACCCAGGAGTTCGGTATTTAATTTCCTTAGTTTCTTGTGAAATTCCCAGCCCAAAAACTCATGGGACTGAAAAATGACTTGAATTCAAATATCTGTGACCTGATGGCATTTGCTGGTTCACAAGTTACGACAACTGTGTATGTTGCTGTTTCAGCACACCTCTAGTGCTTGGCTAGATTTCCGTCTGCCTGATAACCACTTCTGACTAACCAAAGCAGTTTAAAATCTCACTACTCCCTGGGATATTCTCTCTTCTCCCTTCAAGTTCTAATTGTTAATCTTCATGAAAAAGACACTAATAAATTGACTTCCTGTTAATCATGAAGAATAATCATCCATTCTGATAAAGAAACTATGTTCACCATGAAGTTGTATTATTTTCCTGTGGTTAATTGCCATTTATGATTTTATTTAGAGAAAACATGGACAACTAAATACAATATTTACAGGAAAATATCTACTGAGATTAGCACATCTATTTACTTAGTCATCTCCTAAATGCTCAATTTCAGCTTTCTAGTGATATTCTTGATTTGATCCATATTAAATTCCAAGAAATTATTAGGCAAACTAGGTATACTGACTGGACTTATCCTGCTGTCTTAGCAGGGCTTCTCTAGGAATAAAGTGGAATGTTCAGATTTACTGGGGCCCAAACAAGAATAGGTAGTTTCCTCCTGAAATGGCATTAAATTTAATCTCTGCATGGAACTATATATTTGGAAAAGAAAATCGTAACTGAAAGCCTAAGCATAAAAGGTGATGAGTTTAATGTACACATAGGCATAATTAACACATTTACATTAAAACCTTCAGTGTACATAAGAACGTCCATACTGGGTCAGAACAAAGGTCCATCTAGCCCAGTATCCTGCCTTCCAACAGTGGCCAATGCCAGGTGCCCCAGAGGGAATGAACAGAACAGGTAATCATCAAGTGATCCATCCCGTCGCCCGTTCCAAGCTTCTGGCAAACAGAGACTATGGACTCCATCCCTGCCCATCTTTGCTAATAGCCATTGATGAACCGATCCTCCATGAATTTATCTAGTTCTTTTTTGAATCCTGTTATAGCCTTGGCCTTCACAACATCCTCTGGCAAGGAGTTCCACAGGTTGACTGTGTGTTGTGTGAAAAAATACTTCCTTTTGGTTGTTTTAATCCTGCTGCCTATTGATTTCATTTGGTGACCACTAGTTCTTGTATTATGAGAAGGAGTAAATAACACTTCCTTCTCAACACCAGTCATGATATTATAGACCTCCATCATATCCCCCTTAGTCGTCTCTTTTCCCAGCTGAAAAGTCCAAGACTTATTAATCTCTCTTCATATGGCAGCCATTCCATACAACAAATCATTTTTGTTGCCCTTTTCTGAACCTTTTCCAATTCCAATATATCTTTTTTGAGATGGGGCGACCACATCTGCATGCAGTATTTAAGATGTGGGTGTACCATGGATTTATATAGAGGCAATATGATATATTCTGTCTTATTATAGATCTCTTTCTAAATGATTCCCAACATTCTGTTTGTTTTTTTGACTGCTGCTGCACATTGAGTGGATGTTTTCAGAGAACTATTCACAGTGACTCCAAGATCTCTTTCTTGAGTGGTAACAGCTAATTTAAACCCCATCATTTTATATGTATAGTTGGGATTATGTTTTCCAATGTGCATTACTTTGCATTTATCAACCTTGAATTTCATCTGCCATTTTGTTGCCCAGTCACCCAGTTTTGTGAGATCCTTTTCATAGCTCTTCACAGTCTGCTTGGGGCTTAACTATCTTGAGTAGTTTTGTGTCAACTACAAATTTTTCCACCTCACTGTTTACCCCTTTTCCCAGATCATTTATGAATATGTTGAACAGTACCGGTCCCAGTACAGACCCCTGGAGGACACCACTATTTGCCTCTCTCCATTCTGAAAACTGTCCATGTATTCCTACCCTTTGTTTCCTATCTTTTAACCAGTTACCAGTTCATGCGAGGACCTTCCCTCTTATCCCATGACTGCTTACTTTGCTTAAGAGCCTTTGGTGAGGGACCTTGTCAAAGGCTTTCTGAAAATCTAATTACACTATATCCACTGGGTCCCCTTTGTCCACATGCTTGTTGACCCCTCTCAAAGAATTCTACTAGATTGGTGAGGTATGATTTCCCTTTACAAAACCACGTTGACTCTTCCCCAACAAATTATGTTCATTTACGTGTCTGACAATTGTGTTCTTTACTATAGTGTCAACCAGTTTGCCTGGTACTGAAGTCAGGTTTACCAGCCTGTAATTGCCAGGGTCACCTTTGGAGCCCTTTTTAAAAATTGGCATCACATTAGCTATTCTCCAGTCATTCAGTACAGTAGCTGATTTAAATGGTAGGTTACAGATGAGAGTTAATAGTCCTGCAATTTCACTTTGGAGTTCCTTCAGAACTCTTGGGTGAATACCTTGTGGTCCTGGAGACTTATTATTGTTTAATTTGTTCCAAAATGTCCTCTAATGACACCTCAATCTGGGACAGTTCCTCAGATTTGTCACCTAAAAAGTATGTCTCAGGTTTGGGAATCTCCCTCACATCCTCAACTGTGAAGACTGATGCAAAGAATTCATTTAGTTTCTCCACAATGGCCTTATCACCCCTGAGTGCTCCTTTAGCATCTCAATTGTCCAGTGGCCCCACTGGTTGTTTAGCAGGCTTCATGCTTCTGATGTACTTAAAAATTTTTTGCTATTACTTTTTGAGTCTTTGGCTAGCTGTTCTTCAAATTCTTTTTTGGCCTTCTTAATTATATTTTTACACTTCATTTGCCAGAGTTTATGCGCCTTTCTATTTTCCTCATTAGGGTTTAACTTCCACTTTTTAAAGGATGCCTTTTTGCCTCTCACAGCTTCTCTTACTTTGTTGTTTAGCCATGGTGGCTCTTTTTTGGTTCTCTTTCTATGTTTTTTAATTTGGGGTATACATTTAAATTGAACCTCTATTATGGTGTCTTTAAAAAGTTTCCATGCAGCTTGCAGGGATTTGACTTTTGGTGCTGTACCTTTTAATTTCTGTTTAACTAACTTCCTCATTTTTGTGTAGTTCCCATTTCTCAAATTAAATGCTACAGTGTTGGGCCGCTGTGGTGTTTTCCCCACCACAGGGATGTTACATTTAATTATATTATGGTCACTATTACCAAGCGGTCCAGCTATATTCACCTCTTGGACCTGATCCTGTGCTCCACTTAGGACTAAATCAAGGATTGCCTCTCCTTTTGTGGGTTCCACGACTAGCTGTTCCAAGAAGCAGTCATTTAAGGTGCCAAGAAACTTTATCTCTGCCTCCCATCCTGAGGTGATATGTACCCAGTCAATATGGGGATAGTTTAAATCCCCCATTATAACTGAGTTTTTTATTTTAATAGCCTCTCTAATCTCCCTGAGCGTTTCACAGTCACTGTCACCATTCTGGTCAGGTGGTTGGTAATATGTCCCTACTGCTATATTCTAATTATTCGAGCATGAAATTACTATCCATAGAGATTCTATGATACAGTTTAGTTCATTTAAGACTTTTACTTCATTTGATTCTATGCTTTCTTTCACATATAGTGCCACTCCCCCACCAGCATGACCTGTTCTGCCTTCTCATATATTTTGTACCCTGGTATTAAATCCGTGTCCCATTGATTATCCTCATTCCACCAAGTTTCTGTGATGCCTATTATATAAATATCCTCATTTAATATGAGGCACTCTGGTTCACCCATCTTATTATTTAAACTTCTAGGATTGGTATATATTGGTAAAATTCATAATAAAGCGCTAGAAGTTGTCTCATACTTTAATGTCTACTAAAGAGAAGATACTAAATTGAAGATACCCTGTTTTTTCATTCATTTTTTTTTCCAATGAATTATTTCTCATTCACTTCAGAACTGATTGGAAAGAACCTTTTCCCATTGACTTCTATGGTGAAGGAAGGGGCCTGATGGATATCTTTTTTTAAAATGGGCCTTATGCTGGGTTGACAGAACTGATCACTTCGGCTTGTCCACAGAACTAGCATAGAGGGAGAGGTAGTACAATCATACCAGTCTTGACCTGAAAAGGGGGAGGTGGAATTCAGTCCCCATGCCTGCTGCTGAGATGGCCAACAATCAGAGCCGACTAGCAGGATGGATTTTCTAAGGCAGTGTGAAAATAGTCAATGGATCATGACAGTGGACCCTAGGGCATGAATTGAGACCACAACTCACTCAACATGAGCTGCCAACCAGCTGCCTGATTGCAAGTGATTTTCTGAAAACACCTGGTTGGAGCCATATTCAGAATGGTGGCCTACAGCTGAAAAACCACAATCAGATACCAACCCTGAGCCCTCCAGCTCCCCCTTGATTCACGCACTTCCAAATACTATTTTGTGTTTGGATAATTCCTTCTAGCTTTCCACATCCCACTAGCTAGGTACGTTCCTGCTGTCTCAGCAATACCTGTATTTACTGGGGAACATTCTCTCACAGTCTTTGCACTCATAGACCTGCCCGTCGCCTAACCCTTCCTGTTTGAGCTCCTCATTCAGTGTCTCATACAGCGAGCTGACAGAGTTGCAGGCATATTTCTTGTGTCGCCGCAGGTCCAGCTTCGACTGGAAGAGCTCATCGCAGTCCTCACAACGAAATGTGTGCTCTTCTGAAAACAGGAAGACAAAATAGTTCAACGTCAGCATTAGAAAGTCCCGAATAATTTCAATTCTTCTGAGCAGCTGTTTCTCCTGCAAATAAAATGGCATCCATTGCACATAATCTGAGCATAGCATGTTTGCACGCTGCAGGTACAGAATGCACATCCATACACTGGGCTGGTGCAGTTAGTATCGAGCATGAATGGTGTCATTACAAAAGTCATACAACCTGAAGAGACCATGACTTTTAGAATGCTCTTTGCTGCAGAAAAGTGTCTTCACCAGCAGCTTGAACTCCTCTGTCTGCTTTTTGTCCTCAGCTCAGAAGAGGCTTTTTAGCTGATACCTACAGGAGTTACTGGATTTCCACAGTGTTGGGTTTTGGCTGTCTTTTTTATTTGTGCAATTAAGTGCTTTTAAAATACAAATAACTTTGTGGCTGTTTCCTTCAATGGGCCTGCCAAGAGGCGGGGTGGAAAGCTTTGCAAACCAGAAGGATTCTTGTCTCAAAAATAAACCTATAAAAAGATGATAATTATATTTCTGCTAGGAAAAGCTCCTCTGCTTTAAGGCAACCTGGAGAACACACTTTTCAAGGGATTCCCTTTCCCCCCAATCCTCTAAGCTTATGTAGCAGCCACAGTGCACTATGAAGCAGGAGGAGTTCGAAACCAGAGCACCGTGCAGTGAAGAAAAAGGAGCCAAATTCTTTGTTTTTTAAAAAAAGACCTAATGCACATAATAAATTATTGTAGTCAAGGTCAAACAAATTAAAAAGAGGGCAGCTATTATTAAGTTTACAAGGCAGCATCCTGACCATAGTGCCAAGTCAAACAATCAGCTCAGAGCTGTAAATTTTCCAGGAGAACGACTTCTGTGAGGGAGTTGGGACAATCCGGGTTTCTCCACCCAGCAGTCAGCTTGAAACAGAAGCTTTTGAATGACCATTTAGTCTCTTTATGCTGGATTCCCTCCCTCCCCTTTCTCACTCCCCACTCTATTTCTGAAAGTTGTCTTTGCAATTCAAGTTTCATTCTCGCACTTCAAGAGCTTTACGGCAAATGTAAAGCCTGTAGCAAGACTCATTAACTCAAAAGGCATAATAAAAATATTATTTTTAAAGGGATAGAGCTGATAGTGAACCTCATGATCTTGGCTAATATTGTTAGCTCTGACCTGGATCGTCTGTGGTATAAGAAAGGAGATGAGCGGGTAAAAGATGGGAAGCATTCCTATACCCTGACTCCCCTGTGTGTATGAGTCTCTGTATGCCCTACACTGGTGTTTCTAAGATGTGTAACAAACTTTTTATCTGATTTCCATGCGATAAGGTACATGTGCTAACCAGCACAAACTTTTGCACCAAATATCATCACCTAGTCTTTGTTTTACAAGGCCCAAAAGTGTGTTTGGTGTAAATCAAGAGGACCACTTCTGGAGTCAATAGAGTTACACCAACGTAAGTGAAGTCACAATCAGATCCAGGGTCTTTTAGTGCTTCCTTGTTTGTGATTAAAATATTAATTCTCCTCTCTAATTTTCCGTACTGCCTAGTGCCAATTAATGAAACTAAACAATATCAACAATAAATAATAATTACCACTCACAGCACTTTGTACATCAAATAATGTTAAAATATTAACTAAACAATTTGCTCTCACAGCACCTCTGCGAGGGAGGTCAGTGGTGCCAGTCCCATTGGACACAGGAGGAAAATGAAACATGGGGAGGTGAAGTGACTTGCTGAAGATGAGAAGAATGGACGATGAGAGGTGGGCACACAAAGAGAAGCAAATTAACATTTTCTAAAATGAAATTTTTATTCAAAAATTTTTGATCCAATTTTGAAAAAAGGGGGAAAATTGGTGAAAATTTCCCTTTTTTTCTTCCCTTTTCAAGTAGCTTAGATGGATAATAGAATATGGGTCTGATTCTTCTGCCACTGTTGACGTCAATGGCCAAAGTGCCCTGGGCCTCAGTTGAAGCTGGATTGGGCCCCTTTTTCTAGTTTTAGGGGAAGAAACTATGTTTATTAGAAATCTTGAGAACTGAGCCAATATGTAAGTGACATGTTTTGTGTCAGCAGGGAGGGAGAGCTGGAAACAGAAGCAAGAGAAGCTACCCAGATGTAACAGAAGGTTGACAAGGCAGTGTAAGCTGCAGCACTTGTTGTGTTTATTCTATCTTCAAGAAATTGTTTCTTATAAAATAAAATCATGAATGGGCAAATGACATTGTCACATTATATGTGATGTGACAGAATGATGTGATACAAGGTGTTTCCAGGCTAAATTTAAGACACCATCAGCACACATCTATTGGCTAAATTATGCCTCTTCTGGGACAGAGCTGAGCTGGGCAGCAGGATTGGTGCACGACCTGAACAGCCTTTCCTTATCCTTATCCAAGGCATAATACATCCGGAGGTGCTGGGACAGACAGATGGGCCTGTTACTACAATATTGCAAGGATCAGCCTGCACACCTTGTTTTGCAGCCATTTCGATGCGGTCAACAGCACAGGCTGATGGGGCCACCTCACCAAGACACTCCACATCTGTCATATATTAATTAAATCTTGATCTCACTGCATCCTGCAGCAGATGATTATTCCGTGCTGTGCCTGTATCTCAACATCGAATCCACATTGCAAGTTGTACTGCAAAGTGCTGTTGTTGCTGGCAAAAATGCCTCCATTTTTGTTCTGTCTTTGCACTCCAGAGAATCAGGTGATGATACAGGACCAGTTTGAGTTGTCTAGTCCCTCCCTCCTCCCACCTGCATGATAACAGGATCTTCCTCTATAGAGGTCCCTTGGTTATCTTGAACTGTTCTGGCAACAAGATCATCTACTTTAGTAACTCATCCTATTGATCTACTCTTTCTTTCTTTCTTGAATAGTTAGTGAGCTGGGGAAAGCTCTGGTCTGGAGAATTAATCAAAAGTTCATCTGCTTCTCTATAGCTTCTCTGAACTTTTTTTTTTTTTAAACTTCCCTGGTTAGGAAATCCCAGGAAAGCCTGATCTCTTATGAAATTCTCAGTGCATCCTAATTCCACACAGGACAAAAATATCCCATGTCTCAATGCATTTTGGTGCTTCATCTTTTACCCCAAACTAGGAAATGCGGAGGTGAATGGGTTTTTTTTTTCTTCACCAAGACAATTTAACAAAGAATGTCCTCAAACTTCAAAAAGCCTTCAAGATTTAGGTGGTGATTTTGGTTGGCTCTTATTTTCCCTGAACCAGTTTCTAGGTATGAAATGTGCAGATGGATATAGGCAGATTTAGCAGGAACACCAGGGCACCTGTTCTCAAGGGAGAATATTTCATTAGATAGCTAGATATAGGTAAGTAACACATGTACACACATATGCACACACACTACATCACAACACTACGCATATTACTTTAGAATCCTTGCTACCATTAAGGAGAGTAACACATCTTTTGCTTTGATGCACAGCTAAAGAGATTATAATTCACATATCTATGAAACACATTTGTTACAGCTGGTAATTCTTCTTATTTGGCTAATTCTGCCTCCCCCATTGCTCCTGTCTTGCCCATTGTCAGAATCACTGCAAGTTGTGCATTATTGGCCAACCCTCAGTTGCCACAAACTGGCCTAGCTCTATTGATACCAGCTGAATATTGGTCCAATAAGGCTTCTGTTAAGTAATGACAGAAAAAACAAGGCCCCACGTGGCTTGACTAGTTCACTCAGTTCAGCCACCTCCATTTTTTTGGTTTTGCTTTGTGTACCCTTTTTGTGCAACAAATACTGTGCAGATATGCTTCAAATCTTTTGGGGGAAAAAAAGTATCTATTTTGAGCAAACTCATGAGAACTTTCTTCTTCCCTTGTCAAGAGCAACAGCTTTTTCATGATCATGGAGGATGGACAATATGAAGAGAAATGGATTTTCTTCCTGTGGAACACTGAGAAAACAAAACATATGAGAGAGACACGAAGATGACCGAGATTGTGGTAGCCACACCCTCAAAATGTCCTCACTAGTTGTCATTACTATCCGATTCTTAGGAACCTTAGAAATAAGCTCTGTCAAACATTTCTAGAGGGAAGAAATTGATTGGCACATAGATTAACTGAACACCCCAAAATGACACATAATAGATACTCTTCTTGCATTTGGAGTTCTTAATTTTCATGCAAACAAATAGTTACAAACATTAGCAAGTTCAGCTCACAAGACCCTTGTGTATTGCTACAGGGAAAGAAACTGCAACACAGATAAAGGCTAGTCTCAGTCTCTTGTAGGAGTGGATCCCAAGTCACAGAGGAAGCTCAGAACTAAACTCAGATCTCCTGACTCCCAGAGCTGTGCCTTTATCACTAGATCATCCCTCTACCTCCAGTTGATGGTATTTGGGTTCATTAAGGGTTTTTTTCCCCCTTTAAGCACAATACATAAAAACTGTGCCCTTCAACAACAGGTTCCTACTTCAGTATCTCAGCAAAAAGAAAAAGAAAAATCCAACAACAACAAATTGTTGCCAGGGCTCAATGTCTTGTTTGTCAAGTCTGTGGTTACATGCATCTATCTTAAGTTCCATCAGTAACACGCAGGACAAAGCAGGAATGTAACAGGAAAATAAATCAGTGCCTAATAGCTTTCAGAGAAACCAAGGGGAACACAATTATGTGGCATCTACATGCTAATCTACCAGACTCAAGTCTCAAAGGAGTTCAAGAGCCCTACTCAAAATTCCTGCAGTGATAAGGGGACTACTGCATTCGACTGGGGTTTGGATAAAAGATTTTTATGATAATTATCTTTGTGTGGAACATTTTTGCATTTTCTTTCTTGTGCAATTCAGAGTTTAAACTGGGGGAGGGAGGGAGTGGGACAGGGGGAGGAAATCATTACTGAAGGTGAAAAAGTATTAAAAAGACAAATATTGGCTGTTGGGCTATTACAGTTTGAAAGCAATTAGCTGGCAAAAGCATGACACATTATTGGGAGGAGGCAGATAAATGTTATATAATGACAACAATGGCGTATTATAGGGAACAAGGTGTTTTTGCTTGTTCAAATAAATGTCAATTACAAACAAAAATGATATCTCTGAAGCAAAACAGATCATCCTACATTAAACAAAACAGCTTGAGTTTTCTTCCTGATTTTGTGCCCCCCCCCCCCACTTTTTTTTTTACACAAATGGTCAAGGCTACATGTAGTTTTTATGCAATTATTTTGAGGAAGAAACTACTCATATCTCTGTCTTGCTCTCAAAAACAGCATTAGTATTTCTGAGAGAATACTGAAAAAAATTATTCAGAAACATGAACCTGAATGCTTCAGTTAATTTGTATCATTTGTATCATCTTTTTTCATTCATTTTTTCAGAATACCCTTAGCAAAAGAGGTTTTTGGTAGGACCACTCAATGAAACAGCAAATATCAAACAAATATTGCAGAATATTCACAGAAAGTGGAGTTAACATTTATAATCCTAAATATTTTCATTAGAATTCTGAAACGAGGAGTTAAATTAATCTACCAGTTAGGGAACAAAACCCAGCATGTGACCAGAATGTCCAACCAAAATACCTTAGTTTTCAAATATTGATTAGATAAAGGAATAGGCAAATAGCTCATGAGCAACCCATAGGATGGGATAGATTTGTATAAATCAGTCATCAAATAATAATGACCAAGTTTGCACCTATCATGAACCATTCCCACAGTCAATGTGTAAACAGAAAGGATGGACTAAATTCAGCTAATTGTTCACTGGAGATCATTCAACCCCCCTCTTATATTAGTCTTTAACTTTCATAGTCACCAAATTAGAGCCAAACAAAGAGCACATTAAAATATATTAGTTCTTAGCACACCTACAGTAGCTTTAGTTTCAGTAAAAAGAAAAGGAGGACTTGTGGCACCTTAGAGACTAACCAATTTATTTGAGCATGAGCTTTCGTGAGCCACAGCTCACTTCATCAGATGTCACATGTGACTTACAAAGGATTTTTTAAAGAGGTGGGTTGTGCTCTTTTTTGATTCTTTAAAGGAGGCTTACAAGATTATATTTTCAAATTACTTTTTGGTGGTTTAGGTTTTTACTTTAGCAATACCAGAAATAGCATGTCTGGTCTTCCCTGTTTTTGTGGAGAGACCACTTCCATGCCTCAGAGCCCTTGTATTGTGAGCTCTGTCACTTTAGGTGAAAGGAGGGGGGATACTGAATCTTTAATGAACACATCCTCTTACCAAAATGTTGATTACTGTGTTTAAGTATTAATGAAACAAAACAAAACATAGGAGCTTTGGAACTGTCAGAATGGGTCAGACCAAAGGCCCAGCTGGCCAGGTATATCCTGTCTCTGACCATGGTCTAGCACCAGTGACTTCAGAAAAAGAACGTTGATATTCTTGCCACCTATATAAATAGCCAGTTTTAAAAAATTCTTCTAAAACCAAAGCCCAAGTTGTAAATAGTCTATTTCCCTTCCCCTTTCAAAAGCTGCTCCATTTTCACTCTTTGTTTTCATGATATCATCATATCACCAGTTCTCCAATAGTCACAGAGTGTTCCCCTGGAGATAAGACCTCTATTTCTAATGAAATACAAGCAGAAACCCCTCTTCACTCTCCCTTTGATTTGGAAGAATCATTTCAGTCCATCTTTAATCATCATAAAACGGGGAAGCTGGGGAGGGGGAAGGACATAAGCTCAGTTTTTTCCCTTTGCAAGTTACCTTTAATTTCACATAGTGAGTGCATGGCATAGTCAGAAACAGAACCCAGGAGTCCTCACTCACTGTTCCTTGCTGTATCTATTATGAAACACTCACTCGTCCGCAAAAGCGTAATGGTTCTTTAGATGTACTATGTGGTTACTGAACTTTAATAATTAGTATTAATGTATTTAGGGGGAAATGATTATGCTAATGTAAGAGTGAGATAAAAATGCTTAGCCCCTAGCTCTGCTCAATGCACAGTGCAAGATACCTCTAAGCAATTTGCTCACTCATTTGTGCCAGGCACCTTGACCTGCCATTCCAATATGCTGCCAAGAAGGACACACATTGCCGGGCAACATAGCAATAAAGATATTAACTTTATTTGTGATCAATTCATGCAGCTTGTCACTCTAACTCAGAGGTGGGCAAACTACAGCCCATGGGTCACATCCGGCCCGCGGGCCTGTCCTGCCCGGCCCCTGAGCTCCTGGCCCAGGAGGCTCACCCCCGGCCCTTCCCCTGCTGTTCCCCCTGCCCTGCAGCTCCGCCTCCATGTGGACAGCAGGGCTGTGAACTCCTTCTGCTCTGAGCAGCATGGTAAGGGGGCGGCGCGTGCGGCAGTGGGGGGCTGGGTAGGGAGTCCCAGGGGGGCAGTCAGGGAACAGGAGTGGTTAGGGGCAGGGGGTCCCGGGGGGGGAGTGTCAGGGGACAGGGAGCAGGGGGCAGTTGGTTGGGGTGGAGGTTCTGGGGCTGTCAGGTGTCAGGGAACGGGTAGGGGAGGGGTCGGATAGGGCGTGGGAGTCCCAGGGAGCCTCTCGGGGGCAGGGGTGTGGATAGGGGTCGGGGTGGATGGGGAGTTGGATAGGGGGTGGAATCCGGGGGTGGGGGCAGCTTGGGGCAGGGGTCCCAGGAGGGTGCAGTCAGGGGACAAGGAGCAGGGGGGGTTCTAAGGGGGGACAGTCAGGGGGTGGGAAGTGGGAGGGGGCGAATAGGGGGTGGGGGCCAGACTGTTTGGGGATGCACAGCCCGGCCAAACCCGGCCTTCCATACAGTTTCGCACCCCGATGTGGCCCTCAGGCCAAAAAGTTTGCACATCCCTGCTCTAACTGTTCAGCTGAATGTCAGGTGATGTTGTGGAGCCATCCATATTATAACAGCACAATGGCTGTTCCAACTTTGCCCTGGTCACATTTGCCATGTGATCCAAAGACACAGCCTGGTTTGCAAGTCTCATAATGGTTTGGCTCAGATTTACTGCGAACAAACCACCACGATCACCTGTACCCACCTATAGTATTCAAAACCACAACATTCCTTAACATTATATATTCGTGTAGCTGGGCCTGGGTTTCAGTTAAAAAAGGGTTTTGCTCAGACTTCACTGACTAAGACAACCAAGCTAACCAGTGAGAAAAGGTCTCACTGTAAAACGTCCAAACAGGCTGCAGTTACATAAGAGAACAGGCAACAGGCTTAACTTCTTACAAGATGTGCTTTTGTTAGCACCTCTCTGCACCTCCCAACTGGGGGTATCGAACAATAAGAGCCTCACCTTCCAGACTAGGTGGCATGTTCCCAAGAGAATAGGCACCTTCCTTCATATACACCAGCAGTTCTTCTCCTGGCTCAATTTCTTTAATAACTTTATAATAGATCTGGGGATAGGAAAACAAAAAGGAGACAGACACGTTAAATGTGCAAAGCAACATTTTATAATTTTATGCAATAACTCAAATGATTCTGGCTAAGAGGGGGGGCTGTCACTCGATTTGTTTGATAATTGCTACCAAGAGCTGTTTCTCTGCCTTTATTTATCCTCTACGTGTGTCAGAGTTTCATGCGGTTTGAATGATAAAGTAGTATTTACAGTAAGAGCCTCTCTTATCCAGATTACACAAAAAACTTCCTCCCCCCACCCCCATAAGGTTACTGAACTGATATTTGTTAATGTAAATGGAAAACAACATTGACAGAGAACTAGTTTTGGTCCCTGCCTGCCAAGGCCAGAGTCAGGCTGGTGCTCAGAGGTCCAGTTCTTCAGCTGATCTAAATTAGCGTAGCTCCCCAGAAGTCAATGGAGCTACACCAATGTACACTATCTGAGTATGTGGCCCTTAAAGATGCAGTATCTCTTCACAAATCCCTTATGCCATTCTGTCCCTATTCAAAATATTGTCAGCCAAACTTGGTACTCTATAGGCCAAACATTTTGGAATTTGGCGAGTACAATACTGCACCTCTTAGGTATCGGTCTTGCTGAACTGAAGCATCATCAGGGGAACATAGAAGGCATTCATTCAAGGGCAGAGCCCACAAACAGTCCTGTACACTACTTAAGCCTCCACTTAAACTGCATAACACAGGGCTCAAATGGTCTGAAAGAACTTACAGAGATCTCCTGCACTCATGTGAGCTTTGACCACTTCTGGATTAGGCATAAACCTGAACAGAAACCTAGGGATACATTTATTAGAGGGGAATAGCACTTGTTTTATTTATACAAGATGAACATTCATTGGATCCAAGAGACAAAAGACTATAATGATGTAAGCAATACGTGTGCGTCAACACATGGCAGGTACTGTTTATTAAGTACACTATGTTGTGTGCACTATTATTTATTATGCAGTATCCAAAAGTCTGTTAGAGTCTTTACAGGACGAGTAAGAAAAGCATGAATTTATAAGCTGACAGTCTATGGCCCACCTTCTGCAGATTATTACATCTGGGCAGACATCTGCACCCATGCAGATTCCCGTCAGTTTCATTTGATGTGACGCAATAACTGAGAGTAACAAACAACGAGGTGAGGAAGGGTGAAGGTTACAGTAAAAAGATCACATTGTTACTTTTGGTATGTGTGCCTGAGGTTCCATTGCATTTATTTATTTTAATTAATTAATTGTATTTTACACACACACACACACACACACACTTACTTCTTGTGGGCAACACAGGAAAAAGTTTTTAGGAGCGAGTTGACCGAGGGAGGGTGGACCCCCAATAATCAAAGTTTGGGGGGTCACCTAACGAAAGAAGCAGCAAAGAATAAAGCACAGAAAGGGGAGTGTTAGAAGGAAGCTAATAGTGGGGGTTGAGCTGGGGTCCTTGGCAAAGGAGAAAGGGAATATGCCAGGAGAAAAGGTTCAAGAAGTTCTGAACCTTGGATGTGTGGTCAAGAAGGTTTCCAATTTTCCAAAGAGTTTGCTGGACATTGCTGTGTTCTAATAGCAATACCTGAGAATTCAATGGCTATTAGCTATTAACCTTAAAAGTCAATTGCAAGGTTTTGTTAGCACTGGCAATCCTTTTAGTAAGGGTGAATAAATACCATGATGTTTTACATAACAGGCTCATAAGAATTTTCTTTTTTCAAGTTAATCAATGATAAGTCTCCCTCCCCCACTTCCCATACAATTTCCTTTTCTGAGTATAAGCTAGATTTTATTCAGCATTTTCATAGTTCACTGATTTAGTAACAATAATAACTCAATCTTTGCTAATCAACTGTTTCAGTAGGAAACGAACATACAGAATTCCTATAAGTCTAATGGTGTGTACTGATCAATATCCCTAGGATGAATATTTATTCACAAAGTCTCTTTCATTTCTCCGTACAGACACTACAATACACAAGAATGGCCAAATTCCCAGGAGTTCTGAGCATCTGCAACCCCAGCTGAAGTCAATGAGAGCTCAGTACCTCAAATGAGTTGGGCCTTCATTGTTTCAGGATCTGATCATGCCAAAACTTACATAAATTACTATTTTTACTCCCATAAGGACTCTCATTGAGTTCAGTGGGGTAAAGTTGAATACCGTTACTCATCTAAGGTTTTTTTCCAGAATGAATCCTTAGTGAGATCAAAAAATCTCAGGTACATAAATTAATTAATATTCCACATTACAGATGAACACAGACATGGTAAAAACAACGAGGAGTCCTTGTGGTACCTTAGAGACCAACAAATTTATTTGGGCATAAGCTTTTGCGGGATATAACCCACTTCATCAGATGCATGGAGTGGAAAATACAGTAAGCAGGTATAAATATACAGCACATGAAAAGACAGAAGTTGCCTTACCAAGTGGGGGGAGGGTCAGTGCTAACAAGGCCAATTCAATTAGGGTGGATATGGCCCATTCCCATGCATCTGATGAAGTGAGTTCTAGCCCACGAAAGTTTATGCCCAAATAAATGTGTTAGTCTCTAAGGTGCCACAAGGACTCCTCATTGGTTTTACTGGTACAGACTAACATGGCTACCCCTCTGAAACAGACATGGTAGTTTACCATATGCCACTTAACTCTCTCAAGTACGAGATTATTTATTAATAACGTATATGGTGGAGGAGTTTATGCAGGGGTGTGATCCTGGGAGTAATTACATTTAGGGGGAAATAATATCTTGCTTATCTCTTGTCTGTTGTTCCTCTTTTCTGTTTGCTTGTCAGTTTAACTTGATACAATCTAAGAACTGCATTGAAATATAACCATATTACATTACACATTCAGGACCTGGTTCTCCTGAAGCAAAGAGAAAGTTTTGTCTGAGGAAAGAATTGGCCCAATGTGTCAGCATCAGATATCACCTTACACTATGATTCATATTTTTTATCCTGTTAAAGAAAGAGAATAAACTGGAAAAATGTATTTACTAAGTACATAACTTTTAGTTTATCATGACGAGGGCTGTCGATTAATCGCAGTTAATTCACATGATTAACTCAAAAAATTAATTGCAATTAAAACAAATTAATCGCGATTAATCATACTGTTAATCAATAGAATACCAATTGAAAATTATTAAATATTTTCAGGTGTTTTTCTACATTTTCAAATACATTGATTTCTAATACAACACAGAATACAAAGTGTACAGTGCTCACTTTATATTATTTTTATTACAAATATTTACACTGTAAAAATGATAAACAAAAGAAATAGTATTTTTCAATTCACCTTATACAAGTACTGTAGTACAATCTCTTTATTGTGAAAGTCTAACTTACAAATGTAGGGATTTTTTGTTACATAACTGCACTCAGAAACAAAACAATGTTTTGCTGAGGGATTGGCTGAAGTAGGACTGAGTGGATTTGTAGACTCTAAAGTGTTACATTGTTTTATTTTTGAATGCAGTTATTTTTTGCACATAATTCTACATGTGTAAGTTCAACTTTCATGATAAAGAGACTGCACTACAGTACTTGTATTAGGTGAACTGAAAAATACTATTTCTTTTGTTTTTTACAGTGCAAATATTTGAAATAAAAACAATAATACACAGTGAGCACTGTACACTTTGTAGTCCGTGTTGTAATGGAAATCAATATATTCGAAAATGTAGAAAAACATCCAAAATATTTAAATAAATGGTATTCTATCATTGTTTTAACAGCACAATTCATTTTTTTAATCACTTGTCAGCCCTTACTATTCAGTAAGATATCCTCACACATTATCTGCAGTAATAAATAGCATTCAGGGATATAGCTTCGATTCAATACATTTTGATTATTCAATTAACTTTATATATGTTTTTGTTGAAAAATATATTTGGCTGGCCTAAACATAAGGGAGAAAGAGCAGGCCATTACTTTTCTTATTTTTAGTGACTTTAACAGCACTGATGTTCTTTCAACAGCACACCTCGTAGTTTAGTTGTGGGGGGTGCATTATTATGCCTTCTGAGTTGTCCCATTAGGGGGCAGCCTTTACCAACTAAAATAAAAGCTTGTAAATAAATACCAAAAGCTACAGGCACTCTCTCTTCACCCCTTCCTTGCATAGCAACTCTCGCTGCTTTTCATTTAACAGTTGTTTTAAGGCCATCTCATCCCAACCTCCTTCTACCAATTTTGCATGCATATTTCTAAATCTTCCATCAACCGAACTTGGAAATAAAAGACCTAAATACTGCTTAACATGATTATCTTAAACATTATGGGTTTCAGAGTAGCAGCCGTGTTAGTCTGTATTCGCAAAAAGAAAAGGAGGACTTGTGGCACCTTAGAGACGAACAAATTTATTTGAGCATCAGCTTTCGTGAGCTACAGCTCACTTCATCGAATGCTGCAGCTCATGAAAGCTCATGCTCAAATAAATTTGTTCCTCTCTAAGGTGCCACAAGTACTCCTTTTCCTTAAACATTATGATCAGTTTCAAGACACTAAGCATATCAAAACAAGGAACTGAATGAAAACAAAAGTGCCAACAATAACAAGAAAAGAAAAACAGTCCAGTATAGGCAAGAAGTTAAAAAAGAAATAAGAAATTAATTGTCTAACCTGTTTTCTCTGGGTAATGTGCATCAATTCAGTGACTTGAGTTAAGTTTAAAGCTTTCCAATAAGGTACCCCAGTATCAGAGGAGCTGGTGACAAAAGCCATCCTCTATACATAAAGAGAGGCAGCTGGTATTTCAGGCCTTGTGATAGCTCATGCACTGAAGGACCATCCTGACTACTGCATCATCATTCTGTGCATCTCTCGTACAGAGGGATTTCTTTAGTGATCCTTTCTCGATTATCTAAACTCAAGTTTGAGACACTCCCCCTAATCTTATCGGTGAGGACTGTTCTCTCTGGAGACCCTCCCTACATTATGCATGTAATAGAGACTACAACATTGCTGCAAATCAAAGGAAAAGGAAG